CATAAAAGCTTTTCTAGTTGGTCACGTGATTAATCAAGGCAGAAAAATTTATAGCGGTAGACATGCATGTTTTACCAAAGAAAATGTTACGGAGATGTTACGTGCTAGCAGACGTCACCATCTTTGTTTATGAAGTAGCATATTTTGGCATTATATTAATGTTGACGAAGTAAGTTGAATCACTCTCAAAAAATTATTACAAAGTGCGATGGAATTATTACAAATTGCGACAGCTTAGTTTATTACAAAGTGCGATGGACTGTTATTACAAATTGCGACAGCTTTTTTATTACAAAGTGCGACACGGTTTATTACAAATTGCGACAGGTATTACAAAGTGCGATGGATTTATTACAAATTGCGACAGGTATTACAAAGTGCGATGATTATTACAAATTGCGACAGTACATACCCCCCCCGGGGTTTACGCTCGGAAAAACGAAACCATGTTTTGTAACACATAACTTTTTTCAGGTCGACTACCGGTAAGGGTTTTTAAAACACTAAATGACTGGCAGTCCTATATTCTCAGTAAATTTGACAAATCAAAAAAATCATGCTAATCAAAACTATCATATGTCGATTAAAAAAAGTCAAGCGATCCTGAAACGCTCTATAGATCTCAAGTTTAGCGTTTGGTTTACGCTGGGCTCAGAAAACGATGACCTTCAGTTTGTGACAATTAGAACTTTTTTCAGCTTCCTCTTCCTCTTTCCTCTTTCCTCTTTCCTCTTTCCTCTTTCCTCTTTCCTCTTTCCTCTTTCCTCTTTCCTCTTTCCTCTTTTCTCCTTCCTCTTTCCTCCTTCCTTTCCTCTTTCCTCACAGAGCGTATTACTAGGGGATTCGGAAATAGATAATAGCCTTAAGTTAAAATTTGGTCATTTCGTTTCGTAGTTGTGTAGGGACGACAAGGAAATTGAGAAAAACGTGATGCACTGACGGGCAGAGTTGTTAGTTTTTATTAACTTACTTATTCAATAAACCTGTATAACTTTTTGACGTTCTCGTTCTCGTCGGTCTCTGATGTTTAATACATTCCCTACCTTCACCTGTAGTTATTGTTAATTTTTTAGATATTGAACAATGGAACTTGGAGAAGCAGAAAATCAGAAGTAAGAAGCTTAAACTTTCTTAATATATATTTTTTGAAATTATAGCTTCCTCTTATTATTAGCTCTTTCCCTTATCCTGGAGGTTGTCGGGATATCTTGTCATGGCCTAAAATGGAGGTGGGACCAGAGGAGGCCAAACAAAGTGTATTATTAGAAAAGCCTCGCCACTAGCTGTCGCAAGGATTTCTGGGATCGATGGGTGGAAAAGTGTCGAGTGTTTAGTTATGATTTGTCGATAGTATCCAAAGGCAACCATGAACCAATCGCTGTTTAATTTATATTGTCCATAACGTGATCCTATAAATCTATGTGACAAAAGCCTGGCCCTCTCTCTTGTAGTTTATGAAGTAGCGAAAATTTGGTGCATTTTGAAATATTCACTTGCAGGTACCGAGGTGGTGATGCGGTTACTAAATACGTTGTCTGAAGTTTGTGTGACTTGCGAAAAATTTGTAATTTGTTAGTAAAGCCTCTCTCTTAGCATTTTTGATCTTAAAAAAGAAAAAACATAAAACAAGAAAAAACTTTGGAGACTCACATCCCATTCATTTGCGTGCACTGAGTCAGTAAAATGGTAAATCTAAGTATATCTGTGATCAATAGTTTTCATTGTTAGGAGAGGATTTTGTTCTTAATTTGAGAAAAAGGTGCAAGTGAGAATGACCATGACTTGTTGAACTCCACAAAAGAAACGTCCGATCACTCTCTAGCTTTCGTTAAAGTACCAACGAGTGAACATTTCGCGACGGTCAATTTCGGAAAGTAGAAAGTGTGCGGATCATGAGAAATCAAAATCCTATTTTGGAAAATCAAAACTCCATGTTTCAAGGTAATTCCGTGTAGAATACCACGAATAAAGACGGTAATTTTATTAGAAATTAGGCGTATCGAAAACGGTTAATAGTTGAACCAATGATACTGTAAAATTGAGCCAAATTTTACCTAGAAGAACTGTGAAGGGACAGCCGAGGAAGGGAAGGTGATACATCCTTCGCCGTGTGCCTTCCCAGACAGCGAGACCTTGTTGTCTTTAATAAAAAAACCATGTTTTGAATTATAATTGAATTAGAAACCTTATATTTAATTAGGAGGCTGTACAACGGCTGTCTAGTTCAGTTTTTTTTTTTGTATTACCAATTACACGTTCTTAATCGCAATGGAACCAAACGTCAGCAAAGTGATTACTTGTAAATTTCGAAATCACAGCTTCACGTTAAACAAATAATGTCTCCGAAGCATTATCTATCATTTCAAACAAAAATGAACTTTGAAAAACTGCTAGCCTAAAACGTTTTCAGTTACCACAATTGCAATCCCTTTTTATCTAGTTCTCTGTTTTGTTCATCCATTCCGGCCTCCTTTTCCATTTGTTGGTTTGTCTACTGATATCTTCATTTAAAGTTTTGAACGGTTGTGTTGTCGTCTTTTCGCTGTTCTTGAAGATTCATTATTAAATATTATACGAGGAAAAATAAGACGCGTCTTAAATGAGACGCGAACTGTACCATCTATACGAGCATGTCTTATCTAATAAGACGCGTCTTTGCCTGCGTGCAGACGTCTCCTATTTCCTTTGTTGACGCGAACAAAGGAAATAGGAGACGTCTGCACGCAGGCAAGACGCGTCTTAGCTAAGCCGCGTCTTATTTTAGACAAAATGTGCCATTTATACGGAAAGTTCGCGTCTTATGTAAGACGCGTCTTATTTTTCCTCGTATAAATGGCCCTACTTCAGTATTCTACAGTTCAACTTAATTAGCATTCACGCGTCGAAATCGGCTCGCCTCTTTCACTTCTACATTTCGAGGATTAGTAGTGCGATTTACAGAATGATTCGCTGAAAGAAGGAAAAACCCAAATATCCTGATAAGATATTCTCTCAAAGGATGAAAAAACCCTTGGAAAAAAACTACTTACACTAGCGTGAATCTCCGGGTCTTCGTTTCTAAATCTGAATTCTTCTGTTCATGTCCACTGCGGCTAGCTCAAACTGGATTTTTAAATATAGTGCTAGAATGCAAAATACCCTTAGGGAATTAGGGGACGCGTTGCTATCGACAACGCGGATTTAATTTATAACAGGTTGTTTTAAAGTTTATCTCAATTTGGTGACAGTCCCTACCGTTTGAAGTTCGATAGATTACCTCACGAAGCTCATTTCATAAAGAACCAGTTGTGAATCTTACTCCGGGGGGGGTATGGTTTTCAAGAAGTTTACTCTAGGATAGAGTATATAAATCAGAGCGTTTGGGTCTAGAATAGGGTATCATTTTTCAGGAAACTGATCAGTTGGTTGAAGATTTTATCTAGACTGGGGAAACAGCTACTCTAGGATAGGGGGATTTGGGGAGTTTACTCTAGTAAAAGGTAGCAAAATTCAGCTGAACTAGCTCTGGTATAGGTCAAGGGTTCCAGGGTCCCAGCGGCACATCCCCACCCAGAATTTCCTAAAGTGCCCCCCCCCTCGGGATCTTACTCTGTGCAGGTGGCTCGCAACATTAGTGATGTCTGTTGAAAATCTTGCTAAATAAGTTTAGGATGAGGAAGTATCACCTGCCACTACGACAAGAAAACCGACAGGTGAATTCCTTTGTTAGAAAAACAATTAAACAAACAAACATACAAACGGAATTTGTCGAGAATTAACTGGAAACTAGTGTATCCTCTTCCTTTTTCACATCTTCAGAGCACTAAATAAATTGTCTGCAGATGAACAACACGTGGATATAGAGTTTGATAAAGGCAGCAGATTGTAAGTAAATATATAGGTTTAGTAAATTAAAGGAAATTCACAGTTATATATAAAACTTTTAACAGTAAAAGTAACAAACGCTGTTATTGAAGTACCAGGCTTTTTGAGGATTTCTCTCCTTTGACACTCTAAACAGAAAGCCCAGCCTTTCGGTAAATCGTCTGTGAACCGCCGCAAGGGAATGCAGAAAGGCGGATTTGTGCAAAATCTTGTATTTAGAAAACATTGAACATTGATCCCAACTGCAAAGCCGTAGAAAAGGTGACAGAATGGGAATGAAAATTTGACAAACTAGAATAACGTTTGGTTTACAGCTCTTTGTATAAAGCTAACCATTCTTATATAGTATATGGTGTAGCCTTCTAGCTCTCGGCCGGAGAAAGGTGGGGGAATAAGGCAAAAACTATCTTTTCCTTCCCTCCCTCCCTCCCCCACTTACAACCCATAGGATCTTGCTCGCAGGCTATCTATGAAATGTTTTATTTGGCTGTTAATTTGATAAGTGGGCCATTTCGAATCCTCGGCCTTGGCGAGGTGGAAATTTAAGGCTGAAAGTACGAATTCGAAGCTTTTCTGTAAACAAACGAATAGTAGTTGATAAAACTCCAGAAGACAACGAGTCAGCCTATTTTAAAGTGGAATCCATACACAATGAGTTGACTGTTCAGCGCCCAGTGGGAAAAAAATTAATAACACTCGGCCGATTTGCACAGGTTGCCTAGATATGTGATTTTGCAACCTGACAGAATGAAATTCTGGCCGTTACCGTTACTTGTTGAACGTTTCAAGATATTTCCCGGCCTCACGTTTTTTTTTTCTCCCCTTAGTACTCAAATCGCGCATATTCTTTTATTTTCATCTTCGGAGACACACTAGCCAACGCAACTGACGGGGTTTTAATGCCCAAGGTACTTCCTTGGCGGCGACACAGGAGAGAACATCTCAATTTGTCTCCTCCCAATCCGCTTCTCGCGTCTCTGCTGCCAAATACAACTACGACACTCTTCCCCTCCTATCAGCTACGCAGGCTACAGCGGACCCACTGACAGAAAATCGGGGCTAAGCTCATCCAGGTAAAATCCGAGTGTTTTTGTAGTCCTATTAAATGAAGGGAACATTTTTTTTTTTTTCATTTCAGTTCTACTAGGTGCAAAATAATTACTGTGATCGTGGCTGTTGTGGTTGCAATCATCATTCTTTGTGTCGTTCTGATCTTGGTGTTAGCCAAGGACAAAGAAGCCAAACCCACTACTGTAACCCCCACGCCCACAGAATATGTCCCACCGCCCCTACCCACTGGAGGTAAGCTGGTAAACACACTGGTTTGTTAAAAAAAAAGTTATGTTAGTAGTTCGTGCTAAAATAATTTTCCGAAAGCGAACTGTTTTCGTGTTTACAGAAAGTTGACACGTGACTTACTATTGAAAAAGATCTATTGCTCATTTATACAATACACGACAAAGGATTAGCCCCATACATCGCTATTCCATTAATTGTATCTTGAATTCCCTTAGTTCCTGCCGGAGCAGACGGCCCTTATGACCACGGGGTTGTTGCAGCCGATGCAAGTTTGTGTTCTGAGGTGGGCCGAGATATTCTCAAGAAGAAGGGGTCAGCGGTCGACTCTGCCATTGCTACATTATTTTGTATAGGCGTCATCAATATGCACTCGGCTGGTATCGGAGGCGGCGGATTTATGACGATCTACAATCGAAGCACGAACAAGGCGGAAGTGATTGACTATAGAGAAGAGGCACCTGGAAAAGCAAACTCTACTATGTATATAAATAGCACCTTTAATTCCAAATATGGTAAGATTCACAATTACTGACGTGCATTTGATGCATTCTCTCTTGATTTTTTATCTCTTTATCTCTAGTTATTTTTTTGGGCTTTAGCAGCGCAATGCTACGAATATAGTATTGCCTGTTATGTCGGAGTTGACACATACCAGGTACAAGCTAAAATGAGACCAACAGCCTTGCTAAGTGAACGTAACTGATCGAATAGTCCAAACAATCAGTTTTCTTGTTGCTACATCCTGTCACCCTATATAACTGAGAGGATTACATCCATGTTTTACATCTGCATGTCACAATTATATTGATTATTTTTCATTTAGTGTTGTCGAAATCAGTGGATAGCAATTTTCGCGCGTTTTGTTTGGCTCCAGCGATTCCGAATGTCCTTGACAATTGACTGTTTTGCTTGGCTAGCTCGTCGTGGATAACTGGATGGAACGTGTCGCTGGGTCATCTCAACGCAAATGTCATTGCTCGAAGCGCGGTCTTGCCTAAACTTTTTCACGTTCTTTTCCAGATGGTTAAGCCACATACTTTTCTCACCTTATTGTCTCAGTTAACGTTGTCAGGTCAAATGCTCATCATTATTTATTTGCATTCAGTGTAACTTTTCACATGCACAAAAAAAAACAATTCAACAACAGTTAAAGGAGCTGTGTCACGACATTCAGCCAAATTAGGAAATTACAAAATGTCCGTTAAATTAAGAGAAACATAAAAATAATTGCTTAAAACTTTAAAGGAAGGTTAGAATAACATAACAGAAACAACAGATGCCACGGATGGGCAAAACTGAAGAAGACTGAAACGGATTGAAATTAGGGTTTTTGAAAACTGTTCAGCCTAACAGTTTTTCAAAGTTGATCCCTGGTGCTTGCACTACAAAAATAATGCTCAGGAGACATATTTGTTTGTCTCGGATCTCTGATTTTGTCATATACCTGTAATTTCTTTGCCTACTTTAATTTCCATAGCGATTGAGGGCGAGAAATTAGCAAAATTAAACAGAATGAACTGGACTGCCGTGACACAGTCCCTTTAACAATTATTGGACGAGGTTAAGCAAGATATCGTGATTTGTCAGAAGCGACCAGATTTTTTTTTTCACCTAATTTGGCTGAATTTCGTGACACAGCTCCTTTAAGTCGAAGGCTGAGGCAAATAATTAATTAACCTACCAGACACTGACAAATTACGATATTTTGCAATCACCGGGTTTGTTTTTTATTGAATATTTTCGGGAGACGTAGCTATTTGCCATTTTCACGAAAGATGCGATCGCAATAAGGAGAATAGTGTGGTTCATTTACGCATGATCAAAATATTATTTGCAGCCAAACATTGTTGGGCGACATTGCGCATGAGCAGGCCATTATTTTTAGCGGGCAGTTATTTTCAGGTAACGTGGTTGGTTCCCTACCAATGAGAAGGGAGAAACATTTGCATCAAATGACGATAATCTTTATTTTTCCTTAATTCAAGTTTCACCAAAGTGCACAGCCCGGAGGTGGTTAGTGCTCATCCCCGGCTTAGCGGGCTAGTCAATCTGACATGAAGTTGCCCCTAGTCGCCTCATAATGATTATCATGTACTTTGCTACATTATGGTCACATTATTCGCCCACTATTCTTACATGATTCTCACATTATTGAGTCATCATTGATTCTTACATCGTTGTTTCTTCCCCCTTCGTTGGTACAGGACCATCAGCGTCAGGTGTCCCTGGTGAAGTGAGAGGATTTCGTAAAGCTTGGAATAAATATGGTAGATTACCTTGGAAGGATCTTGTACAACCCGCTATTGACCTAGCGAAGAAAGGGTTTCGTTTCGGCTATGCAGCCCATGCAGCAGCTAATAGGTCATCTACCTTACCCTATATCAAAAAAGACCCCGGATTGAGGTAAAGCAGCGGCTATCTAACTTGTTTCCACACTCGAACCATTATTTCCGTGTTGTTCCTCTGCTTTGATTTCAGTGGCGATAGTACGTGAAGAAGTTTTGAGGAGTATTATGACCTTGCTATAAACTGAATACTTTCAGAATTTGAATACAAAAAAACTAATAAGATTCCTTTTTTTAGATTGCTTATATCTTCCTAGGAAGGAAGAGCAAATCGATCAAAGTTCACTGACTGAAAGGGACCACCCGCAGGCTAGATTTTCACGATGAAGGACTTGAATTGAGTGTTAGGTATCCAGGACACCCCCGCACCCTTTCCCCGCTAAAAGATTTTCCTTTCATCCGTAAACAGATCGGAAACTAAGTACATGGCAGCTCATTCTCTTTTGCTGGTGATCAAACGTAACGAAACAGTCGGTTTAAGTATATGTTGCAGTTAAGTTTTTATTTCAGGTAATTTTTGTTTTTCTTTGGTTTTCAATTAAATTGACAAAATAGACTGAAATAAAAAATTTAACTGCCACATATATATATTTGGGTAACTGAAAATAAATACTTACATGTAATGAATGAATCAATGGATGAATGAGTCAATGAATGGATGGATCAATGAAAAAAGAAAGAAAGAATGAATGAATGAATGAAAGAATGAATGAATGAATGAATGAATGAATGAATGAAAGAATGAATGAATGAATGAATGAATGAATGAATGAATGAATGAATGAATGAATGAATGAATGAATGAATGGATGGATGGATGGATGGATGGATGGATGGATGGATGGATGGATGGAGGGATGGAGGGAGGGATGGATGGATGGATGGATGGATGGATGGATGGATGGATGGATGGATGGATGGATGGATGGATGGATGGATGGATGGATGGATGGATGGATGGATGGATGGATGGATGAATGAATGAATGAATGAATGAATGATTGAATGAATGAATAAATGAATGAACAAACGAATGAACGAACGAACGAACGGATTAAAAAGAAAACAAAAATATCCAGAACACTCCAGAGGGACGGAAGAAGTCAACTACATGTAGATCAGTTGTGTCAAGAACAAAGTGACCAGCTAGTCTGGGCAACATCCTCGAGAGACGCGCAAAAAAGGAATTTACTCGTTAAGTTGACGAAGAGCTGCTGCTAAAAAATATTGACTGATCATTAATTACTTTCCAGTGAGCTTCTTATAGACAAAGCGGGTAACTTGAAGAAATTAGGAACTGTTCTAAAAATGCCGAAATATGCAAGAACTCTGGAGACAATTCGCGATTATCCGGATAGCTTCTATTCTGGTGAATTGGCTAAAAGAATTGTGAAAGATATTCAAGACGGTGGTGGAATAATCACACTTGAGGACATGAAAAATTACACAGCCAAAGTTCGAACTCCGCTTTCTGATACCATGGGAGATTTAAAGTGGTATACTAACCCACCCCCTGGTAGCGGTGCCGTGCTTTCGATGATCCTCAACATACTAAAAGGTAAATTCTATATTATTTTGTCAGTACACGAGTTATATATATGGACAACTGTTTTCTTTCTTTTTTCTTTACGTAGAATGAAATTCATTAGTTTAATAAGCTGTGATTATAGTGTGCTGACCAATCCACGTGCATGGACAACCTTTGTGAATTAAAACTATAGAAGTGATGTAGATTAGTCACGCATTATGGCCATTAGATGGAAGCAGTGACTTCTGGGATTGTTTGGGTGGGCAACTGTTCATTATTATTCGTCGAATGGTATTCAAGGCAACTATTAACCAATCTTATTATTCATTCAAAATATTTCCCCGATTCTGATTGGCTAAAAGCACACGCATAATTCACCATAACCAGTTACTGATGACCAAATTTGGAAGAATTTTGTGTTTAACGAGGAAATGACGTCAAAAATGCAGCCTTCTACAGGTTAATGCACCGTTAACCGAGAAGACCTGGGGACGAGGTTGAGTTGTTTTGGTTGTGAAAACAAAAAATGGCGGACATTCCACTCGTTTCAAGAGCAAGAACTACGCGAAATTATAGCTAAAAACATGGCAAGAATAGCAAGAACACATCTCAAGGGCGACATCTGCTATTTGGAGAATATTTGCGGAGCTGAACAACCCTAAACGTGTCCTACCGAAGGTGAACTTAACATCGATGGAGGTAAGCATGTTTTCGCTTTGTTTTCCAACTAGGAATTATTTTGAATGAATAATAAAACAATTATTGAATTTGTCTTTCGTATTATATGAAGAATTACGGAGATCTCGGAGGGTGTTATCCGCCTCGGCCTACGGCCTCGACGGATAACACCCTCCTCGATCTCCATAATTCTTCATAAGATACTCAGCCTCATTCATTAATTGTTAAATAACTTATGTTCACAAGTAAAACATGGTCTTTATAAAATTTGTAACGGTCTGGGATGGTTGCGACCCTATCTGAAGTTGTTTGAGTGGGGCGTAAGCCAGACGATCTTAAACGCCACAGACAAATGTTCTCATTTTATTTTAGCGATCGTAGACATGGCGTGTTTCTTTGACTTGATTTTGGTGCGCATGCGAAAAGGGCGTCAAAAATTTATCTCTCGTATATTGGACAATCAGCCGAGAGCGTGTTTTTCACGTAATAGAAGCAATAGTGGATAATGAAGATTGATCGCGTGATCCAAACCGGTCTCCACTGGCCATAGAGACTGCGATTCCGTCTCAAGAAGCTCCTGCGAAAGAAGGGAAACTACATATGACCGTCTCCAATGTGATTTTCTCTAGAACTTAACTATTTTTGGAATCAGATTCCCTTGAATGCATTGGAGCTGAAGGAACTTCCCACAGAGCAGACCGGCTTGTTTCGTCTGTTTAAAGTTTCCTTGTTGCGATTCAATTTTGCCCCTGTTTAATTTTCAGTTTCCTTGTTTGTTTTTGGGTCATTTTGAACCTGAATAACATATTCAGTCGCACACTGAAAGGAAACGCACTCGCCCTACTTACTAATAAACGTGAACCTTATACAAGACAACCCGTCTCTAACGTTATATACAGGTTATAATTTTACACAAGATAGCCGCAAAGATCTCAATAGCTCGATTCTGACGTACCATCGAATAATAGAGGCCTTCAAGTTTGCTTATGCGTACAGAGCACTCCTAGGAGATGAAGACTACTGGGACGTGAGAGAGGTAAGAGGGTAATATAGGCTGCCTTCATAAGGCAACGGAGGATTTTTTGACCGGTTGAAAATTTGTGCGTTTAGATGTTCAGTTTAGACAAGGAACACGAAAATTTTGTCGCCTAGCCGTCCAAAGTTTCAATGAACTACTTCAATGTCAATAATTCAACTTTATTAAACAAAAATTTAAACGGCTTTATTTAGTCGAAACCCATGTTTCTTATAGCCCATGTGACTTGTCAATGTTTTCAACTGGTCGAAAATTCGTCTAATGCCGTATAAACATAACCATAGACTTCTTCGCAAAAGTGCTGCAACGGTTAATTTTTGTCACTCAGTACGGTTTTGGAGCGTCATGCATTAGGGAAAGTAAAGAAAGCTCCTGTTGAAGTGCATTATCTGCGCTAAAGAGCTGGTTAAGTAACGTACGGAGTATATCATCGAGCAGATCTGGCGAAAAAAGGATATAAGAGAGAAGTAAATTTGAAGCTTACAAAAGCGTCCATGCAGCTCAGTCAACTTGTTGCAATTAACGAACTCTGGACAAGATTAATTTATCTCTTTTATACAAATGAGACGAAAATTTCAAAGCTGTATCCTTCACGAGTAAAACGCCACATAGACAGTGCATTTTATGACAGCAATTAGAAACAAAATGCGTAATGAAGTGTAATTATAAGAATACCAATTTATGCACTGAAGCACACGTACCAACTCCGCTATGGCTGCCGCTACCGGAGTGATATGGTTGTGCGCATGCGCAAGGTACTGGCCATACCGCGGAGCCGCGGAGTTAACCGCGGAGTTGGTACGTGTGCCGGTTCAGTGAATAATTTGGTATTGTAATTATAAGAATGGTAGTGTGCCAGTTTGAACGTGGCTATGTCACGCTATTTTCTTTCTTTTTTTAAACGCTAAAACGTACGTGTCCTTTCATCAATTAAATTCCAAAAATAAGGGTCTAGTTTTGTTATACTTAAAATGATTATGGTTAGTGCTCCCTCATGAAATTGTTTGATAGCCGGTCTTCATTACTCTACATACAAAAGCATTTCTGTATTGCCAGAGAAGGCACTAAGTAATGACAAGTCAGGATCAGTCAGGAAAGAATTGATCTAGAACAGCAATACCCTCGTGACTTAGCCACTTTACCATAAATTCCTCCTGCATGCCCACCTGCAGGGAACTTTTGCTGGCATCAATCCTTACGATGTGATCTACCTCTTTCTTTTACCAGGTCGTGAAAAATATGACCAGTGGTGAGTATGGAGATTATCTTCGCCACAAGATTTATGATAACCGGACCTTTCAGGACTACAGATATTACGGAGATTTTTACTCCAGTACAAATGTTGGAGGTACTTCACATCTTTCCATCATTTCGCCTGACGGGGATGCTGTTGCTGCTACCAATACCATAAACCTTTAGTACGTAGGTTTGTTATTCTTACAAAATATCCAGATAGCAAACTGAGAACTCCCCTTAAAAGCAGCGTTGCGTGACGACACTAAAAACGGCTGTGTGGCAGACTACTTAAAAGGAGCTGTGTCAAGAAATGTATTAAAATTCAAACGGTATGTGGGAACTGGGAACTGCCACCAAATTCAGTGAAACATTACAACAAAATAACCCTCGAACCATGAAAGAAAGGTATTTTTAATAGTGTAAATACACAGGGAGACACGGATAGGCAAACTTGAAGGACTGATTGCAATTGCGACTTTTATAAAAACTTGTTAGCCTAAGGTTTTGTCAAAGTTCATTTTTTGCTGTTCTGATTTATAACCCCTGACGTTCGATATGGTTTGATATAATGCTTCGGAGACATATTTGTATTACTCGAAGCCGTGATTTTGTCTTTCACAAGTAATTTCTTAAGTTCCCTACCCCCTTTCCCCGAGTTTCAGCTTATCAGTCTATGTGTAAGAGGTTTTTCTTGACGGCAGCACGACGACCACACATAAGTGCCTGTGATATAGTGGTTGTGGATCGAAAGTCGATAGCTTTACAGGACCTACAGGCAGATTTTTGACGGTTTCGTAACGGATAGAGAACAAACTCCTGGTGCATGGTACTGTTGTCATACTGTACAAGGACATTCTGCTTTGCTGGTTTTCGAATCTTTTCAAGCTGTTGAACATCAAATGTTTTCGTTTGGCTGATCATGTGAACGATCATGCTCTACAAGTCAAGGATGCGATTGAAGGATTTCTAGTCTGAACTGGCGAAAAGCTGGTGTCCCTTGTTTTGCAATGTGTGAAAGCTGCTTGGAAGTCCTTTTCTGCTATGGCGCTCATTGTTTACTACTTGGTACCACATATGCCGTCTAAGACAGCAATTAGAAACTAAATATGTAGTGGCGTGTACGTAATTATAACAAGGACACTGTGCACAATCAATACTAATAATGAAGATGATAATGATGATGATGATGATGATGATGATGATGACGATTATAATGATGATGATGATAATGATTGTGATAAAAACAGTTCTGGCAATGTCAGATACTTTTCCTCTCATGGACTCACCCCTCCAATTCTCCCCCCAGACCACCCCACCTAGTGAGGTGGCGCCCCTACTATATTGTACATATAATGTGACCGAAATAACTGAGTATTTGTTTTAATTTTGTGTAACTAGTTACTTACTAATTTTTTATTTCATTTTGCCTATCCGGCAGCTATGGTTGTAAGTATCGTTCGACTCGCACTGGTATTATCTACAACAACGAGATGGATGACTTCTCTACCCCTGGTAAAAAGAACAATTTTGGCGTCGAGCCATCGGAGAGCAACTTTATTAAAGCCGGGAAACGTCCAATGTCTTCAATGACCCCTTCAATATTTGTGGATAGCAGCGGCGTTCCTCGTTTGGCGGTTGGAGCATCAGGTGGCACACGAATCACCACTGCTATCTCATTGGTGAGATTTCTAGTGACTATTTTCTTGACACCCCACGAACGCGGAGTTTATCTATAAAAAATGTCTTATAAGTATTGTTTCTAATCAACGGCCTATTGTTTAATGTCCGACTATAGTACTTCGATTGTGACGTCCTCATACATCCAAATAGGGACCTTAAGATCCGACGACGGCGCCGGCAACGGGACCGCCACAAAAGCAATAGCTTTAATTAGCAAAACAACTATTTTGCACGTGCATCACGCTTTTTTGTACATTTCTTTGCAGTCACTGCACAACTACGACGTGAAAATGCCTAATTTCCCGATGCACAGAGGAAGCACACAAGCGACGACGAAATTTCCTCTCTCTTTCTGAACTTGAATATAGTTCTTAGGAATTCAACTTTAGGAGGGTTCGCCTACATTTGCCAAAGTTAGTGACTTGGAATAATCGCTATGAAGATTGAAAGAACGCGAATTCACTTTTTCAGCGACGTTTTCTCCGCCGTTGCCGTCCTCGAATCGTAAGGTCCCTAATATCTTGTTTAGGACAGAGAGGACGAAAACTATACTCTGTACAGCGGCACATCCCCGTATAGGTCATATAAGGGAGTTCCCCCTCGGGGGTATGAAGTATCCCTTCGCTCCTTTGTTCTCTGTAGCCTTGAGTTCAACGTCTCGGTGATGCATGTAATCTCCTTTCGGAGATCTTCTTCTGGTGGGGCACAAAAAAACCCCGACACATCAAGTCGTTTAACAGTAGCTGAAATTACACATGTGAACAAGTAAATTGTTTCTCCCTTGAACTGAAGATTCAATGATTTCATTTGATGATTTTGCCATTTCTTTCCACCCGTTCAGGTTGTAATGAATTATTTCTGGTTCGGCCGAAATCTATCGGAAGCTGTCTTGGACCCCAGGGTTCATCATCAGTTACTTCCGGACTACATTCGCATTGATAGATTCTACCCAATATCCAAAGACCTCCAAGCGGGACTGCGAAGGCTTGGGCACGACGACATTCGGGCAAAAACCATCACCGCAGTTGTACAGGCCGCGGCTATAGCTCCTGATGGAAAAATATATGGCAAGGCGGATCCCAGAAAGAAATCCTTTGCAGCAGGCTTTTAGCCAGTGAATAATTATCCTTAGCGAGTAGACATGCGTATGAGGCAATTTCAATGATGGACATTGATATACCTCTGAACAAGAAGCAATTTTCGAACTGAAATAACTATAAATATCTGCTGATGTGTCTAAAGGTCTCTTTAATAATTTGTAACACAGAGAAAAAGTTAAAGAAACAGTTTCGCATCGACAAGAGTCAGCCTTCCTCTATGGGTTGGGCTCGATTTCTAAACATTAAAACATGGGATCGAAGCTCTTTTGATAGAAAGCGTTTCATAAACGAGAAAATCGACTAATTGAGTGGCACTTTGTCAAAATGCACAATTAGCTTTCTTCTTTTTCCATGCGTGACTTGATTTGATATAAATGATGTATGACAAGAGTCGACTGCATCGTCTCCCTTTTTTCAGTGTTCTACGAATTGATCAAATGATTTAATTAAAGACACACCTAAGATTTTTGTACGAATAGTTGATTATTCCAGCATTATTGTCTTAAGCAATACCCTAAATTAGATACATCACCTTCTTAGTGTAATTTGAATCGGACCAAGAGACTATCTTTTGGTTCCTCGACAGACACCATAGGAACAACCTAGACTATGTAACTTGATGTATATGCCAGTATACTTTTCATACCTTTTCACTCCATGTAAACTCTAGGCTCAGTGTGCGTATTGATTGACACATGTATAAAACGTATATTAGGATACATCTTTTGAGTTTAATGTTGAGAAAATAATTAAAATAAATTTGATATTAAAATTAGATATGACAAAGAAAAAATAATAGTTAGAATGACGAAGCCAACAAGCAAACAGCAAGAAACCTTGAATGGTTTCCAGTTTTCAGTCAGATGGTCGGGTAGCTTTAGGCTATGTGGCTCACACTAGTTAACAATTATTCCTCGAGCCCGAATGGAATAATTGTTTTAGTAAAATCCAACTAGTTGGTCAAAAAGTATCGAGACAAAACAACGTTGGCTAGATAAAGCTAGACTTTAATCCTTTTTTGCCGCCAAAAAGCCGGCGCTTTTCGCTACTAGTGGGCTATAACATATAGTCTAGAAGTAGCTCAACCAATCAGAACGCAGTATTGATGATAGACCACTAGTTGGATTTTACTAGTAACCGATAGCTTTATCGTTTAGGGTATGAACACCTATCTCGGCCAATATGGGACTCTCCACCTAAGATATCGCGCCGAAATCACCGTTCTTAATCTTTGTGAACAGAAGCCCTTGGCTATTCGCGCGGTATGGTTTTCGTAATAGCTGTCCGGTATACAGTGTGAACATAACCTTATTTCGAGCTGCTGTCTGTTGGTTTTTTAGACTTGCTCACAAGTTGACTTTTTTGAGAGACGAGGTCGAGCGGGAACGTGCGAGAGGTAGGTAAACTAGAGTCGTTTTCGCAAGGACCTAGGGTGCTTACCATTTGATAGGAAATTTCGGAAATTTCGGTTGAAAGGTAAATGGTAAGGTAACTTTTCGGAAATTCCAACCGAAAATTGAGGAGTACGTTTTGAGGTAGTCCGTTCATTCCGGTTGGTACGAACCAAACGGAATGTGCTTACCATTTACCACTTTCTCGGTTCCTTCTCGGTTCCAGACTCACGATACACAATATTCGCCCTTTTTTTTGGATTTAAACCGTAACGGATGTGGCAATTCTACGGTAAACTGGTAAATCGCTTACCATTATGCTTTCGACACCTCAACCGGATTTTTTGGTCAAATGGTAAGCACCCCTAGACTTTCAAACAAGACCTTCGTCCGCTTTAACTATGATGGCGCATGAAAACCTCTCGCGACTTCTTCTTTCGCTTGGCAGCTGCTCGCTAAGAAACTCGTGAGGTCGACTTGAAGCAAGTCTACAAAGGACCCAACCGGGGCACCCAACCAAAACCATCTTCTAGAAAGTCTGTCTACATTAGCCCGCTCAAAAAGCGAGTGCGTTAACCAATTAGAATCCGGGAATTACACTCAATTGTACAGTTGTACACTATAGCTAGTAGAATTTTAAAACTATGGTCGAAGCTCACCTTGCGAATGTTTTAAAACCTCGTTTGAACTGTAGCTCTACAAAAGCTCTCCGCGTTAGCGACGGTTACTATTCCTGGGAATTACCAGCTGGTCAGTCTTTTTCTGTTAACTTCTCGTAAGCGAACAATCAGAGTCAGCACCTATAACATAATAAATAGCTAGTTATCTCTTTCTTTTTGATTAAAGTTGGGGTAATACATAACATTTTTTAGGGCTAATGGTTCGTTAACTCCGAATGTGACAAGAAATAGAAAAGAATGTTTTTAATCAACATTATTTTATCTGAATGTCAGTATTGGTCACTAACAAAGTATATAAGCCCATTAAAATCCCAAGCTATTCGCTGTAAAGTTCGGGGAAGGAGAAAGACACGCTTGGATTGTGACTGATACCGCCAACTACGCAGGTTATAAGTGTTTTCCGATATTGTGCGTTTCGTCTCAGCACGGACGGAAAAAAAATCGCCGTTTCTCGATGACAAAGCAATTTTTGTATGTAGTAACACGTTTTATATACACTTGCACGAATTTTAAGATCGAAGGCTAGCTGGAAAAGGCTGGATAGAGTTTTCAAATATAAACTTTCGGATTCATTATTTCTGTTATAGTTTTCTCTGTTTATTTTAAAAATGTAAATGTCGGTTTTCAGTTAGAGAGCTTTTATTATATGATAAGTACGTGATCGGTAATAAATTATGCACATTTCCGTAAAGTCTTGAAACACGTTGAATCGCACGAATAATTCTTAGACGTATTTCTTGTTAGTAGGTCAGACACATTTGACCTGTATATTCCACTTTTAACAAATCATGTCTCTCATGAAATTCGAAAAATATAAAACCATGAGAGAAAAAATCAAGGTTATGCTTAACAACCATCGCTGTAGTGACGTCAAATTTCTTGTTCGAGAAAGCGTCGATGATGTTAGTGGAAGAAAAAAAGTACTCCCAGCTCACAGGTTTGTACTGGCGATTGGCAGCCCGGTGTTTGAAGCAATGTTTTACGGTGACCTGGCGGAGACCAAAGACACTATTGAACTGCCCGATTGTGATTATGGGAGTCTACTGGAGTTGTTTCGCTTTATGTACAGCGATGAAGTGAATTTAAGCGGAAGTAATGTGATGGGAGTGCTATATTTGGCTAAGAAATATGTGGTCTCTTCACTTTCCGATGAATGCACAGAATATCTCAAAGAAAATTTAGATTCATCGAATGTTTTAAGCATCCTGTCATGTGCTCAGACGTACGAGGAGAAAAGCCTGGAAGAGCAATGCTGGAAAGTTATCGATGAACAAACGGAAGCTGTCGTGAAATCGGATGACTTTGTTGCAATTCAGAGAACCTTACTTGAAGCATTAGTAAAAAGAGATACTTTGAATATCGCCGAAGTAGAATTGTTTAAAGGACTAATGAGATGGGCAACAAAAAAATTGGAAAAAGAAGGCACATTGAGGGCAGACGGGCAAGAAATAAGAGAAATTCTCGGGGAAGGGATCTTAAAAGCGATACGGTTTCCCGCGATGGAGCGGGAAAATTTTGCCGCTGTGGTACTTGACACCAAAATACTCACCTATGACGAGGTCAATGCTATCATTAAGCATCAGTTAAATCTAATTCAAAGTTCTCTTTTAAACTTTCCAGTTTTCAAACGATCGGGTCCTTCCCACAGTCAAAACCCCGAATCCTGTTGCAGATTTACTAGAAGCTCGATGAAGTTTGGTTGGAATAATTCAGAATCAGACAAGTCCTGTTTGGGTATTTCTGTGGACCGCGACATAATCTTTCATGGGGTGAAATTGTTCGGTAGTAGGGATGATACATACTCTGTTTCCCTTTCGCTTATCAAGGACTTAAGTGGAAAAGTTATTGCTTCTGTAGATGGTGTATTTTCATCTCCGTCCTGCGCAACAGGAGCTAGTGACTACAACTTTGTTGTCACGTTTAAAGAGCCAACTTTATTGAGAAAAGATGATGAATATGAACTTGAATGTAGAATTTCCGGCCCTCAGTCCTGGTACGGTACTGAAGGACACCAAACTATCTGTTGCCATGGTGTTACATTTTTCTTGAAAAACACCCGCGTATCGTATTCCTCCTTAAGAACCACTACTAAACAAGGACAAATTAAGGAGTTCATTTACAGCCTTATTCCGTCAAAAAACAATTCGTAGAAATACTAAGAAATTAAGGAAATCCAAGTATCCTGGTAACTACAGTGGATTACAGTAAACTAAGAACCTCGTTTTTAAGAACCTGTTAGGGTAAAATTTGCCACTTAGGTCCTCTATATAAAAGAACCTGTAATGGCTAAAATTTGAAACAGGTTGCTATTCTCTAAAATCTATAAAAACAATTCTGTACACTTGGGCAAATAAGATAAGTTAACATTCGGAATCCTCTTTGAAGACACAGGTGTCTTATCACTCCAACTGCAATAACAATGATATGCAGATTCTTAGCCTGCGTAGCAAGCGTTTCCGCGCAAGTTCGTCGAGAAAACCGGGAAACGTTTGCTACGCCTAGCAGATTTTATATGAGGAATAACCTGAATATACAGCTAAGTACTCTTACCTTCAATGAACTTTTTTTTTTCTTAACAAAACAGCAACCTATTTAAAAACTTACATAGCCTAACGTGTGCTAATTACTGGCATATGTAAGAACATTTTTAGCCGGCTAACTTTGGAAAATGCACGTTCTTAATTGTCGCGGGTTTTTACTGTATACTAAGGTGCCAAAGTTATGACTAACAGCTAAACTTTAAAGCAGTTCTTGCACTCGTTTGAATTTAAATGGAATCTTTGTCGCTAAGAATAACGGATTAATTGACTGCAGTTTATGTCGCTTTATGTGCTGAGTTAGTCGACGTAATTGACCCCCTGTTACAGTGCACAATATAGGCGTAGTCACACTACAAACTTTTAACGTAGAAAAACGAGTTTTTAAAAAACGGTCAGTTTATCACGTGCCCTAAGCCTTGTATAATTGAGTGGCCACGGCTATCAGTGCATTGAAAAGGAAACGAAGATGAATTAGGGTGGCTCCTTAAGGTGTAAGATAATTCTGCTAATTACCCTCACTAGTGGATGAGGCAGATGAGCAGTTTTCCAGAATCTTACACTGATACACGGATTTCTACAAAAATTGGATAGGAACTCCAATTGTTTAGGGAATTAAGCCGGTTGTGACAACACTCCACCGATATAATAATAATAATAACTATTATTATTATTATTATTATTATTATTATTATTATTTAACAATTAATGAATGAGGCTGAGTATCTTATGAAGAATTATGGAGATCGAGGAGGGTGTTATCCGTCGAGGCCGTAGGCCGAGCAGGATAACACCCTCCGAGATCTCCATAATTCTTCATATGATACGAAAGCCGAATTCAATAATTGTTTTATTATTCATTCAAAATAATTCCTAGTTTAAAAACATGGCTAAAACATGTTTACCTCCATCGATCCATCGATGTTAAGTTCATCTTCGATAGTGCACGTTTAGGTTTGTCCAGCTCCGCAAATATTCTGCAAATAGCAGATGTCGCCTTTCGAGTTGTGTTCTTGCTGTTCTTGCAATGTTTTTAGCTTTTTTTTCGCCTAGGTCTTACTCTTGAAACGAGTGAAATGTTCGCCATTTTTCAAGTTCGCAACGAAAACAACTCAACCTCGTCCCCGGGTCTTCTCGGTTAACGGTGCCTTAACCTGCAAAACGCTGCATTTTTGACGTCATTTCCTCGTTAAACACAAAATTCTTCCAAGTTTGGTCATCAGTAACTGGTTATGGTGAATTAAACGTGTGCTTCTAGCCAATCAGAATTGGGAAAATATTTTGAATGAATAATAATATAACTTTATTAACGTGTCAACAAAGTAATTTTACTTAACCCGTGAAATAGGTAGTGAAATACTACGCACTATTACGCACTAATTCTATCGTCTTTTTTTGTTTATTTGTAGCTATTTTGCACTTAGTTGTTATTAGCTGTTTCACCTTTCAAGTAAAATCACTCTAGCATTGCTGGTGATTGGGGACACCTAAAGCAAGTTACAATATATCAGCCGGCTATGCACAAGATAATTAGGAAAGAAGAAAAACTAAAATAATAGCTATTTTCAAGATAAACTGGGGAGCTTAAGCAGCAACGTTTTTGAGCGATGCACGTCAACCGGGCGGCAAGGGTGGCGCAGTGGCGAGAGCGCTCACCTCCCACCAGTGTGACCCGAATTCAAATCCCGGTTTTGACTACATATGTGGGTTGAGTTTGTTGTTGGTTCTCTCCCTTGCTCCGAGAGGATTATGAAGATTATGTGAAGAGAAGTTTTTTGTTTATTGTTGTCATAGTAACATCGATTTTTCTTAAAACTACATTTTCACAAATTTCAATCCATAGCCAATTACTGGTGAAAATTTTATGGCGATCGGACAAGGAAAAAACCACTTTTAAGGCCATTGAAAAATATCGGTATGGCCTCTAAAAAAACTGTATCGAAACACCTTAACTGATGGTGTGAAAGAGGACATAGCTTTAATTTTCACGCATTCATGATATCTTGCTCTCTACAGAAAGTGTACTGAGGTGGTACCTTGTCTAAGCCCCAGGCCACATTATCCCTCCTGGCCAGAAGCCGATGGCGCGGCCTATAAGTTTCGGGTGACGTGCTCCGAGCGACTGTTTTTGAGACTGACCTAGAAGCAAAATAAAGTGCAAAACAGTCCGTATTTTTTTTCGTTTTTAAGTAGCGCGAATACCTATTCTTACGCTACGATTTTGAGAAAAAAAAACGACTGTTTTGCAGTCTAGAAGTAAAACGAATACAATCTGTTCCCATTCAGCTTCCTGGTCTCCTGAAGGTGATATGTCCACCAGAAGAGGAGGTTATCAGAATACACCTGGTTTTATCCTAGTTAGAGAATCCTGATCATAACGTTTGTAACTGAATCCTGGATTAGAATAGATACCCCTTTACCAACATATATTGCGGCCAGCCTTCACCGTATTTCGTTGTTTCTCAGCTCGTCTGTTTACTCTCCGCCAAACCCAGTAGCTGGAACCACTCGCTTGGTTGTTGGGTTTTAGGAGTTTTAGCGCTGCTCTTAGTCATAACTTGTTTCTGCTTGTTGTATCGGCAATGTGGCCTGGCTGGCAACCGTACCGCGCCCAATAATCCTCACCAGAGAAAAATCAGACAAAATACTATCTGTAACCAGTGTCAGCCTTCTGCTGACGACTTGAATTTTTGTTTATCTCCCAGATCTGGGTGGTGACACGTCATCAGTATGGAATTCACTTCTGCGCTCGTTTATCAGACGCGTCATTTCACGGGGAAACCAGTGCCGTTAGCATCGCGAGATGTCGGCTGCTTTCTAATGAGAAGTGAATACGATTCATATCATTTTTCTCTACTCCCATGCAGTATTTCCAAATATTGTTTCTCATGTTGTGTGCTCAGTCCATTGAATGTTTTGTGGTTAATTCGCGAAGAAGATCATGGTCATGATTTGTGTTCGTTCCACCCAATATTTTGTGATCTTTTATAGTTGATGTCCGGGTTTCTGAACCATAGAGTAGTTAATTCTCTACTAACGACGGAGTAGATATCAAGTAGATTTTGAAACTGTTTTGAAGGTTCATGAGCGCCATAGTTATCTTCAAGCTTTTTTCATGCTACCTAAACTAAAGCGTTTCGAATTTTAAAGTCGTACTGCGATTCCTTGCGATTCCTCTCCAGCTAGTAGTTTAATGTTTCTAGTAGGAAAACATTTCAGGTCCTTGGGGTACTGACCGGTGTTGATATACTCAGTGCTGCTTTCATTGCAATGAAGCCTGCAATCAAGGCAGGAGCTTTTCAAGACTCGGATTGAAGCAAAACTGTATTCGACTAGTTCTGCTCTAAAATTGTAGGTCGACGTCCGCGAAGTCGAGATCAGGCGTTTCGGAACTGATTTTCCAGAGGTTTGCACAGTTTTCTAAACCAACCTACCATGTCCCATAAATCATTTTCGCGGGGGTGACTACTATTAGATGAAAATTCTCTTTTTTATCAGGTAATAATCTCCCTTGATATTATTATTAGATTCGCATCAACCGTATGTGGAATGGACTAATTGACGACTTGAGGTCTGTGACATTCTAAAGCCGAGTTCAAATTCAAAGTCAGATTTTTTTAAAAAATATATTTATTGATAATCACATTAGATAACTACATTTACAATACTACAAAAAAGCATTTGAACAATAGACATAAACAGAGTAAAGCAAAATTACAAGGACTAGGTAAGTCAAACACGATGGTGTAGGAGGAAGGGCGTCGCCTCAACAACGTCGCCAAAGTTTTTCCCTAAGAAAATGGGAGGGGCGGGGCGGGGCAGGGCGGCGCGCCTTGTAGCACTCAAACTCTATGATCCATTTTGACTGGGTCGTCGGTCAGAAGGGACAACATGACTTCTCGCAAAGCCTCGACCTCGTCTCCGACGTTTTCGCGACGGACATCGTCGCTGAACAATTGTGGGTAAGTCTCAGGTGACCTGAAGATGTGACTGAATGTTTCCGTCACGTTTCAAGTATACGTACAGCCTTTTCACTAAGTAACTTAATTAACGTTCTGTCCTTATTGAGCAGTCCTGTAGGTATCACAAAGGACCATGGAAATTGTCGATGAAAACTGGCATACACCAAGACCCACCATCAAAGAAAGAATATCCTTTATGTTCAACAAGGATCATTTGAGCGACGTCAAATTTGTTGTTTTTGACGGTGATGGCGAAAACGAAAGTAGACAAATGATTCCAGCTCACAAGTTTATTCTGGCGATTAGCAGCCCTGTTTTTGAGGCCATGTTTTACGGTAAACTGGTGGAGACTGGACACACTATTGAACTGCCTGATTGCGATTACGAAAGTCTGTTGGAGTTGTTTCGCTACATGTACAGCGATGAAGTGAACTTAAGCGGAAGTAATGTGATGAAAGTGCTCTACTTGGCTAAGAAATGCATGGTTCCTTCACTAGCTAATAAGTGTGTGAAATATGTTTTCGAACATTTAGATGCATCCAATGTTTTCAACGTTCTGCCATGTGCTCAAAAATATGACGAGAAGCTACTGGTGGATAAGTGCTGGAAAGTGATCGATGAAGACGCGGAAGCAGCTATGAAATCGGAAAGCTTTGCGACGATCGACAGGTCGTTACTTGAAGCTGTGGTGGAACGAAATACTTTGGACATCGCCGAGCTGGAATTGTTCAATAGGCTCATGGAATGGGCAACAAAGAAATTCGAAGAACAAGGCATAGTGGCAGATGGGCAACAGAAAAGGAGAATTCTTGGAGAACGAGTCATAAAATCAATACATTTTCCAATAATGACAGAAGACGAATTTTCATTTGTTCTCAGAAGCGGAATTCTTAGACTAGGTGAAGTCATTTTCAAAGCGGACATAAATTCGGTAGAAAATCGTCCGGTAGGATTCCCAAAGACTAAAAGATCCAGCCGTTTTAAACGTTGCTAGTATAATTCTTCCGTGACCTTTGATCTGATTCGCCGCAGCTGCCCATCATCTGATACTTTTGCTGTGGATTGCGAGATACAGCTTCACGGAGTGTTTGTTTGGTGAAAAGGACAGCCCTCATTCACTTACTCTTTATCTCGAGACAGACCGAGATGGCGTTCTTGCCTCCACAGGGGGAACATTTGTGTCAAAGCTCCACAGGTCATGTAAATGTTACGGTTTTGAGGTTTGGTTTGAAGAACCAGTATCTTTGCAAAAAGGATCAAAATACCGCACACACGTTGTAGCAGATCATCCATTATATAACACAAATGCTTGCGGTCTTGTTCAATGCCGTTCCGGTTGTTGCTTTTACCTTCTTTTTTTCCTTGAATCAAAGTCCTATTGCTGAATTCATTTTCAGCCTTAATTGTGAGTGAAAATGATCATTCAAAATGAGTCTGGCAAGTTGAAAGAAGTAACAAAGTGAAGTTGCCCTATGTGAACTCGGGCCTTTTTCTGTGTTGTAAAAGGGTGTCCTTTAGGGGCTAGACCCAAGGGAATATCAAGTAGAATAAGTATAGTGAGTCTTATTTAAGTAGACACATGAATTCTGTAAAGCTGATTGTACCTGACGTGAAAATAAACTTTGCAAGACATCATCAACACGACACCGAAAGAGGCCAAAACAGAGCGGGCATGTGGCCGTAGACAGCTGCTGTTTAAATTGCGTTTTGTGTGAAAAAAAAACCTTTTTAAAATCATAACCGTAAAAGATCCAATAGAAGCCCCGCTTTTTTATTTAGGAACCTAAGCTAGCCTAAGAAAACAGCCGACATTTGGCGACGCTACCACTGGTTTTCCCGCCAAGTGACGTCTGAGAAACGAGCGCAGAAATTCCATACTGATGACGCGTCACTACCCAGATCTGGGTAGTGCTGCTGAAATTTTAAGCTTCCGCTTTCAGAAAAAAAAAAGTCACGGACAAATGTTTTATCGATCTAAACGAAAGACTAAAGCAGACATTTTTACAAGAAAATGTTGTTTAATTTCTTAGCGGTATTAAACTGCATCAGTTCACCCTAAAGAAGCCTCACGATCGTACCAAAACTTCAAGCAATGTCTTGGAATACAACAACAGAATACATGACTTTACTGCTGATACTGACGCTTTTAGTTTTCGCCTCAGCCAGGTAGACTGAACATAAGACAAAACATTCAAGGTTATTCAATTTTCTGTTTTCACCGGTAAATTCAAGTGTCTGTAAAGCGAGGTTGACGAAATCTGTAATTGTGACTAGGAACGCAGAAGAGTGCTTTTCCGTTGTCCGCATTAATCAGTGTCCGTATTAAGCGAGTGAATTTTAGAGAAAATGTATGAGCGTTTTGTCTGGACAAGCGAAACTCTCCGTTATATACGTGTCTGTATCCGGGGGGGGGGGGCACTCCCTTATTTGGCCTAGACAGATATGTGCCGCTGAACATGATATGGTTTTCAAAGTCCCAAATAGGGTATACAATTTTACTGTTGCATCTTCAACAGGGTGTGTTTTTGGACCAGAAGCCTTCATCAGTGAGATTGTGAAGCCTTCATACGAACAGTCTACATTTGTGGCACCCTCAAAAAATTAAGTTCCATTATATTAGTTTGAAAAATTACCTAATTCTCTATGTAATGCAAAACAAAACGAATTAAATGAGGTCTTGTCTCAAACAGGGCGAACATATCAGCTCAGTTTATAATGTAAAATATATAATAGTCTGTCCAGTCAATCCATTGATAAGTCTAGGCCGGTTAGAGGTCCACATCGTTTTTTAAAAGCTCAAAATGCAACTTCCATGTCACAATCCCTAATGAATAAATAGGATGATTTTGCTCTATTTCGCTATTTCCTAAATAAAGGAGGCCGAACAACAGAGGGGGAGGGGTGGGGGGTGCGTCCTTGTTGGAAAGAGGCAGGAAAGTTCGTCGCCTCGTTTTAAAGGTGCATGGACTTTTCAGATTTGGTCGAAAAGGAAGTTCAAAACCGTTGATATCCACACACTTTATGTATTTCAGCACTTTTTAGGGCTGTGAGTGAAGGAATATAGAAAAAGACAAAACTGAAAAAGTCATTGAAGAAGCCGTGAGAACATTTACGCGGGACACTAAAATCGCAGCTAAATCACACGATCGTAATTGGTCTTTATTGTGGCTATCTGCACGGTTTTAGATTGGCGATCTTTTCTCTGGGGGTGGAGGGGGTCAAATGAAACTTGAGTCATGCCAAGATTGGTCGTCTTATCGGGGGGAGGGATGTGCAATTTCAAAATATTGAAATCCATCAGGAGCTGATGGGCTCCTGAATTCATACTTGGCATCTAAGCTTGGAGGTATAAAACAAAAGAAACATATTATTCATCCTTGAACCTGAGGGTGGCTCCTTTTGTTTTCGGTTCCTTGCCTCGAATCCAAGTATCAATTTTAACTAACGAAATTGGTGTGTTTTCTGACGGAGGAAGCACCTTACCTCTTTTACATGGGTGTACCGGTACTCCCGAGCTGGGCAGCCTAACAAGTTAGGGGCAAGAAAACGTTTTTCTTCTGTGCACAAACAAACTGTCTCTAAAAATGGCAGTCGCTGATCACTTCTTGACATCGAGTCAAAAGCGTTTTCAAAAAAATGACGCAGTGTTATTCACTTGACAGCAGAGTTGCCAATTCTGGAAATCTGAAATCTGGAGACTCTTTCTTTTGCATTACCCTTCTCCAGCCCGAACATCAACGACCAACCCCCCTCTCCCCATAATCCCCCATTCAATCCAGTCCGGGAGATTTGGTGACCCGAACGGGAGATCGGGAGATTGTTGTCGTATCCGGGAGAGCCAGTGGCATGTATGCTGACCGTAGCGTCTGTTTAATGTCTTTTGTCCAGCTTGCGAGGAAGCGCTCCATTTGGGGGAGACTTCTCCGTGAGAGCAGCACGCGAAAGGAGAACGTGTGCTAGCAGGCTATCTTTTGTCTAAAGTGGCTATTGATACATTGGGATATTTGCATATATTTGGAATAAACATTTTCAGCAGCGCTTCGTATGTTACATATTTGTTCCCTTGGGAATCGGTTACAGCTTTTTATAAGCTATAATACATCTTTTCAACAACAGTCACACAAGAACTTGAAGTAGCCCACTAGAGGTCAATGCTGCCGGTTGGGTTTGCTGTCTTGAAATTAATCTTGCACCTGTTTGCAGCTAAAACCGCTCGATCTTTTAATTTCGTGTTGCGTGATAAGCCAGACAGAACATAAACAGTATGAGCGGTGATTCAGGAGTTGAGTACATGCTTCAAGAGAGGCCTCCTAAAAGGTGAGTTTATGCCTCTCAGATAGGTAGCGTTCGTCAAAGAAGATAATTTTATAATAAGAAAGTAACAGCATTTCATTTCGATATAAACTTCGCAGTTCTTTTCGCTGCTGTCTGCTACAAAATCATTGTCGATTATCTTGTCGGCGTCGCCGCATATAGGGTGTGAGGGTTGGGGGGCGATCGAGACTGCTCGCGGCCCAACTGAACCTCAAGCAGTTATCTTTAATCATATGTTTATAATGGTATCATATCAATGTGGGGACGAGGGTCTGTGTTAAAAGTATGGTATGTGATAACAGTTAGTACGATTAATTATTCTAGAATGAAATTACGACTAGACGTTTACATTGTGTAAATATCGTCTTTAAACAGAAAGTATTTTGTAACGTGATATTCATAAACGCACAGCAAAAACCCTTGAATGCAGAGGTCCACTCAACGCGTAACTAAAAACCGACAGACGGACTGGTTCCTTCTTGCCGGATCTCTAATGTAGAGATGCTAATGCCAGACGTCACTTGAAGTGGTAATTATAACAAAACTAAATATAAAGCTGGCAAAGAGCTGATTTATTTGAACCCAATATTTCTGCTAACAAAAAAAGCCTTTCATAAATGGACAGGTTCTGCGATAAAACGATGAGTGAGGGGTAGGGCCGAGTTTACCAATGTTCACTATGGAATCAAGTTGCAAAATACAGACGAACGTCTTATGTAAGGTCTCTGAAATAATTTCCATAAACAGCCGCCGATCTCCCAGAGCTTCGCTTATTTTAAATATCCCTTCTTGTTCTCGTCTATTGCCCAGATGCAGGATTTAGGAAAATAAGTAAATAAAGAAATACTCTTTTGAAGCGTCCCTTGAGAACCCGGCCAGTGTTTGGTTTCTTCTTATCATAACCTCCTTTAACGGTATATATAATACAGAACTTTCAGCTAAAACCACTCTTTTTTTTTCTATAAGAATATATTTTATAAGAATATCAAGGCTGAAATTCGCAAAATTTTAAGAATATTTTAAGAATAAACCCGAGACTAAGATATTGAAAAGCGGATATATTTTTGTGTGTTCAAAAGCTGTTAATACAATACAATTTTATGTTTTCCACTTATTCCATTCTCTAAAGGGGAAAACTAGGCAACAAAACGAGAAAACCTGCACTAACTATAACTGATACCCCCAATATAGTCTAAAACGGAAATGTCATGAGCTATAATCTAAGAATAATACAAGAATATTTTCAGCCTAAAATCGGCAGAAAAATAAGAATATTCAGCCTGGGTCGGAAAAACAACATTTTTATTAAAAAAAAGAGTGTATTGGTCTATTGTTCACCATGGTGACCGACAAAGTGTGGGACTTCAACGACTCCTTCTGTTTTTGCGAACGTCTTGTACACGTCAAAGGCAAGGCATCAAGAAAGTGGGAATGTTTTTCACACATCTATCGAGAGTAAACAAATTTACTCGCAGACGGATTTACATATAACCCTTTCACGCACAGTGGCCATATATTGAGGCAAACGAAGAACATTCCTTCAGCTAGCTACGCAGCCTGGGTGTCGTTCTTTTACATGGTTGTGGTCCTTGCCTTAAATATCTGTCATAAGACAGCTGATAAGATGACAATGATATTCTTCTTGAATTTGGATCGAAGTTTGTCGGCACTTTTGGGAGCCTAGCCTGAGGATTTTATGAATGACAATTAACATTTTCCGCCTGACAGTTCAGTTTAAGGCTACCTCCATGAAGCTTTCAGATTGTTAACTTGCCAAAAATTGGCTCGAGGATTTCTTTTGCTGGTTTTGTCAGTTTTTTCACTTTGTTTGGCAAAAAAACTCATTTTCGAAAAGAGGCTAAGTGCAAAACCTTTCTTGTGATAATGTGTTTGATTTGCATGAAAATAGAAAAGCTGGAAGCAACTCGGAATTGGCCATTTGCCTTTCTCTGTTTATAAATTATGCATAAACTTTGCACGTGACATAGAAAGAGAGTTGAAAGAAACAGTTTCTGCAGGGGGAGCATCACATGGTGTGCAATGGGAAAACAAAACACAGTGGCAGTGGCTTGAAGGCTGTAATTCGAGTGAATGGTTCGTATTTAACTCGAATTCTGCTCCTGGGCTTGGCTATTTATTGTCGCATATTATTCAAGGGGTGGCCTTTTTCCCTGGACGAAGCAAAGAAGACTTTTCTTGAGCGCCCTCTCATGACAATGTAAAAATCAAAAGAACAAATTATGCACATAAAGAAAGCACATCCACCAGGATATATTGTCATTCAATTGATTTTACCCTTTGTTTAAATTATATTTCAAACTAATTAGCATATATTACCATAGCCAAAAACAAAACTGTGGAGAAAGAAAAAGAAAGCGCGTTCCCCGCGCACTTTCTATATTTTGATTATTGCTGTTTTTAAATTTTATGATTTTTATGATTATTGCTATTTTTAATTTTTTTTTCATAAATGAATGCGTGACGAACGAACCCCACGGGACGTCTGCGGGGGAGTTAATTTTTATTAAAATACTCAGCGGGATCCTCTGCAGAGGAGAGAGGTCAACGAATATGCAGAGAGTGCAGATAATTGATAGGAGCCCGCGAAGCACTAGCCTCCCACGCAGGCGTTTTTAGGGGGGTAGGGAAGAAATACGAGCTCCCCTAAAAACGCCTGCGAGGGAGGCCAGCGTAGCACACAATGAAAACAGACAGTGCATAGATAGAGAACGGATGCGCGCGAGCGAGACACGCGAGAAGTCTCGCGCGTCCGTTGTTTCTTGCCCCCACCGTGACTTTCAAGCGTCTGCTTTGCAAGCTAATTGATAGAAGAAAGTGTCATACACATCGTCATATACCGATACTTGTCCAATAAAAAGAAAAGAACACTTATCGAAATGAGAAAATGATGAGGCTCTTTTCGTAAATCTGTAGCATTCCCTTCGCGGTCCTTTGCAGTTTCTTTTATGTTTAGTTTTTTGGGGAGACCATTGGTCAGTTTAGAAGCGATTTGCTTTGCAATTTTTATTCAACGCCCATATTGTCTACTATTGGTCATCCCCTGGTTATTTTTGGTTTTGCAAGGCATTGAAGCCGTTAAATAATAGAAGCCATTAATTTTTTTTTTGAAATTCCTGAAATTCAAGCCAGCCAGCTGCCACTTCTCATAAAAAGGCCTTTTAGCCTTTATTTGAACGAGAGGGAATCTGCAGGGATACTGTTAAATATCATTGTAAAAGTATAAAATTAATTTTAAAATGCTTTGTTCACCTCTCCTTGGCAGGTCAAATAAACGCTTGATCATCATAGCTGTTGTGGTGCTTTTAATCCTTTTAGCAATTATCATAGCTGTTGTAGTTGTTGTTACCAGAAAAGACAAAACTTCCTCAACTATGCCAACTGCCAAAACCATCAAGCTTCCACCAACCGGGCCCCCGGGGTCGGAGGGCCCTTATAAGCGCGCCGTAGTGTCCTCTGATGCTGGTCCTTGCTCGGAGATAGGCCGGAATATCTTAAAGAAAAATGGTTCCGCGATAGATTCGGCGGTTGCAGCGCTGTTTTGCATCGGGGTTTACAACATGCACTCCGCTGGAGTTGGTGGTGGAGGCTTCATGACAGTCTATCGTAATGAAACAAATGTTGTGGAGGTGATCGACTTTCGCGAAGAAGCCCCTGGAAAAGCCAACAGGACCATGTATGTGGGAGGGAAGATGAGCTCTAAATATGGTAAGTACTGCCATGGATTTTCTTTCCGGAAAGGCTTTTACCTTACCCAGACCTGGCTTTTTGCTTTTAAGGTTTCCTAGGACGAGGGCAGGGCCGGGAAGTGGGGATAAACTTTACGAAACTTCGCTTCAACCTACTGGCGCGACGCACACTTTCACGCCCATCAGGGTTCCCCTAAAACAGAGATCCTGCCCCGGCCACGCAGTTTAGGAAATACGTCGTGGTGTTTTAACAAACCGCAATTTGTACGGTAGCATGGACTGAGAAGCAGACAAAGTCACTGAGGGGAGAGGGCTTGAATATTGTCAATAATATAATTAAGGCGTTTCAACAGTTCCCTGAGGAGTTCAAATCACGATTCGTTACATAGTTACAAGTTACCTGGGGGACATGAGTTCAAATCCCACTCACTACCTTATCACCTTAGGAAGAAAATTTCCGGGGAGGCCCACACCTAAACCACCAAGATCACCTCTTCGATTGGAGCGCTGCCAGCGTGGTGATGGTGTAGTGGTTATCACACCCGACTAGCTACCGGGGGAACGTGGGTTCAAATCAGAAAAATTGAAAGTTTCTTAGTGAGTAGAAGTGCAACTGAAGATGTTTCGTACGCGCGTAGCAAACTAAACATAAATGACATGTCCGCGTAAACAGATTCTATTGAAAATAGATGAATGAACTTGCCATATTGACTCCTTTTCTGCCCCTCTTACAGGAGCAACCGCAGCTGGGGTACCTGGTGAAGTGAAAGGATTTTACGAAGCTTGGAAAAAGTATGGCAAACTACACTGGAAGGATCTGGTCCAGCCTTCCATCGATATGGCAAGAAACGGGTTTCCCTTTGGCTATTCTGCAGAATACGCCGCGAAAAGATCCAGCGTGTTTAAGTACATCAAGGCTGATCCTGGACTTAGGTTTGTGAAAAAGCCAGTATAAGCCAGTCCTAACATTTTTTAATCAATGAGACTCGACCATATCGTAATTGCATTCGGAGCGTACGTCTCATTCGTGTACCATCATTAATATTTTTCTTTCGCATTTGAAACTGAGTGTGTGAAATTTCATATATTTCACTTTCATTTTTAGCTTTTAGATCCCGCGAGACGACGTCCTTAATTACCCATTGCCAATAAACCTTTCCTTTTCTGCCACAGTATACAGTATTTTAGTGCGAGGCATCAACTTTTCAGTAAACGGCCGGCTGACCAAATCGAATTTTTAGAAAGGACAGAAGCTGTTAATCAAACCTTTAGGCCCCAGCCTTTCAAAAGTTACTAGTTGGATATCGTTATCCACCGGATAAATCACTGTCCATTGGATAAGCTGGGGAAACATATTGCGTTATTCACTCAAATATAGAGTTTTATCCAGTCAAGAGAACATAAAAGCCTATTATAAGTATTTTATGTTTTTTCGATCCAGTGGATAGCACACTGTCCACTCTATCCACCTTTTGAACAATTCGGGCCACAGGGGCACCCATAACCCTACGGTGCAGATCAGGACTGGATTTTAGTTCTGACATTGTTGATCTCTCTCTCTCTCTCTCTCTCTCTCTCTCTCTCTCTCTCTCTCTCTCTCTCTCTCTTTAGATTCATCTGTCCGTATCTGCTACGTTTTCTCCTTTTGAAAAATTTAAAACGTTTTATACGTCAAACCTCACTTCTTTGGAGCAAGCCAATAAGCTAAGCTTTTACATACCCAAAATACGTTCTCCCTTTTCTAATTTATTTTACTTTTCCAGAATATTTTCTAGTTCAAACCAACTTAACGTAGCAAATACGCATTTCTTGGTACATCAACCAAAAATTTTGTAAAATTTGCCAAACAAAACGGATTTGTAAGGTCCTTAGGGTAATTAAAATTACTATTAAACCCCTCCGTGTTTGGAAATATTTTCAATTTTGCTTTAACTTAAATTAAGCACCAAACGTTGTTCTCAGGTACATGTTCGACACCAGTTTCAGACTCAAGATTTTTTTTTTTAGTCAACCCAAAACGTATTTGCTGTAAAAATAATAACCCTTTGTGATACCTTCTCCAATTTTTATGTGGAAAGTAAGCGCTTCACAAAAGAAACTCTTCCGAAACAATTTTTGAGGGGTCAAAGCACTTTGAATGCATTTTTTATCCAAAACCTATTCCGTAGCAAATACTCGTTTTTGCAGCAAATACGCACTTTGGTTTTCGCTCAGAAAAGAAACATGTAATTTATTTCGAAGTTAAGCCGTGATAAAAGAAGATCAACAATGCATAATGATGCCTACCAACCAGGGAACAGCCAGCCAAAGGTAGCCATTAATATTACCCGCTGTAGAAGCTTATTTTACACAAAACTGTGTAAAATGCGGATCATAAGGTAGCAAATACTCGTTTTTGCAGCAAATACGCACTTTGGTTTTCGCTCAGAAAAGAAACATGTAATTTATTTCGAAGTTAAGTCGTGATAAAAGAAGAGAAACAATGCATAATGATGCCTACCAACCAAGGCACAGCCAGCCAAAGGTAGCCATGAATATTAACCACTGTAGAAGCTTAATTTACACAAAAAATGTAAAATGCGGATCATCAGGTAGCAAATACGCATTTGAGTTTTCGATATCTTATTTATTTAAAAGTTATGTCTTGGAGAAAGAAGAAAACCAATGAAAGATGATGTTCACTTTACAAATAACAACTATCCAAGGGAAGACATGGATATAACCTGGTATATATCCTTATTTATCACCAATTTGGAAATATCACGAGATGCAGTTTGCGGAAATTGCGCACTTTTGGCCGGCGTTATAAAACACCGGCTAAAAGGTTTGAAGATTGCATATTATAAAGGCTTATAAGTTTTCTGCCATGCAGATAGGAAATGACAATTTCGCTTTGAATGCCTTGATAAATCATGTATAATTTTGTCTATTAAATTCCTGCCTCGTTAGTACAGAGCAGTCTCGCGCGCGCTTACGCGCTTCACCCATACTTTAGCTAATGATGCCACACATGATGCTAATGAACCTTCCTTTCATAAATTCTTACGATTTTCGACTAAAGGACTTGTAAGGCTCAGTTCTGCCGAAATATTAGGCACACTGACAAAAATGATGCGCGCGTATCTTAAAAAGTTTAGTGCATGAAAAAGGTGCACCTGCAAAACAGGTTGTAGCTGGGGACGCTTGTCAGAGGAAAAATGTTATAGCTTTTACGACAGACTGCAAGGATGATGTATTATCTTAAAGGAAACAGCCACATGTCGCAAGAAAGGCGATTAACTTTCGCAGGACGGCGCGCCGGCGCATATGTCAAAAGCGGCTCAAACATGTTGCTAGGAGAATGTTCCAATACAGAGCTACGCAGGGCTATATAGGGCTCTGTAGAAATCTGTAGGGTATTATACGGCTATGTAAGACCTATGTAGGACTTGAAAAGCGCTGCATAGCCGTGCTTCGCCGTACATAGCCATGCATGGCCGTACATAGCCATACATAAACGAACATAGCCGTCCATAGCCCTACAGAGCCGTGCATAGCCATGTATAGTCGTACATAGCCCTACGTAGTCCTACATAACCCTACATAGCCCTACATAGCCGTGCATACCCATACATAGCCGTACGTAGCCTTCCATAACCTTACATAGCCCTACATAGCCGTACATTGCCATAAATAGCCGTACGTAACCCTACATAGCCATGCATTGCCGTAAATACCCGTGCATAGCCGTAAATGGCCCTATTTAGCCATGTATAGCCGTACATAGCAGTACATAGCCCTGCAATGCCGTGCATAGCCGTCCTTAGCGGCACGTAGCCGTGCATAGCCGTATATAGCCGTAAATAGCCGTTTATATGCACGGCTATGATGGGTTATGTACGGCTATGTAGAATTATGCACGGCCATGCACGGCTATGTACGGCCATGCACCGCTATGTAGGGCTATCCACATAGCCATGTACGGGTATGCAAGGCCATGCACGGCTATGTATAGCTATGTACGGCGATGAAGGGCTATGAACGGCTATGCACGTCTATGTCATGACGTCTATGTACGGTTATGCACGGCTATGTACGGCTACGCACGGCCATGCACGACTATGAAAGGCCCGTATGCAGAGCTATGCACGGCTATGTAGGGGTATGCACGGCTATGTAGGGTTATGTACGGCTATGTGCGGCTATGTAGGTTGCCCTTTTTCATTGCTACTTGCGCGTCCAATTCTTTGATCATCTCTCTACCGCGTTTTTTAAGTAATTATAGCGCGACCTGCTCGCCTCTCCTTTGCATTTCGTCTGCGCAGATGTCGATAAGCTGCACCTAAGTAGCAGGCCTCCTTCGGGTGTAGGTAAGCCGTTAAAAACTTCAAAAGGAGGGAAGAACCTGGTACTCATTCATAAAATCGAGGCGCATTCGCCCACTTTTCTCTTTTTCTTCTCAGTTATTTTCAGAGAAAACATGTTTAGTTTGGAGGCTATAACAATGAGTTCTTTTCGGGCAAGGCAAACCCCTGTATGGTGCCTTTGTAGCCTATGGCTGCGCGCTGAAATTTCACTACTTCATATAACAAATTTTATTATGAATAAACAGAAGTTCACTGGGCCATTGATTTGCATATAACATAATAGTAATAACTAACTCCTAGGTACTACCAATCTAAAATCTGAAGTAGTTTATAACATGTAGTCGTAATTTAAGTGTTTAACGTTTGAGACAAAAAAAGGAACAACAGTGAAATAATAGCAAAACTTCGTATTTCTGATTGTCATAAGACATTATATTAGCTACTTAAAATTTCCTATTATTAGTCAAACTGAATCTATTTATTAAAATAATAGCTAAAAATGAGCGCAATAATTTTCAACAGTAAACTATACTATTAACGGCGGTATGTAAACACTGTTTTTTAAGTCTAACTTAACGATTGTTTTACTTGTCTTTTATCTTCATTGCTTTTCATCTTAAGCCTCGTTTTAAAAAGTGCAAAGAAAAACAGCACTCCCGAATAACTGTGAAAACCGAGCACTAAGCACAAATACAAGAACAGTTTTTATCTCCTTTTTGCCTCGTGCTTGCACTTGTTATTGTGTCGCAATTAACACGCATGCTTATAACGAATCCACAACCGCACAAAGATCCACAATGTGGCATCCTCGGTTGTGTGGGAATGTGTTCTTGCCACTTCATACGTTCATGCTTTTGTCTACTCTTGTTTTAAGACAAGACTCCACAGTTTGCGCCTACACTTTTGCCGGTGTCTCTAGTAAAACCAGCCTTTACACTGTGTTTATCCTTGCATAGTAAACTCCAGTTGATTTAAATTATTTAACCTCATTAACTTGGACTAAAACTGGCACAAAATGCTCATCTTTACCTAGCGAATTGCAAGGGCTGGTAACAAAAACCTTTTAACAATCCAGAACTTTTTAATAAGTCCAAACTTTCGACATTGGTTTTAGAGTTAGCATTTGCTGTCAGTGTGAACGCACCTCTAAATGTTACGGCATCATTTTAATCAAGGAAACATTGATGCCACATTTCTAACTCCCTTATTTGTGATTTCAGCGGAAATCAAAAGTCTTCTCAAAACAACAACTCGATTCTACATAGCTTCTTAAAACAATCATGGTCAACATCAAGCCTGGTGGAGGAACTCCCTTCTAAAAGGGACAGGGATGCTCGTCGTCTTGCTTAGGGGTTTATATTGTCGTTGGGTTGTAAATTTAGGTCTCACTTAGGGTGTTTGGGACGGACTATATTTGCCCATACAGGTATCGATTAGGGCTGCGCGTAAAGAAATTTGCAACAAAAAAAAAATACCGTGACACTGACCACACAGAAATCTAACGTTTAAAAAAGAATATGAGGAAATTTCAGTAGAAAATTTTAAAATTTCATTAGCCACTTTTTGACATTCCAGTAAGCAACTTTCTAGCATTTCACTGGCACAATTGGGACAGGCCTAGCTACACCCTCATTGTTCTCCATTAGGCGTTTAATTTTAATTTCCCGACGAGAATCCCCTCACGTTTATATGTGAGTCCCCCGGGACATCAAGACCATTAAGTGAAAAATAAGTAAAACTTAGTTAACAGCGGATTGTAAAATCCTATAGGGAGAACATTTATTCTAGCTTGAACAGTTTATCGCACGGTTTCCTTTTTTTTTTTCCAGCTTCCTTTTTGAATTCTTGTCTCACTTTGTCATTCAACCGCTGCTTAGCTTTGTGGATTTCCTCTTCGTTTTCTGTGCCGGTTATGAGGCCAATCTCCACCGACCTTGGATCACTCACCACCCTCTGCCATACGACCTCTCTTTTTATGTTGTTACACTTCAACATGTCATAGGTTAGGAGATCAGATGCCCTGTTTGTTCATCGGTGAACTTCCTCCAAAAACGAGAATTCTCGGTTGAAGTTGACTCTGCTTGCGATGTCGAAGCAACTTCTGATTGGCATTTTGCCAGGTAATTCGTAATCTTGTCTTGAGTTGTTACTTCATGGCAGGGGGTTCCACATTCTCCATGAACGCGTCTCTTAGGCGGCGAAGCTTCAGAATGACAGCCTTGAAAGAATGAGTTTGGAACAAGCTTGTTTCTTCCAGCTTTTATTAATATTTTGCTCATCGATGAGCCCCGTTTCGATTTCTTCTTTACAAAGCTTTCTTAGCATCTCAGTCTCATCAGCTGTCCAAAGCGCGGGTGTTTTCATTTCGCCCTTCGTTTCAGGCTCAGATTTTTCTTTCTTTAGCGAAACGAGGTTCTTTACTGCTCGTCGTCCCAAGTCAGTTTCGTTTATTTTGTCGTGGATGCGATAGTAATTTGCCTGCGTTTGTACTTTGTGTTGGGCAAGGGCAGCTAGGTGTTCCTTCTGGTCAGGCAGGTGGACGTGCATCCCAGTGGCAAGGGACTTTCGAATTGTTGTCGCGCAGACCTTTCCCTTGACTTTAACACCTTCTCTTTCAAAGGTTCTCGCGATAGCTGTTGAAACCTGAGACGAAGTCAGGGCAATTCCATTGCTTGAAACAAATACGCACTCTACACTAGAATCTGATAGAACGAACTGACTCCTCACTGTTCTTATGTACATGTCTATGAGGTGATACAGGTCTTCATAAATCCAAACGACGGCCGGCCCATACACTTTAGCTGTCTTGTGATCTTTAACATGTACCCTGAACCGTGCCGGGTCCTCTTCTGTACCCTGGTAGTGAACAGCCTCATTAAATTCGGCAACAGTCATTTTGGCTGCCACCCCACTTCTGCCACTATTATCAATCAGCATTCGTGTCATTAACCAGTCCCTCACTTCACAGTGCGATTTGTCACTGATAGTCCTCATGATAATTTCACCACGATGTGTGTTTTCAGAGGTTGCCGCCAATTGCTTAACAGCGTTCACGCGCTGATTTCCATGGCAAATCTTGTCAAGGCTTTCACTTGAGAGAATTTTCCGATAATCCTCATCGTACTTCTCTAGTTTCCTCTTTAAGATGTTCTTTTTTTGTGCAGATGACCATGACGTCATGAGATCTGTGCGAGCGTTAAGCAAGTCCAGGGATACTTCCGGTATGGACTTTTCCTCTTGGATTAAGAATTTGTAAAACTGGCGCAGACTCATCAAGTAGGACCTAACAGTTCCTGGTCGGTACTTGTTGACCGCATAGGAAAGCCATGACTTCAAAATGTTTGCTCCAACTTTTCCAGGGGTCAAAAGCGAGTAAATCGCAGGGCCGGATTGTTTTTGTTTATCGTCCTGTGTCGAATTCGCTGTGCAGGTGCGAATGACACTTTTCACTTGAGACTTGTATTGCTGTGCTATTTTAACATTACGATAACCTCCATCTACGTCAATCATGTAGTCGTAAAATTCAGTAATTAAGTTGTCAGTGATAGTGTCAAAGCAACCTTGCTGACTTTCGTTTCCCTTTTCAAGATCTGGTTCACCATCACTTGCTTCCCACTCTTCATCCAAGGCATCATCGTTGTCGCTTTCGTCACTCATTAATATGCTTTCGACTTCATCACCTTCGCTCTCTTCACAGTGCTGAAACCTTCGTCTCAAGTCTTCTGAAGAATCTTCTTCATTCTTAAAACGATAACCTTTAGTTTCTTGAGCAATTATAAACTCTTGAACTTTTTTCTTCCACCGAGGTGACTCAAGTTTATTATCTAGAAATGACTTTCCAGCTACAATTTCCTCCTTTCCGATAACCTCGACCATTTCTATCATCAAATTTTCATAATCAAGAGAATGAATAGAATCTTGAGATTGGTAAGATTCACTCGACTCAGAATCACTTCCCGGAATGTAGTCGCTACCAGATTCACTGTCTGATAAGATGACAATGTCGTTCCGTTGTTCACTTGCATTTTCCCACGCTCGACGTGCAAGATCGTCATATTCTTGATCACTGTCCTTACTAATTGTACCGGCACCTTTATCAACTCGTTCACTGGTCTCACCATCATTTTCGCTTTGACAATCCTCTAGGTAAACGTCATTGCAGTTATCCTCACTTGGCCCAGCAGTTACTTCTAATGGCTTTTGGCTCTCATCTTGTAGTTCTTTATCATCTTCGCTTCCATCATTATTTACTTTAGCTCTACTTGCTTTCACACGTTTTCGGCAATCCTCTTCACCCGATCTCCTATACTCTCCGCTGTCATAATTACTTTCATGCCTTTCATCGTCACTACTCCTCTCTGCTCTCCTCTTGCCCTTCCTCAACTTTCCTCCTTTTTTTTGCTTCTTTAAGTGATCGTCTATGAAGTCTAGAGAGACTCGTGGAGCTTCCTTCAAGGCTTCTCTGTAGCTGGGTGTATCAGGCTTAAGACCATGTAAAGGCGTTTGTAAATGTTTATTGAGCTGGAAAATGGGCGTTTTTTTGCCTTTGCACGGTGATAACGGGCAGAATTTTACCATCCCCTTGGGCTTCTTCTTCTCCCCTGATAAGTAGTCATGTAATTTGCGTTTAAGTTTCTTCATCCCATGGACGTCTTTTTGATGTCTACTGAGATTAATTACACTCTTACCACATTTAGAACATTTTTTTGGATTTCGTTTCTGTTTTTGGTCTTTACTCGTCTCCGGTAACGTGCTTCCACCGTCCTCCAAGGCATTGCCGTCTTCCGCAACGTCAGTCATTCTTAAAATGAAAAATTACCATTACAGAAATTCACAACTGTAAATAAAGGAAATACCGAATACAGTTGTTATAAGGGTTTTGTTAAAATTGAACTAAGCTTTGGTACAAGCTATTGTTTGCTATTTGAAAATCGACCATGACAGGACGCACAGGTCGTCGACTGCTAGTACCGCAAGTAAGGATGAGGTCTGATACATTGAAAATATACCACAAAATGACGGTAGAAAAACAATAGCTTCAGGTGTCCTGAACGTGACATAATTTGTTTCCATTTTTTTTGTTTAAAAGAAGAGGCAATCAGGTAAATAGAAGAAAACGCAGACTGAATGTGATCCGCAAAAGTCAGTTGAATGTTCTTTGTGGTTATATGCCGGCAGTCAGGAAGAGTCTTAAAAAAGTAAACGTCCGGCAGTCAGAAAATTCAAATTTAATCGTTTGAAAATAATCTACCTTCAATTAGAATAACCAAGCGATCGGGAAACTAAACTGTCTTCAGCTGTCTCCGCATCTGAGCGGTTTTGGTTTCCTGGGCATAGAGTAGAGAGAGTAGAGAGAGTAGCAGCGCGTTACTCTCAGGCACCGGCTAAGTACACGGCAATCTTCAAAAGATTGGAAAAAATAATTTCGTAAACTTTCTGAATGCCGAGCACTCATTTATTTATTTATTTATTTTTTTAACCCCCTTACCGACTGCCGGGCATACAGCTACAGCATTAAAAGATTTCAAACGGGACTCTTCAGCAAAAGCCCCCGTGCTCCCGTGCAAAGACTCAGTTATTTGACTAGCCTGCGTTGCAGCTGGCCCACGCACTTGTCTAAACCATTTGTATAATCCGTCTGCGAATAAGTGTACAAAAAATTGTTCTAACATCCTGCAGAGTCGCAAGAACATATGTGAGCGTTTTTGATAGGCGGGCTTCTTACTGGTTTCTTATGCGCCTCACGATTGGCCTAATTCTTCAGTGTGTGTGACGGTTGAGCGCAGTGAAATGTCAAGATTCACAGAAGGGAGTTGGCTAGGATCGTTTACAGCAAACAATGAAAGAGCAATTGGAACTTTAAAGCCTTCTTCTGGACAAAAAAAAAATGCTTTGAGAGAATTCCTTCGAGGCCAGAATTTGCTTGTAAATTGCCCGGACTGGTTTTCCAGCTTCTTCCTTTTTCGTTATGAAATTCCTTGTATGAATTTGTTTTAGGCCATAGCATGAATATTTTTTAGGATTAATTGGCGTGCATGAATTTTTTTTTTTCATTAATTTTCCCTTGCGCAATTTTTTCTTTTGTACTTCGCCTGCTCCCCCCCATAACTTTTCTAATGATCTGTCCCTTAGAGCGTCTGCGACGAAGGCAATTATTTGACCAAACATTCAAAGTATGTGTAATTAAATGGTGACAAGTGATACCGTAGAATTCCGATAATAACGGCCCCCGTTATTTTCGGATTTAGCAGGCCAAGGGGGCCGTTACTTTCTGGTAGCCGTTACTTTCGGATGGTTACAAAACGTTTGTAATTCAGCAGGGGTTTTACACAAAGAGGACGCATAACAGACATAAAAAAAGTAATTCAGGTTGCATGCTGGTTACGGTATTCATTATCCATGTAAACAAAATAATAAAACTGTAACAAAAAAGGCCCCGAAATGTTCGTATACTATACGTCGAAAAAATTGTTCGTATTATATGACAACTGTGATGACACATACTGCTTTTATCTGTTTTTACGCGTATTAGTTACTATGTTACCCGTATCCTATGTTTATGAAAATGCAGTACACCACTAAAATAGGAAAACATTGTGTGGCATTTGTTGTAAATTAAATAGGAAAATATGATTCAACCCACTACCTACTTGCATTTGTCACCACATACCGCACCTCTTGAAATGTTACATTAACGGTTCAAAAATTATATATATATTTTTGAGAGGTCATTTTTCAGCGGCTGCTATTATCAGGGAGGGGGGGGACGTTACTCTCGGGGTTTCATAGCAAGGTAAAAAATTAACGTTACTTTCGGGTAGCCGTTATTTTCGGGGACCCGTTATTATCGGAATTCTACGGTATCAGGTGATAATTTAACGCGCTTTTATGTCCAAATCCTTATCAAGCCAAAATTAAGAAGTAATTCATCAGCTATACTGTGACATCGAGTAAATTCATGATGAAAAAATATATTTTTCATAGGTGAGATTGCCAGAGACGAGAAAATCGTCAGAATAGAAAAATTTGGTAAGCTGTTTGAATAGGTGTAATGCGTATTTGGTTATTGCGAAAAAAGCAATCAGAATATATTTGATATAAAGGAGAAATACTTTATGCCGTACAAAATTCGAAAACAGAAATGTAGGCGCCCTACATGACAGTAAATTGCAAAATTCCAGTTCGCAGTTTGTATACTGTTAACTCTTATAGACCCAATGAATCCGTGAACGTTTGCTAGGAACGGACGATTGATTTATTAACTAACAAAATGATTCAATTTTTCCGTTGAATGTTCCATTTGTAGCTGCTTTTCATGAGTTAAACAGACGCACATTCTATACAAATGGCTTTTAAGTGGTCATTTCAATTGAATCAAGTTGGCTGGCATCAAATATTTTTTGCTCGAAACTGTTGTAAAGCTTTAAAGCTTATATCTGAACATTGACAAGGTGAGTACCAATTAAAAAAAAAAACAATAACAACATGCCGTATAACTGATTAAGCGTTCCATGGGAGGCCTACACCACAGTCTATATAACTAACTCAGACATTCAAAAATAAAATCATCGTCAGCCATGAAATCTTTTACGGAAGCTTTAAAGAGACATCTTAGTTTGACTTGAAAATCAGTGTTTGTTTTGATGAAAATCGTAGTTTATTTCCAGACATGTGAATTTGTTTTCGAAAACCGGAGTTTGTTTTTGTAAATTGGAGTTTGTTTTCAACAATCGGAGTTTGAAACTGATCGGAGTTTGTTTTCGAAAATCGGAGTTTTGTTTTGGAAAATCGGAGTGTGAAAATCGGAATTTGTTTTCAAAAATCGGAGTTTGTTTTCACAAATCGGAGTTTGAAATTCGGATTCTGTTTTTGAAAATCGAAGTTTGCTTTCCAAAGAAAACTCCGATTTTTAAACTCCGATTATTGAAAACAAACTTCGATTTTCAAACTCCGATTTTTGAAAACAAACTCCGATTTTCAAACTCCAGTGTTCGAAAACAAACTCAGATTTTCAAGTTCCGATTTTCGAAAACAAACTCCGATTTTCAAGAAAAAAAACACCAATTTTCAAGTGAAACTCATGTATGTCTTTAAAGCTTCCGTAGAATAAAACAAGATGTGTGTGAATTATCTACTCATTGATGAATTAAATCGGATTGTACGGTAAAATAAACATTTTTTTTATCCTCACCTGCTCAGTTCTCCAACTACTTTCGCATCACTGTAGTGCACAATCGTACACGTGGGGAGCCATACACAGGGCAGCCATGTTAAAGACTACTACGCATGGTTTTAAAGGAAAGATCGCTAGCCAAACAAACCGATGAAAGGTTTGGACTTTGGGGCTGGGTGGGTGGGGTTCGTCTGACCAGGTGACTGGTTGTTTCTTATCAGACTCTAGCCAATATTTCAGAGAATGTAATGTAATATAATAAATTAGCAACTGAGTTTGCCATCTGTTGGCGTAGCTTTTTTAAAAGTTGATAGCTTCTAAAGAAGCCGTTATTTTTTCCCCTTTAAGAATCAACTTAGTTTCAGACAATTATTTATTCCTCGTTAAGTTCTGCTATAACTATATAATATTTTACACGGGTTGCATATTTAAAACAGCTCTCAAAACATGAAAATTTCATCAAGCGTTGTTTCCACACAAACCAAGAGAAATCTCTATGCTGAACCATGTTTTGTCCCTACGTAAGCCTCGAACTATCTACGTACTTTAAAATTATAGTTTGCAACGGTAGCTATTAATATGAAGTCGCATAGCAGTACTGAAGTACCTCTTATTTGCTGCAAAGTCCTTTGTTTTGAAGCTAAAACCAACCGTACGTATTTGCTACCGTAGCAAATACTCACTTATGTAGCAAATACCTACCAGTAAGTATTTGCTACCGTAGCAAATACCTACCCGGAGTAGCAAATACCCACCCTCCGTATTTGCTACGGTAGCAAATACTCACTAAGGTAGCAAATACCTACCAGTGAGTATTTGCTACCGTAGCAAATACCCATCCATCGTAGCAAATACCCACTTGAATCTGCCTCTCTCTCTCTCTCTCTCTCTCTCTCTCTCTCTGTTTTTGTTTTGTTTTTTACAGAAACCTTCTTTTCAACGAGGACGGTAAACTGAAACAGCTAGGCGAAACGCTGTATATGCCCAAGTTTGCTAAAACGTTAGAGCGAATAAGCGACGACCCTGAGGGTTTCTATTCTGGGGAGCTAGCGAAAGATGTTGTAAAAGATATACAAGAGAAGGGTGGTATTATCACCCTTGACGATCTGAAGAATTACAGAGTCAAATTCCGTCAACCGATGAATGGAAGTTTGGGCAACTACTCATGGTATTCTACTCCTCCCCCGGGGAGTGGAGTCGTTCTAAGCTTTATCCTCAATATATTGAAAGGTAAGGGACCAGTCATTATTTATCGCCTGGAGGGAGAGGGGGGTGGAGGATTTTAGGGGGGAACACTCGGTTTTTAGGAGAACAAAAGGGGCGATCAGTCGTAACTGAGAACCCAAAAGGGGGGATCGCTGAAAACGTTGGAAGGATTCAGAGGGGAGACCACTCAAATTTGCTTTGAAAATGAAGACTTGTCGGGAGGATCGCGAAAGTCATCAAAAGTTGTTAGGGGGGATCACCTCAGTGAAGCAACATTCAAAGGTCAAAGGGGGGATCGGCCTAGTTTAGCCCCAAATCCTCCGCTCCCCTTCCCTCCCAGGCGATAAATAATGACCGATCCCTAAACGCGCAATATCTATGACATACCTAACACGCCTTTTCATAAACGTACGACGAGTGTTGCAAATATTTGTTTATTGCGTGCACAAAATAATGGCCAGCTGGCGTGGCGGGCTGGGAAGGCAGAACTAGTCGGGCATGCGCCAAACTAGAATTGCTTTCCCGCCACTGAATCTCTTCTTCACCTTCTACTTTTGACCACCTGCATCGCAGACTAGGCAATAGTGTTGAATCAAGAAGAAAATGCTAGCAAGAAACACTCGCAACCAATCCTAACCTCACAAATGCGTACAACTTTCCCGTGTTAAGTGGGAATTGCGCGCTTAAGACCATCCATCTAAAGATAGAAGTCCTATTTTTTTTCTAGGATTCAACATGAAGCCTTCTGATCGACAGGGAACTCAGAATTCAGTACGCACATACCATAGGATTGTCGAAGCATTTAAGTTTGCTTACGCTTACAGAGCCTTACTTGGAGACCAGGACTTCGCAAACGTGACCGAGGTAAATCGAACTTTCTCTTCTAAGAAGGACAAACAAAATCCGAAGCAACACCACTGACGGCTGCCGGCGGTCTTGCTTCCCGAGATCCCACGCGAGCGGCGTAACAGCTGAGAAGGCCGAGATAACCACACTAGCGTATACCGATAGGTTACGGGCTGTGGGACCAGGGGTTTTTTAGTTCCTAGAAAATAAATACCGTAAACGTCCTCTTTTAAGCACTAGGCCTATACAACTTCAAGTTCAACTTTCTTCTAGTTATACAAGTAGATGGGCTATAACTTGGAGCGAGGGGGTGCTTATAAGCGTATTTTTACGGTAGTTGACGTCCCAGAGTTATTGAGAATGGTATTAAGGACCCGTTTCTAGCTAAACGATGATCTTGTACCCTTTTAACGTTGACGAAGTCGTTCGCGTGGCTTGTCGGGACAGACAAGCCGCACGCGAACAACTTCGTAAACGCTAAAAGCTATGCAAGAGAGAGACCTCTGCTCGCATGGTAATGATCTTTCTACAGGGTGGTCAAAAAATATATGACTTTATTTTGCTACCATCGTTTAATAGGCCATTTCCAAGTTGCCACAAGCCGAAATGAGGAGCCATTGTTATGAAAATTGTTTTTTATTCTCATGCAAATAAAACTAATTTTCACAACAAACGTTTTGCACTTAGCCTCGTGTTGAAAGTGAGAGTTTTTGGAACTCGGAAATGGCCTATTAAAAGGGGTTGATTCATACATTTACTCGTGCCATTTTTTTTAGATTATCAAGAACATGACTAACGAAGATTTTGCCGAATCTGTACGCCAGAGGATTTGGGATAATCGGACATTTACAGATTATCGCTACTACGGAGACTTTTATCATGACGCCAGCCAGGAAGGAACTTCACATCTGTCCGTGATTGCGGAAAATGGTGACGCTGTTTCTGCGACCACGACGATAAACCTCTTGTAAGTATAATTATTTCCTCTTTACTTGATTCGTACATTAACAAATAATATTTATTGGAAATGCCATAAAATAGAATTTTCCAATTTTATTTTGAAAAGATGCTGAGAAAAAAATTGTTCCATAGTACTGTAAAAGAGGATTTTTTCCACAAAAGTCAGAAACACCTACGGCGAGATTCCTTCATTCACCGACTCTGGGATTGGAAGGTTTCAAAGATATGAGCAATATTAGCTTACGAGAGTTTTGGATAGATTAAAAAAAAGGTATTCACAAAGACTTTCTCTCTCCTCCACAGAAGCTCCCGCTGGGTATCCCAATCAAAATAGCAATAATCGAAAAATAGCAAGGGCGCGGGGTCGATGGGATCGTTCCCGGCGCGCTTTCTTTTTTCCTTTTCCTCAGTCTCCCTACGACACAGACACCTCCACAGAGGAGAGGAGACAGACAAATCCTTAAGAAAAGTCCTCACTAATTAAGACAAGGATGGATTGTAGTTGTCAACGAGGCGCTCGTAACAACGATGATTTTAGCCTTAAAAAGTTCAGCCAACATTTCACAACACCACCACTGGTTTCCCCGCGAAATGACGTCTGAGAAATGAGCGCAAAAATTTAATACTGGTGACGTGTCACTGCCCTGATCTGGGTAGTGCTTATGATTGGTCATTCTGCGTCGGGAATTAGCTTCATCCAAACAGAAGCACTCCTTAGATCTAAGTTGTGCTCGTCATCATCAGCATGGAATTTTTGCGCTCGTTTCTCAAAACGTCATGTCATGGGGGGACAAATTAAGTGGTGGCGTCGCGAAGTGTCGGCTGTTTTTTCAGATTACGATGATTTATGCCTTCTTTTTTCAGTTTTGGTGCAAAATATCGTTCTACTCGTACCGGAATAATCTACAACAACGAAATGGATGACTTTTCAACTCCTGGTACCAAAAATCACTACGGTGTGGAACCATCTGAATCTAATATGATAGAGCCTGGCAAACGGCCTATGTCTTCCACTGCTCCGTCAATATTTTTGGATAAGAACGGCCATGCCCGTTTAGTTATCGGAGCGTCTGGAGGGACCAAAATCACTACTGCGATTTCTCTGGTAAGGAGAGCTGAGTTCAATACATCATAACTTCTAAGCAAAACCAACCATCTGTAAAGGGACCCTTTGTGTTCTGTTGTCAAAACCGAGTCAAAGAAGCCTTCTACTAGTCAGATGGTTCGTATTTGCATTATTGGTAACAACGAAGATGTAGCTGAGGAACATGTAGCGAAGTCTTTTCAAACGCAAATACTTCTTGTCTGATATTAGAACCTAAAGATACACCGGTTCCACTAGCCGTAAGTACGGGTAGACTACCCCTTTGTTGAGGAGAAACGACTAGGCTATGGCTAAATATTATTCATTTCATACATGCGCATGACATGTTCCGCTACTCATACCTGTTGGCAGAGACGCGTATCTTGACAGTGGACGGTATCTTAAGGTCCGTAATTAACAATTAATGAATAAGGCTGAGTATCTTGTGAAGAATTATGGAGATCGAGGAGGGTGTTATTCGTCGAAGCCGTAGGCCGAGGCGGATAACACCCTCCGAGATCTCCATAATTCTTCATATGATCCTGACGAAAGCCGAATTCAATAACTGTTTTATTATTCATTCAAAACAATTCCTAGTTTAAAAACATAGCTAAAACATGCTTACCTCCTTACAAACGAACTGATTCATGTTTCACGTACAATGAATTAGAGGTGAGACCAATTTAAAAATTGCCGGATCCCCTCGTCTCTAGTTTCCCTTTCGTACAAGTTTCTTACGGTAACCTGCGAAGAGGCGTTCTTTTTTCGGGGATAGCACGAAAGTCGGCAGACGGGAAAAGGAAGAAAGACCGCCTGATTGCAGGTTAGGTGAGCTGCGCGCAAGTACAGCGTTAAGCTGTGAAGACGCAAGCCTAAGAGAAAAGACTGTCCTTCTTCCCCACACGCGATGTGACCATTTTTATGTCACGTTTGGTGTGCTTGAAGAGAAGGACCTTGTGCTTAATATTTGAACCCCGTCGAATGAAATTATTAAATTCGTACCCTTTTACCCTTCCCCTCCCATCCACCCCAAAATAGTAATTCCTGCAGAAAATCGTACCTCTATCTCTCCCATCCACAGCAGTTGATTTATCCATCTTAGTTTTATTTAATGCTAAGGAAATTCTAAACATAACTCCGTGAAGAAAAAGGTACTTTCATCTACCTTTCTAAAAGAGTCTTATGATTTAATTAAAAGCATGGTAAGCCCCTCACAGCTAGTCATTTGCGCGGTACAAAACCGCCATGCTGCCGAGCAGAAATGCACTGGGACAAAACAACAAACAAAGGAAAGTTCAGCTGACGGATCTATTAAACGAAAGTCCTTTTCAAGTTTACTGAAAAATCGATACGGTAGCCTATGATAGGCAGCGACTTTCAATATAAATTTCTTTGAGGAAACCCATTTGAACAAAGTGCGCAAGGTAAAATTAAAAAGTTGGGAAGGCAAAAATTAAGACGCCAGTGATCGACAAGACTGAAGATTTAGTCCACAACAGAAGCATTTAATACCTGGTCTTTCCATCACAAAATTCACAACTTAATTTGAAAGATTAAGTTGAATTTAATTTAAAATTCAGGAGTCAAAAATGTACCCTTTGCCTCTCCATTCTCGACACTCTAGTATCAACAAACAGTCCCTAATAAGAATAAAGGCGCGGCTTCCCATCTTCTACAGAGAACACAAAGGGGTACTGAACTTTTCAGAAAGGTCGAAGTAACCTGTTGTTGTTTCTTTCTCTTCTAGGTCATGATGAACTACTTGTGGTTTAACCGAACCTTGCCACAGGCTGTAGTTGAACCCAGGCTTCACCATCAGCTGCTACCAATGTACATTCGCATCGATAAAGACTTTCAGATGCCCCTTGCCATTCAACAAGGCCTGCATGATCTTGGGCACGAGCTTAAGAACATAAGTGGATTTGCTGTAGTTCAAGCTGTTGCTAGAAATGAGGATGGTACTCTGACGGGCAAATCCGATCCACGGAAATATGGCTGGTCAGCGGGCTACTAAGGAACCCTAATTTTTGCTTTTGGTTGCTAGTTTCTCTCTTTTCGTTTTTATATTCATTTTCATTTTCCAAGTTTTTCAAGTAAGGGAAGGCAAAAGGCATGTACTTAGCTACGCACGTTTATGAATTTTAAAGCAAATCAGTGTATCACACATAGTAGTAGCGTATTCAATGGTCCAGTTTCGAGTTTTATTTTTACGATAACCGGGCGATTACTCGCGTGCTTATTGGTCGAGAGCTTCAATTTGTAATGGTAACAGGACTGAGTGGAGTCCAATTCGGTCTGTAATCATACGGAGCGATTAACAAAATCGGACGACCGCGTAGCGGGAGTCCGATTTGTTTAATCACGAGTATGATTACAGACCGAATTGGACGACACGAAGTTCTGTTACCAATTAATCATGACTTACACAAAATTTGTGACATAATAGGCTATTTTTCAAATCAAAACACAAGAAATTCGAAATTTTGTTTTACTGGCAGTGTGAAAAAAAAGCCATTTAAGCTCGCGCGTGATGGCGCGTACTGTCCAATTACTTAGGCATGACGCGTACTGTCCTATTAAACTGTCCAATTAAGGCTGAAATCAGGGCAGTTGATAGCCAATCAGATTTGGCAATATTGTTATGGTTATGATTATCGACCTAATAGCACGAACCACGGGATGAATTGATGGTAGCGCAATTTGTTTTTCACTTTCTTGCGCGCGCGATTTTCCGAGAAACTTCAACGGAAATGGACGTCAAAAACTGCCAATGTAAATTGTAAATGCTTTTTAACTAACGAGTAAGAAGAGCGAATTATTACAACCTCTTAGAAGAACAGTGCTACTGATGCTACTGCCCAATAAAGCTTGACATAACCATAAGTGTATATCATGTGACGGTTAGTTAATAGGAAATCATTTTTGTGATAACTGAAAAATCCTATAAGTTTGACTTGCGATTAAATTTTTTAGCGTCAATTTACTTAGCATGAAAGTACTAATTGAGGACACTATTTTCACGTCTTCTATTAGAGACAGGACCGCCAGGCCATTTTACGTGGTCATCCGCCGAGCCTCGCGAAGGTCTAGCCCACGTTTGCAGGGTAAAGGCAGTACTCATTTTTTTTTTTTTTAAGACTTCTTGGCCCGGCCGCGAGGATCGAACCCGCGACATCACGCATTGCAAGCTCCAGTAAAGGTCAAATATTAGGGGACTACCCTCCTCCTCCTTACTCCCCCCCTTCCCAGCTTCACCCCCTCTCCGCGGCTTACGAGAACAAGACAGATTTTTCAAAGGTTTTCTGCAAGCCTACTTCACCAGAGTTTCGCTAAACTCCGGAAGGCCTGTGTGTAATTTTGGGGTTAAAAAATTAACAACATGATATTAATTTGAGGAGGACTCGGAAAAAAATCCGAGTCCCAGATGGGATTTGAACCCACGACCCTCCGTGATCTAGTCGGATGCTCTAACCACTTGACTGGAACCGCATCACGCGGCTAAACAGCCAAGTAATGATAGGCACACAAGAAGTGAAGAACTCACTAACAGCATCGCGCTGTCACCTTAAAGCATATCCAAGATGCGGCCAACCAACCTCCAAAGTGAGTATATGTAAGATGAAACAACAACAACATGATATTAATTTGAGGAGGACTCGGAAAAAAAATCCGGAAATCGAAACGAAAAACACACACACCAGGGGAGCGGGGAGGGGAATGGAGGGGTGAGTTTATATTGAGTTGCTAACGCTTTGTTAGTTACCAGTTCCTTGACGAACTTCCGGAAACTTTTCTGAAGTTGATTACGCCATTTGCACATTCGGTACGAATTCGCAAGATCCGCTTCAGGAAACAGACTTGGATATTGCTTGCAAGACCGAGAGACTGTTTGTTATGGAGGTTGTTGGATTACTTTACTCTGCGTTGGTGTAAAATCCACTTAAAGATTGAGATACTACGACGCTGGTTATAAATATCTACTGTCTAGGCAGTATATTCCTCCGTGTTGGATATTCGTATGCGGCACTTATCCGCACATGTTAATTTTTGTGTTTTACAAGTTATACCGACCGACCACAGAACGATCTTCACGCTTCAAATAGTCTTTTGTCGGACCAAATTCACAGAACATCTTTGCTCCATATTTTGCCGCAAACTGTTGCAGCTGAGGTTGAGAGATTCTCTAGTAAAAGGTAAGTCGTGAGCTCAAGATTACGAAACTTACGGATTATGATGATGAATAATGTACATATTTGTCGAGACAAACAAACCACTGCAATAAACTCAATGGCTTTGAGTGTAAAGGTAATCTAAAATATTGTGTTAGTATTTGCAGTCTCTTGCTGATGCTCACGCGAAGGTTTTGAAAAGTTTTATCGTGAGAGGGGTGTAATGGCGGTTTCTTCTCAGATTATTTGCTTGTTTTTGCCAATTTGCCCAGTGTTTTGACCGTAATGTCATGGTTACTCGGGATATTTGTTGTAGTTTCCGAGCGTAGGCGGTCAAGATGTAAATAAATTTATGAACATAATAGAAAAGCAACTACTCAATACGCAACTACCATTTCAAAAAATTTACATGAGCATAAGCTAGTCAGAAATATCTTTGTAAAATAATAGATTTCAAGTGAAATTTTGAAATATGGATAAGTCCTTGGGGACGTACGGGGGGATAGCGCGAGATTTGTTGACTTTTTGGCCAAATTTTAGCGCGGGATGGGGATTGCTTTGCACTTTTGTAGCAGGATCGTCGGGAAAACACCCGTGGAATTTGTTGCCAAGGTTATATTATTGTCTTGATTTATAAAACATGTAGTATTGTAGTACTTTGTTCTTGCTACTTGGGAGGCTCTCAGTCAGTGCAGAAGACAGTAGCAAAATATGAGTGTCAGAAAATGGCGGAAAGAGAGAAAGATATTCTTCTTCCCTCCCCTAGCCTGCGAGCAAGCTCTCTCGCATCCCAAATCTGGGTAGACCTGACGCGTCATCAGTATGGAATTTCTGCACTTGTGTCTCCGATATCACTTTCCGGGGAAGCCAGTGGTGGCATTGCAAAATGTTTGCTCTTTTTACAGGCTATTACATCACAGTCATGTTGCATACATCATGTCCTGTCAGGGACAGGATAGTATTTGGTATACCACTACAAAAGAAAATTATACATTCATTGTATCTCTTCATCTTCCAGGTAGAGGAATTGAAGAGTAACTGACTCAAATTTAACCAACTACCACCAATCACACATCATTTCCCACATGGGGTGTGGTTCCTCAACCGCGACAAGGACAGGTTAGTGGTAAATTTAACAGGGGGTGCTTACAATATTTATTTTCAAGGGAAAACTGGAAATTCTGGTTGGAAAATCAAACGGTTTGTGCTATTTCATTTGGGAAGCTTTAGAAAATATGGGCCCTGATTTGAGGGGGAGTAAATTTTTCTGTTCTTTTCTGCCTGTTCAGTTGATTTGGAAATTCTACTTTGTGGCGGGTCATTCTCCTACTATGACAAAGTTTATTGTTTTATGTTTAGGCACAAGATTTCTACCTGGGTGGTTTGTTTACATGGTAAGCACCCAGGGTCTTGCACCCATACACAGTGTAACCTTTCCTTTGGGACACCTCCATTTAAGGGACACAAAATTTGGTCGTGGAAAAAAACTCTCATAATCTTTGTATCTATTACTTCTATTGAAGGGACACCTCTATTCAGGGGAAAGGGACACTTTTCCCCCCTTAAACCTGGGTTTAATAATAATAATAATAATGGTTCAGAGGTAGCACATCCACAAAGTGGTTCTTCGTCTACCTGATTCCTGATCGAGTTGAAATTTGGAATGTTGGTTTTTGAGGAGAGGGGAAAACCGGTGTACCCGGAGAAAAACCTCTCGGAGCAAAGGAGAGAACCAACAACAAACTCAACCCACATATGGCATCGACGCCGGTATTTGAACCCGGGCCACACTGGTGAGAGGCGAGCGCTGTCACCACTGCACTATCCCTTGCTCCCCAAACCTTCATTCAAGGGACACCTTCTGTTCTCAAAATGTGATTGATCTCAAAAAGGGTTGACATGTTTAAGTTCACACTGATTACAATTACGAAAACGTTCACTAACTGAACTATCTCACTTAAATCGATGTACTACTTTTGTGAATTCAACATATAATATCGCAGAGATAATTAAGTTAATGATCATTTTTTATGTTGTCTTTGTTGGTTAATTATTAACAAGCCCCAGCCCAGCCTCTACTCAGTGGACACCTATTCAGGAAACACTTGCCTCACTCTCAAGGGTGTCCCGTGAATAGAGGTTCCACTGTATTTATAATGTAATTTATATATATGGAACTGACACATTTGCATTATTATGCAGTCAAACTTTACATAAAAGCAATTAACCCCTGACTACGCCAAGAATTAATTTTAAAATATTTAACTGTCAATGATTTTAGCACTGCATTACCAATTATCATAATTGGCACTTGCTTTCCTAGTCTGAATAAATAAAGTCTTCAGTAAATAAATATTTTTTTTATTAATTTGTCTATACTTGATTATTAAATGTAGTGAAATTTTTATCCATTCAAAGGTTTTCAATCTAAGCGAATACTGTAAACAATGCAGATTTGATTTCATTTTTTCAAATAATCAGTTCAATAAGAAAATCTATGGGGGTAGGCTTGACCAGGCTGATGGTAAAAACAGTGTTCTTACCAGACCATAGCATTGCGGCATTGCCACACTTTTTCAGGACACTATAATTAGCCCAAGGGGTCCCAAGGGCGCAAAGAGGGAAAAAAATAATTATGTATTACAGAAAGTTTATGACATAAGCCAAAATTTAATTGGTTATGGCGGCTTTAGAAAACACCCATCATTATCTAAGACTCAGACCTGTGAAGACGTTGAGTTAACTGTTTCTAGAAATTGTGACCCGCCTTTCTCCCTCATGGCCCACTGTAGCTTCTCTATGGGTCCTGTGGACCCCAGTGTACAACACATAAAAAAATTACACTATGTGCACTTGGTATGATCTCATCTTTGAGAACCTTTTGGCAATGACCACAATTTAACCATTTCAATGGTCAGGTATTTTTGATTATGTTCACGGCAAGAAAAGTTTACATTCAAACCAGGAAAACTGTGATCACCAGAAAATTTCTCAAATTGTTATTGTGTTGCAAGAAAAAAACCAATAGGTTGTGTGAAGCTAAACCATAAGCAAGAACATTAATTAGTTTGTGGTTCTGTGGCTAGTTTGTGTGTCCTGATCTTTGCTTTGATTGGTTGTAACACAACAAACATTCCTGAAATATTTCAAGTGTTGACGCTTTTGCGTTTTGCCAGTTTGACTGTAACTATCTGCATTTAAGAATACAACTTAAAGTTTTACTTTGTTATTTTTTTCGTATCAGTTGCCCAGCCAGCTCCAAAATCTAAACAAACCTCAAGCCATTCCATTAAAGAGGTCAATGGTCATGCTCACAGACGTAAAGACAGTGAACAAAGTGGTGAGTTCTGTACATATAACAAGCAGATGAACTGCAGAAGTTGTGATTTTAACTGCAAAAATCTTCCTTACATTCATTTCTTCATTCTGTGATTCAATATATGTAACTGATATCTATTCAGTATTTCATCTTCACCTTCCCGGGTATGTGAACCAATTATTTAGTGACCAGATTCCAGTTGGCTTGCAAGCTCAATATTTGTTTTAGGGTGCTGCACCAGTCTCGCAGAGGTTAGGGTTCCGATCCCAGCAAGCCTGAATTTTTTCAGGCTTTCTTTTTCGCAACTGCATAAGTTGCCACTTTAACTGCTAAGATCTTCCTTACATTTATGCAGATGAACTGCTTTCCGTCGTTAGTTGGCAAATCCAGCCATGGTTTTTGGTCGGGGAGTAGTTTGAAATAAAACTCATCTGAAATAACTAGTCACTCATTATTATACAAAAGGCAAACTCGCTGGACATGATGCCAAAGCTCGGGTAGTTGTCATCATCAACATCGTAGAGAAGGGGGTGGGGGGGGGAGGGTCCAGATTGCCTTAAACCCTTCCCTGGGTGTGTCTTCTGAGAGGAAGTGGTTATAGCCATCTGGTCTACCTGCCTGCGTCTTTGGGTTAAAAGAACATGGGGACAGCTCTAGCCGATTGCCAGACAGGGGAATTTGAGGCATGCATTGAGGTGCACTTGTTGGCGTTTTTGTAAATATTTGGACATTTTTTTAACAAATAAGCGAATAATGAGGAAACCGATTTTTCCTAAAAAATTTGTATTCTTGAGATTAATCGTCGTTTTGTATGACCAGTAAGTTTCAAGATTATTGAAAAGTTTATTAAGGGAGTAAAATAAGGGCCACAAGGCCGCAAAAGTTTCGTCTTTTGTATCTTTCATCTTTTTTGTTCTATTAGAGACGTCGTCTAAGCAGAAACGCGGAGAGGAGACAACGCCTTCGGAAGCCAACGGTCATCTGCCAAACTCCCATGTTGAAACTCAAAACAAGATGGGTTCCGAAACACATGACGACAATGTTGAACGTACACCAGGCGATGGAAGTGTAGACGAAAGTGCAATTACAACAAATGAAGTATCCAGGCCCGAGAATAACAACACTAAACCTACTCAACAACGGCCCAATGGAGATGATGTTCCCACGCACAGCTCATCTCAGAGCAAAGTTACTGAGGACGAAATGCCACCGTATATTTCTAGCAGTTCAGTGCATAGCAATAATGGTGTTGCTTTGGTAACAAGCGGCGATGTTGAGAAGCCGGAAGTAAAAGAAGAAACGGAGGCACAGGGCAGCGATGACGCTGGCGCGGTTGAGATTGACTCAGCCGAGCACAGGGCTCCGAGCAAAACCAGTTTGGCCGGTGAAGCTGACTCAGTGACACATAGGGACACTAGTGACGTCAGTAGAGAGATAATCGCTAACAGCGAAACCAACGAAAATAACGCACTCGTCGAGACAGAGACGTCGCCGGGCAAAAGCAGCAGTAACGATAACTTACGTTTGTCAGATCAAAATGTTGCTAGCGAAGGCAGCCTGTCTCGCGAGAAGGACGCGGCATCGCACACTAGTACCAATGAAGTCCAATCTTCAAATAGTCAAGTGAGCTTATCTAGTAATAAAGACAAATCTTCTGGACAAGATCATGACCAAAGGAAAGGTAGTATGACCGTGAGTGAATTTTTCAATGCTCCCAGTGAAGCCAGCCTATCTGACAATACCAACACGGTATCACACAGTAATAACAGTGCTGTTCAAGACTCCACTAAGGATGCTAGTCAAGTGAGCTTATCTAGCAATAAAGAGACATCTTCTGGACAAGATCATGACCAAAGGAAAGGTAGTATGACCGTGAGTGAATTTTTCAATGCTCCCAGTGAAGCCAGCCTATCTGACAATACCAACACGGTATCACACACTAATACCAGTGCTGTCCAAGACTCCAACAAGGATGCTAGTCAAGTGAGCTTATCTAGCAATAAAGAGACATCTTCTGGACAAGATCATGACCAAAGGAAAGGTAGTATGACCGTGAGTGAATTTTTCACGGCTCCCAGTGAAGCTAGCCTATCTGACAATACGAACACGGTACCACACGGTAATAACAATGCTGTCCAAGATTCGAACAGGGATACTAGTCAAGTGAGCTTATCTAGTACCAAAGGCGTGGCTTCTGGACAAGATGAGAGCCAAAGGAAGGCCAGTATGACAGTGAGTGAGTTTTTCGGTGCGCCTTCTGACACTGAGCTTCATTTGTCTAATCAAAGTCTTGGCTCTTCACAGCAAAATGCTTTACCAGCTACTACAGAAACCGAGCACCCAGATGAACCAAACAAAATCGTCAAGGAGGAAACTGTCAGTGAAAAAGACACAGCAGCAGATAAAACTATTGAAATTGCAGAGAGCGCGGATCCCTTCTCAACAAGGCGAGATTCGTCAATGAGCACGGATACAGACCCAGATAGAATTTGCACAGTGACTGCCAACGTTAAAATAGGTTGTATAGAACATCTTTCAGGCCACAAAACTGTTACCTTAACGGGGTCAGTGTACCGTTTACCTAGAGAAGATGATTCAACCACGCCCAAACCCGGCGATAAAATTGGCATCGTTAAAGGGGATGTTACCTCTTCACCTGCTGACAATGAAACGAGCGAAAAACTGGCTATTTTACGAGGTGACCTCTTTGCCGTTTCGGGTGAGGCAGCTGAAAATGGACTCATTGCTACAGCCTCAATCGATGTCTTATCGTGTAGTTTAAGGGAAAAACTAGCCACCATTACAGCTGACGTTGCACCCAGCGACGACCCGGAACACCAGTCTGGTGTCATATCGGGTGAGGTTCTCGCCGCCTCCGAACGCGGCTCCTATGATGATAAAATTGGAAGTCTGTCTGGAAAAGTGGTTGCTTTGACATTTGGCGAGGGTGTCACTTCTCTTGCCAATGCGAATAGCTGATAACTTTCAATTTGCATCCATATAATTGCTTATATTTTAAGATAAATGAATTTGGAAACCGATCACTAAGTAAGCGTCGTATGAATTGTAACTTATTTGGACTTATTATAATAATTAAGATACTATCGTTTCGGCTTTAAGCTACAAATTCCACTGCTGATGTCTAAACATGACTGTAAAACGCAGTGAATTTGTAGCTTTTTTAGTAAAAGACATGAAAACATTTGACACACTGAGCGTTTTACGCCATTTTTTTGGATTACCACAATTGCGTGGAAACTAAAGTTTGAAATTTTTTGTCTTCCTAGAAGCCTTTATTTAAAAACGTTTGATGTGTCGCAACACTGAAAGCATTTCAGATGGTCCCGCTCTTATCTCTCAGTGGATTTATGTTTGTAGAATGCGGAGTGTGATGCAAATTTGTTTTATATCATAGCCAGCGCGCGTGTCATGTTATCTTTCTTAACAGTCTGTATTCACCCTGGGTGATTAAGTACGATACTTGCCGGGTAGAAATGTGAAACCATCGATTCCAGCTCGACCTTGTACTCAGGCACTAATTCCCCGTATGCCAGCTTTTTCTTTTAATTCAAAATAAAATCCGCATCATCTTATTTCGGGTATTAGCCTGCGTAGCAGGCGCTTGGAAGTAAAGAAAGAATAGGGCGTGTCTCTCGCGCGCCCAAATACTTCCAAGCGCCGGCTACGTAGGCTATTCGCGTACCTATTGTGTGAATACAGCACCATTTTGTGGCGATGACAGGCACTAGCTCTCGGGCGCGAACTGTGAACGAGGTCTCAAATTAGTGTACACTGAGCGGTTTAAAATAAATTAGACTAAACAAGTGAAGTTGTGTATCGTGGCTTATTTGAAGACTCCGCCTCTCGGACGACGAGATGGTATTAGGATTTTTAACGATTACTCGGGCTATGTATTTTTGTTAGAATTTTTGACTCTAGCTTATTTAGCAGGCGCAAAAGAGGTACACGAGATTCTAGGGCGGAGGACATGCAAGCTTCTTTCTTCATCGCGTCAACGCACTTATTTTTCGCCCTTTATTTCTCACACGCTTGCTACTCAGGCTGTTTTGAACAGTGAATTGTAAATACGACAAGGAACTGATCTCACTCATGAATTTGGCGTATCTTTGGTCTCTGCAAAAATTTTCTGAAGACAACAAATTTCTCGATATAACATTGTCCCATTGTCGGTTTCCTCAAATTTCCATTAAGTTTCCTCGACTTAACCCGAGTCTAACGGCAACTACGAACTGTCATTCTAACTTTTCATTACAACTTAGTGAAGATTTTGTTTCAAGATCTATCAAACTATAACTAATAAGGCGGTTGGTCTTGATTAAATCAATGCACTTCTCCCAAAAGACGTCTTAGATGTTATCACTCCTTCTTTAACAGCTCTGATTAATTTATCTCTTCAAACAAGATCGTTTCGATCTATACTGAAAACAACAAAGGTTTTACCCTTGTCCAGAAAGGGCGATAAACAGGATGCTTCTAATTACAGGCCGATCTCTGTTTTGCGACCTTAAACAAAACCTTAGAGAAGGCGGTTCATACTCAGCTATATGCCTACCTAACTGGAAATAATTTAATTTCACCGAACCACTTTGGGTTTAGATTGAAGTCGTCTACTGTTAGTGCCGCTTCTCAGCTTTCTGAACAAATCATTTACTCCTTGGACATTGGTTGCCTGCTGACTGGTGCTGTGTCCTTGGACCTCGCTCAAAGCGTTTGACACCGTTAATCATACAATAGGGAGCTTAAGCAAAGACGTTTTTGAGCGACGCACGTCAACCGGAAGTGAGGCCTTTTCCCTTTTTTATGCGCCTGGACACTACCAAATTTGTATTGCTGAGTTTCTTTTCTCCTATAAAGACGATTTCCCTGAGGGTTTCAACCAAACCACAGCGCAATGCTGCAAAAAGTCCACTTCCGGTTGACGTCCGTCGCTCAAAAACGCTGTTGCTTAAGCTCCCTAATATTGCTTCAGAAGCTTTCAAGTCTTAGTGTAGATGATACTGCCAGAGCCTGGGTTACCTCATTTTTAACGGAATAGGAAACAAGTGACCAACTGTAATGACGCATGCTCTGAAATTGCCCCTGTTTTGATCGGCGTTTCGCAAGGTTTTATATTAGGCCCATTATTATTCATAATTTACATGAATGATCTACCAGATGTTTTGCAGTTCTACCAAGTCACTACATATGCGGATGATACTGTTCTTTACCTTTCCTCTAAATCTACTGGGGACTTCCAACGCAAGATTAATGCTGACTTGGGGCGTACCGTATTTATTCGATTAACCGCCCCAGGCGCGCTTATTAAATTTTTGGACCTTGAGAGTGGGCGCTTATTCGAGGCTGGGCGCTTATTAAATTTTCACCATTTTCAGCAAGTGTAGTATGTTTATTTTGCAACAAAACAGTAAATGGTAATGACGAAATGCGAAGATGTAACACACAAGGTTTCTGTAAACTACTCCTCCTTCGGGGAAGTCTCTTTGATTCAATTTCAGTCTCATTGTCACCCAAGAGGGTGGGGTGGGGGTGGGTGCTTATTCGAGGCTGGGCGCTTATTAACTTTTTCTGCCTTTAGCATGAGCGCCTATTCGAGGTGGCTGCTAATTCGAGGTTGGGCGCTTATTCGAATAAATACGATATATGCAAACGGTTTCGGGCTAACCAACTCACTCTGAATGTCAAGAAATCTAATTTTTTACTTATTGGTAGTAGTTCCCGCCTAAATAAAGTAAGGTCCATCCATATTTCTGTTCTCATGTGCCTCTAGAATAAGATAGTGTAGACTCTTATGCGCACTTAGGGTTTTGTGATCAACAACCAGTTTAGCTGGACTGACCACATTGATTACATTTGTGCATGGTAACTGAGATCAGCAAAAAGTTAGGTCTCTTGAAGCGTATTAAATCTTGCCTCCCCCTCAACCCTAGAATTACTTTTTTGGTTTTATCTTATCTCTTTTTGACTATGGGGATATGATCTTTGGTGATCGGGGAAATGCCTCCTTGATGTCTGATATGCAAGTGTTGCACAATAAGGCAGCCCGGCTTATTTAAGACCTTCTGCGCATTCTTCTTCTCCGAGGCACTTTAAGAGACTTGGCTGGAAGCCTTTATCTCGGCGTCTGATGGAACACCAAGCTATTTTTATGTACAACTTACTTAACAATCATATTTGCTGCTCGATCCCAGTTTCATTCAACGGTGATTTTCATGATTACTATACACTGACTATACACGGTCAAGAAATGACACCCCAGCGTCTTGTGGCACTGGAGTTACGATTCACTGGTCGTCAGTTAATTTTAGACCCCATCTTAGTTCTAATGTTTGGAACCGTTTAGACACCAGAAACACTGTCTTCATTTAAATGTGGCCTACCTAAAGCAATTTTGTGATATGTATATCTATATCTTTATGTGCTCAACCAATATGTCTGAATGTACATATTTTTTTATATATTTTTTAATTTTCACATTCTGGCATTTTTTAACTAGTTTTTAGTCTTTATCGAGTTTTCTTTGGAGGCTTTGGAGGACCTAAATGTAAACCACTTCTTGTGATGTTGGCATTCCTCATTAAAGATTGCTTTATTATTACCCTCCACATTTTTGCTTTTGCATAAAGCAAAATCAAACAAAAAAAACCCCATTTAACAATGTTTATCACTCACGGACAGTAACTAAATTATATTACTAGAGCGAGGGGATCAATATCATGTAATCAAACATGACCCGCCTCTTTTGTTTTGCTCCTGTATTTATGCAGCTGTCTGTTAAAAGTGTTATTGTTGAATTCGATTGCCATGTGCACTTGCTGCAACCATCGCTTCTTGCGGAAAGTCATCGCGACCTCCATGCTTTCCTTAGCAGCCTCGTGCAAGTCTTGTCCCGTAACTCTGCTGAACAGACCAGTCAGCTGCCGGGTCAAATCTTCACTGGACGCGGCTCTGCGATGGGGAGTTAAGCTTGCGCCTCGGAGAACTTGAGGAGTAATAAGAGATCGAGTTCTTCTTCTTCGTTTCATGAGCTCACCGTCACTTTTTGAACTTTTCGCTGATTTCACTTTATTCGCGGAAAACTCATCCGTTTTTGGCAAACTCAAACCTGATTCGTTCGTTTTAATAAGAGGTATTTTCTCGCTGATTTTTTCGCCACCTTTCTGTTCGCAGTTTTCGGCCTGGTTACGGTTAGAAGCAGAATGACGACTCTCCGAATTAACCCAGACGCCTTGCGTGACAAAAAAGTCGCGTTTTGGCTTCTCAAAATGACCGTTTTCGAATTCACTTCCAATTTGAATATGTGCAATTTTGTCGCTTTTGTTTACACCAACTAAGCTGGTGTTTGTCGAAATCAGTGGCAGGTCTTTAATCGGTTCCATTGGCTGTAATTGTTTTTCTTTGTTTTCTTTTTCTCCTTGGCAAAAACAAACCAATTCATTTTCTTGTTCATCCCTCAAAATATTTTCTTTCCATCTGTAGGCTTTGTGATCGTTTCGCAACGAAGCGACACCACGTTTTGAATGATTCACATTCTTAATTTGCAATTTTGCCTTCGTGGAGGTTTCAAGTTTGGCTATCTCTCCATGGTAACTCGGTACTGTCGCTACCGATGGAAGCGAGTAGTTTCCACAGGGTATTAACTTATCATTTTTCACGAGTTCCTCGCCAGAATTTAAAATTAATTTATCATCACTATCACCAGCTCCGCTGAAACCATCATTTTCTGAATTATCGCCATCTCTGTCTCCTATGCGTATAGATTTCACGCTCGTGTTCCCCATGACACCTGTCAAGGGCTTGTTTTTAACACTTTTAAGCATCAAAGAGAGCTGCATCTTTGAAGTGCCAGTTTGCATATTTTCTCCGAATCCATCGACTTGGACTTTTTGTCCCACAACTGCGTTTCTATAAGCTCTATTCTCCATCGCGAGAAGGAGAGGATTTGGCGAGTGTTTGTGAAACATGATCGCTCTGTCTCGTGCGCGCTCGCACCATTTCCGCACACGCCAATAAATCCCGAGCGTGAGCCCTGACGTGCTTCGAGAACGAAACTGTTCGGCAATAAGCAGTTTAAAACACTCGGTTCTCTTATATCTCCGTGCGATATTACATGGTGTCAGACCGTAACCATCCTTGGCCAGTATACACGCGTAATTATGGTGAACGAACTTCTGTAAGCAGTTAAGACTTCCGTGTTGGGCAGCTTCGTGAACGGGAGTTTTGAAATGATCTGGATGTACATCTTTATTACACCACTCTCTTACAGGATGTTCTCCTACGGGCTCGTCGCAGCGAGCCCCGCTCTTGATAAGCTGAGTTGCGAGCTGACTGTAGTTGAAATGCGCGGCGATGAAAAGCGCGACTCTAAGCTGATATCTTGAAACTAACGGATCCTCGTGAACACTGACCATATGCTTCATGGTTGGTGTAAGCTGGCCTAACGTCGCTGATCGTAGAAACTCGCTCCAACCATTCCAAGTCTCTAAACGAACCGTGTCCCCATAATCAATGAAATACTTTTTCATTGGATGACAGTCATACATTTCTTTTCCTTCCGCGGACACTAGTCTAAAAACGCTGACATGCAAGCCCGTTTTTTCGGTAATCATTGTCTTCAGCTCACCCACTTTGGTTTCCCACACGTCAAACCATTCAGTGAATCGAAGCGTTTCGTTAGAATACGAACAAGCAACGCTCAAGTACGTTTTGACATTTTCTTGAAGTTCACATCGTAGTGTAGCTCCTGGCGGAATACTTATGTCTGTAAAAACCCAGTCATCTTCTAAGCTCGATCCAGCGTACTTAATAGCCATGAGCATATCGTTTTCGCCATCTTCGCTCTGCACCGTATCCAAGTCGAGTTTCTTTCTAAGTATTCCCTTGATATCGCTCACCGTTTGACCAAGTTCTACGTCTAACAGATATCTGTTGCCTCCGAAAAGCACAAAGACTCGCATGTTTTAACTTCAAAGTTCCGTGACTATCCAAACTAACTGTTCAAACAACAGCGATTCTCACATATTCCGATTGCCTGTGTCGCCGGCTGTAATCGACTGTATACCAAATATCGCTTTATCACTAGGAAGCGACAGGCTAAAAAGCCTCAGTTCACGGCATTAATATTTCATTACAATGCAGCAAAGTTTGCCTTTTGTGTAGCGGAAAGTCTGATAACCGCAAGCCTACCAATTAACGGCTTAAATAATTAACACACACTACTAGCCAATCGGCATAATATTTGAACAAATTTAAGGGTCGTTGTTGTGAAAGCGTGAAATGCAAATTTAAGTAAAGCGAAAATGGCTGAATAAAAGAATACATCCCGCTCCTTAGCTTTTGTTGAAGCTAATGAGAAAGGTTTGTCGCTAAGTTGTTTTAACGCACGTAATGCTCCATTAAGAGAAAATGGAAACTATTGTTTACCTTTCGGGCCAGAAATGCAAATTCGTGTTAGATGAAAGGATACTCTTCGCCGATAAATGTCATTCTACAGTCTTTTTGTTAAAGGTGTTTAATGGCTTAGGCGCATTTGGCTGTGTTTTTTGAACAGCTTACAACGTCAATAACGCATTGTTTCAGCACGTCGTCTACGTCGTCTAAGTTACAGAAAATAAGCTTTAGAAACACCGATGTTTATTATTCAAATACATAACATAAACAACAAGAGGATAAAAATAAGGTGGGATGAACTTCATTTTTCAGATTTTTAAGCCTATGGGACATGGCATGACCTGTCGTCCCCCAAACGCAAAATCTGCAAAAAATACTCAAGTAACAATAGATCTGTTCCAGCTCATTGTCTTTCAAATAAAGCTAATTCAATGCACAGGGGTCATTTAATCATATGCTTTGTTGACAGAATAATGCAATGTTTATATGGTGGGTAAAGCTAGATAGATTATAGGATTGTCCAATTAAATCCATAAACTCACACATCACAGCTGAGATTATCCTTGATACTTTCAAAGTAGATTTTGGTATGCAAGGTCGCAACGAATTCTAACTAAGGGGACAAATTAACCTTTTAGCTTAGGTGAAGGTTATTTAAATCTTAGGGGATATTGACTAAGATACAGTTGAAAATAACAGTAATTAGAGTGAGCAGAAAAACATATCTTATGCACAATGGAGTCATTGCTAATTCAATGTTGCTGTTTGAGTTTCCTGTGAAATCATTTTCTTGCATAAATTCCGCACTCGAGAAATATAAGACCTAAACTCTGTTTTGTATTACACTGAAAAGCTAAAGAATCGTAAGAAAGGGAATCCTTAAGCTTAGTTAAAAATGATTGCATCCTAGAATTTTATCGAAGGAGTCTTCAAGAAGCTGTTTAAATAACTGTCTGAATTATTTCAAAACAGTCGCTGTTGAATACTCACATGAAGTTGAGGTTCATCAGTGTAACCATGGTAACATTTTTGAGAATTTCTCCATAACTTGAAACAGGAAAAGACAAAGGAGTCGCTCCATGTTGTCTTTGACTCGGGTTCTTAGGAACAGATAGTTACAGATGTAACATAATGAATTGAAAAATGAATAGAAGCTAGACGTTGCATTTAAACAAGTTTATTTCTGCCCAGCAGTTTTCGAGAAATGGTGACAAGTTAAGATTAAATTGTTACTTTAAATTTTGAATTTCAATCCTACCTATAATAGTCCCTTCTGAGTACGTCTCGGATCTTTCTAGTGCGCATGCGTAATAGTAACCACGTGTTTGGGAATCCAAGGGCCTTCTCTACTGATCAACAACAGAGAGAAGCCGCAAATCTATTACCGTTATTTCGTGGAATTCCCAAAGTGCAAACTAGCTCCCTCTCTTCCTGTACCGTACTGTTAACCTAGTGGGGCCTGCTCAAATGTCGCGATTCTGTTGACCGGGCCAGGGGCCCGTTTCTCGAAAGTCCCGAGTAATCAACGAGCCCGGTAAGCTGTTTCCTTTTACATTAAAGATCGAGGTTTCAATAGTTTTGCATCTAACATGATAAAATTATCAGTTAATGAAACGAAATGGAGTAGTTTGCTATCCAGGGGCCCGTTTCTCGAAAGTCTCGATAATTAACGGGCCCGGTAAGCTGTCTCCGTTTACATTAAAGATCGAGGTTTCAATAGTTTTGCATCTAACACGATAAAACGGTCAGTTAATGAAACTAAATGGAGTAGTTTGCTAGCCAGGACCCGCGCTCTTATTCTTTATATTTCGATTTGAATTTTTGATTTCGGGCCCGTAAAGTTACCGGGACTTTCGAGAAACGGGCCCCAGGACCCGCGCTCTTATCCTTTATATTTCGATTTGAATATTTGATTTCGGGCCCGAAAAGTTACCGGGACTTTCGAGAAACGGGCCGAGAAAAGCTGTTGTTGTTTACATTCAAGATCGAGGTTACAAGTTTTGCAGATAATATGATAAAACTATCAAATAACAAAACAAAATGGACTGGTTTGTTAGCTAGGACCCGCGCATTTGTTCTTTAGATTTTGAATTGAATATTTTATTTCAGGCTCAAAACGTTTCCGGGACAGACTTTCGAGGAACGGCCCCTCGGCTCGGTCTACCGTCCAAGCTACCTGGGCTAAATTTATTTACCCTATAACGTCCACGAAAGGTTCAAAACTCATGATATTGCTTGCAGGAGTTACTGCAGTTTCGGTGCAGCACATCCAATATCAAGAAAACAAAATTTTTGACGTTAAACTCACAAAAAAAAACTGTACACTGACATGCTGCTAAACTCGCTCTCCTTTGACGGAGACGCACGTGTACTCCAGCCTGAATGACCAAGATTTCTTAGTCCGCCCTGCATATAAACTAATTGCATTTTCTACAATGGAAACGAGAAGGGTGCGGCAAGAGCCAGACAGGCGCGCATGAGCAGGCCCGTTCATTAACCATGAAGCTAATGGTAGCCTGAGAAAACAGCCGGAATTTCCCGACGCCACAACTGCTTTCCCCGCGAAATGACGTCTGAGGACAAAGTGCAGAAATTCCATACTGATGACCCGTCACTACCCAGATCTGGATAGTGCTTCTGATTGGTTGAAAATTTACTTTATCCAATCAGAAGTACTGCTGAGAGAGAGTAACGCGTCACCAGACATCGTCGTCATTTCTGCGCGCGTTCCTCAGACATCATTTCGCGCAAAAACCAATTTTGGCGTCGTCAAATGTCGGCTGTTTTCTCAGGCTCGTCTAAGGTACCTAACCTTTAATTAATTTCTAACAAAACAAATATTAACCTTGTATGTTGCTTATCAATGTTTCTGACACAGTTCAAACGTCGCCGGCATTTCACGTGCGCCCAGTCTTAAGTAAATAAGCGATAATAGTAGATATTTAACAATTATTGAGGGCACAAGCTTTGTAAGCTATATTCAATTTGAAATAAACTTGTTGCTGTTGTTGTTATTCCTCGAGCCCATGAAGGCGAGAGGAATAATTGTTTTAGTAAAATCCAACTAGTTGGTCAAAAATATCGAGGCAAAACAACTTTAGCTAGCAAAACGCGATTCAGCCGCTACTGTTTTGGTTTTCAAAGCCGGCGCTTTTCGCTACCAATGGGCTATAACATTTAGCCTAGTGGTAGCTCAACCAGTCAGAACGTAGCATTGATAACAGACCACTAGTTGGATTTTACTAATACTCATTAGTACTGCATTCGGCACATGTGAAATACGTCGTTTGAACCGGAACTCAGTCTAGCTGATGAAATTAACTTCTAACTTCTCCTCTACCGGCGCTTTAGCCAGACCATATTCCGAGATAATGACATCAAAAATAATCACAAGAAATGGCTTGTTTAGCCAGATATTTATATCACTGGATACAGCTTTTTAAAAGCCTGGCTGCCATAAAAAAAAAAAAAATTAAAAAAATTAGATGTATGAAGTTTTTCGTTTCCCTAAAAGGCCGATTTATGGGATTTGTAACGATTTTAATGTGCATTGTTATTCCGGGATATGATCAATTTAATGCACCAAGATATTACTGACACTAAATGGTTTAGGAAAACGACATAAAAAGAAATAAAAACAAATGAATTCGATAAATAAAAACAGCTTAGCTTGGTCTTCTTGCTGCTCGAGAGCGACGAATTGAGTCGCGTTGCCGGCTCTGTGAAAAGTTCCTAAGGCTGTGGATGAAATCCTAAGTTGTGGCTTTAAAAATGTAGGACATAGAGCGCTATTTTCCTGAAACACTGATTTTGATGCTGCGTAAATCTGTGCACTTAAGGCTAGATGGCGGTTCTAGCTTGTAAGTCTGTGTATACAGACATGAAGTGTGGCTAGCACTCTCTGGGCCATTCAGGTACTGTTTTAAGGTGGCTGAGCACAGTTTTGCTGGCGGTCAGCGGTAACTCGCGTCACGGCGTGTGTTTTAACTTGGACAAACAAACATGGTGGCCAAAAAGCAATGGCACACAGAAGACGATTTCTCAAAATCTATTCATTAAAATTTTGTGATGTTTAGCAAAATTTTTACTGTTATCGTATTCTAAACAATGAGAACTTTAAAATGGAAGTTCAGCAGACGAATTTTGTGACACATTCAATAATTACAGTGCAATTATATCATTGATTATCTAAAAACCCGTCTGTTAAAATTTGGTCAAATGGTAAAGATTAATTATAGTAAGCTGTGTGCAAGATTATAGGAAAATTTAATGAGCGAATTTTATAGAAACTGAGCAAAAGTGAAATTTTAAGGTTGTATTCAATCGTTCATGTTGTCATGGAAACTACGAAAACGTCAATTTTACCTGTCAATCAAGAGCCTTCATCAGTATATTTTTCACTTGCCAAGTTTCAACTTGTGAGCTGCAGCCTTTCTCTTGCCACGATTTGGCAAATGACATATACCCACAAACTGCCAAAACTGAGTTCAGCCATGTTAAATTCTATAAAGGTGATTCTTTCCTAAACTGTAAAGCACGTAATCGGTGTGAAGATGCCCCTTAAACAAAATATCCACTAGCATAAAAGATAAAAATAGAAAACTGAAACATGTTGGGTGTACCCAAAAACTTCTATGGGATTTCAACTCCTTTCTCATGCAAACACTTTGTTTTGTTTCAAGACATTTACATCGCTGATGACCACGTTAGTGAAAACGATCTATGGAATCCTGTATAAAGGAAAAAATCTTTTAAACTATGTTTTGGAATGTTTTGGAAAATTCAAACTAGAAAACTGAAAATGACCTGGCGTGACAACCAAAAAGTTTAAAAACGTATATCTACCTATCCTAATGGACTTACAAAACTGACGTAACGGGCAGTCTTGACCAAAAGTAAGATCTTTTCAAAAGATTTAGAATATACATGTATATTAGGAGAACTCCTCAAATTTCTTTGACTCTTACGCTATTACTATTCAAGTAATATATAGATTTAGCCAGGGCTAAAAGCGAAGCTTTCTTTAATATTATTTTATATTTTACTCATGACAAACAAAATATAAAATCGTGTAATGCTAAAGAAACGGTGAGGACAATGAGAACGGTAAAAAACAACAATAGATCTAATCAGCAAAAAAAAAAACAACTTTGCACGTGCAGCACACTTTTTTGTACATTTCTTTACCGCTGTTTTGCGCCACTACAATGTGAAACTTCCAGAAACTTCCTAGTTACACGTTTTATGGAGGAGATGCTGTATGTGTTCCTGTTCACTTTTGTCTTCCTTGCCGCTCATTTTCACCTTGATGGCCGCTAGCATTTCTCATTTTCTCACCTCCGCTATGAAATTTTTTTTACTTCCAACGAAATTGGTCTCCGTTGCGTTTTTATTTCTCGCTCTAGCTCTTACTCTGTTATCCACGTTGATATAAACGTTAAAATTTAGTCGAAAGAAAGACTCACTTTTGCCGTGGTTTTTTCCTCTCTAAAAGTCCGGGTGGCAATGCGATTTACCGCCGAAACACGGGGGTTGCTTGAAATGCAAAATTTCACGCCAACTTTCAAGAATGGGTGGACGTACGTCGCGGCAAAAAATTACTGGCTTCACTAAAAAAAAAACTAAAATTACCAACTCGAAAAAACTGCTTTTTATGTTCTCTTTACAAAGTCCCGAATATTTTTCAATGGTAACTACGAAATTAAGTTTACTTCTGGTAAACTGAAAGGTAAAACATACTTTACCTCTTAAATTTTGTCCTTAGTTACAGCGCACTTTAAGTATGGCCTAAATCAGATATGCACGCTGCCTAAAAATCTGACAAAAAATTTGAACTGCGGTTGCAAATAAGGTATGCATTCTTATCACCGCAATGAAAAACAGTCCGTAAGAATTAAATAAAACCTCCTTAAATATATTACTATATATTATATTTCATACCGCATTGATATCTTTAAAGCATTTTATAACTTTGAGTAATTCCATTTTAATAAATGTCATGTTAATTATCATTAAAATATCGCACTGCAATCGATTTCTATTGAAATATTCCGTAACATAATGTACGGGGGTAATTATTATCGGAACCTTGCAATCGCCTATGTACATCAAACGACACTTGCAAATTCAGTGCAAGCTACATATTGTAAATAGTGTGTATAGCATTAACTCTTTGAACCCTATAGTCAACACGCATGTAATTTCTCCAAACTTTTTTTCTTACATTTTAAGTTGGATGAAAAAAATGTTTAAAAGAAGAAATTTACGTTTTTCGTCCCTGACGAGTGGGACTCAAAGGGTTAGTAAGAAAATAACGGTTAATTTGTGAATCCTTCAACGGACCATTCACATTTCTCTCAAAACAACCGGCACAGCGAGATGAGAGACAGAGTGAGAAATTTACAACTGCCTTGAACAACATAGCCTTCCGTTACGAAAGAACTTGTACTGAAGCCAATAACTTTGTGATAAATATAAACCTCTTCATTTTGAAGACAAATATAACGTATTTACACTCCTATCATTTATTTTCGAACTTAATGTTCTACAAATTTAACCTGTCTACCAAAAGAGGGTCTCTATGCGAGAATTGCCCTGCATCAACTTGCGCTCCAGGGTTAATGTATCAAATACATCGCCATAACAATTTTCTATTTGTCTAATTCACTTTCCTTGTTCATACCACAATCAACGCCCACGGGAAAACTGATTTGTTGTTCACCAACCGTTGTATGTATTCACACGAGGCCGCTGAAACAAACGACAGCCATTCATGGCCATGAAAAAGCGTCTCAACCAGAACCAGCCGGATCACCTTACGTTTCTGCCCAACGAGCCAGTCCGCGGTTAACGAGCTCTCTGTTTATCAGGATCGTCTACAAAACAAGTGAACCAAAGTATAGCGTGCATGTCTGGATGAACTCTTTGGTGTTCAATCAGAAGAGAGCTCGCCAAAGCTCAGAAGAGTGCACTACGAACACCCGTATAACATAACAGACAGGTTCATTTGTTTCGACAAAAAGCTCATTGTTCTACCTCTCTGGATGAAAGGCAAGTTCTTGTGCAATCATGGTTTCCTTGTCAATTATGGCTACAATCGCTGGGACGAACGAAGTAATCAAATAGCAACGAGGCTTTACATTAGGGACCTTAAGATTCGACGACGCGGGCGACAGCAACGAGAAAGTCAAAAAAGCAATAGGTTTTAATAACCAAAACAACAACTTTGCACGTGCATCATGCCTTTTTCGGGACGTTTCTTTGTTGTCATGCACTGCAAGACTGCGACGTCAATACCTCCCAAGTTTGAGCATAAACTACGTCGTCAAAAACAAAGACTTGGAAAAATTGCCACCAAAACTGTATTAGGTAAAGATGAAAATTTGTTATGATCAGGGTTGCAATGACGAAATCAGAATTGTACCCTGATCATAACAAATCTTTATCTTTATCTAATACAACTGTGGTGGCAATTTTTCCAAATCTTTTTTCATGGCGACGTAGTTTATGCTCAAACTTGGGAGGTATTGACCCTGAAAAAGCGTATCGAGCCACCTTAAACGAGCCAAGGAGAAATTTTCTCTCTCTCTCTGAACTTGCATATTTTTCTAAGGAATTCAACTCCAGGAAGGTACGCGTACATTTGACAAAGTAAGAACGTTCAAATTCACTTTTTAAGATACGTTTTAGCCGCTGTCGCCGTCGTTGGATCTTAAAGGGGCTATTTGACGATAATTTGCTGTTTTAGCCGGTCAATTCTGTGCTGAAGTAATTTTTTAGGCGGTGCCTTTGCCCATACACAAAATGCACCTGTAGAGTTATGAAGAAGATATCTAACAATTTCATCAGGGAGCACTAAACATCATAATGTTTTTGGTAATAACATTAAAACTTGAAAAAGTTGGCCCAATTTTCCCAAGATTCAATCCATGTCCATCCTTGCCATCCGTAACAACAGACGACAGGAAACTTTTTCAATGCTCAATTATACTCTTAAATGACAAAACTGAACCATTATTTTTGGAATTCAATGGATGCGAAGACGCGTTTTAGCTTTTAAAAAAGGATGGCATATAGCGTGACAAAGCCCCTTCAGGGTACACATTGCTGGTTATATCACACACCTGCTGTCCCTGAACAAGATAGAGTTCCAAGCAAGGTAACCCGTTTCGGTGACCAGTGACTCGGCAAGTCAACACAGCATTCATGGTCATGTCTTCCAAGACTGCGTTGGCAATGTTTGAAAACGTGTCACCTATAACAAAAGGAATTAAGATAAATAAGTAAGATTCAATCCCTTGTATAAATTAATACAGAAAAAATAAAAATATAAGTAAAATATCATTAAGACTTTTCATACTAAAATAGTAGACTACCATATTACACATTATTATGCACCAATTTCATTTTCTTCTTTTATCTACTGGTAGGTGTTTGGCATTAGTTGTCAGTATGCTTCACGGGTTAAGTTAAATCACTCTAAAACACACTGGAATTACACTTTCCTCTCCAGAAAATGCTATTTTAGACCTAACATTGTTGTTTTCAAATTTCCTAAGTAATTTATTCGTCTTTTTTTTAAATTTTGTTTTCTATCTGGACCCAGCTTTACAGGATGGCTAAGCAAGAGTCTCTAACTGTGTCTAATATAACAATACCACACATATCAAGAGAGCATGCTCGATAAATATGCATTATTGACCAAAAAGAGGACTCGATGGCTGGATATTGGCAACGCTCCTCTCAGCGTTTTTATGCACCGAGAAAAAGTCTAGATTCATGAAAACGCCGGAGAGGAGCGAAAAAACATATCCAGCAACCTTGTTGGATTTGTTATATGGGCAAAAGATTATTTTACGGGAACAAAGCGGTAAGATAGGCTTGTGCGCTGGGTAGCCCATCAGAACACAAGATTCGTGTCATCTTGCCCGCTCAAGGAAACAGCTATGCAATCATCTTTCATCTTTGGACGATCACTGAATCTGCATGCAGGCTCATGTAGGTGGGTAGCAAGGGGGAGGGGTAGGTTGGGGTGATCAGCAGGCATGTACCATTTTCACATAGACCATAATGCACCCCCCACCCCCCCCCCCCAAAAAACTGTTTCCAATTTTCCCTGGGTACTACAGTCGTCCTATGGGAAATCGAAGACAATTGTGATGCAAACATTATGGTCGACGTGAAAATGGTTCATTCGAATCCCCTTTTTGATTACCTTGAAGTGGGATCACGTTTGCGAGGTAGCATTCAATGGCTTGAAATGGCAGTGTTAGGAAATCAGCCCTGGAGAGTGAAAAGATTCACACAAAAAGAAAACATAAAATATTTGTGAAAATTCAAAGGATGTTGAGTGAATGTAATTTATTATGAATTTGATAAGGTCCACTAAGCGGGAGGTAGCAGGTTTGACTTCCGGGGACGGACCAATTGCATACCGTAAAATCCGGGTTATAATCTCCTTAGCTAATAGCCGCCACTAGATATAAATCCATTTATTCGGAACAGCAATGTCATTTCGCATTTATTTTCCCCGGTCATTGGCCCCTCTGTTCCTATCTACATATAAATTCTGATTGTCACTTTATCATGTTATTGCTAAAGTTAAACTTAATTCTATCTTCAAACGAATAAATGCAAAAAACAAACAAACAATGTTCTATCGCTTAAGCTACGATTCCCTGAAGTTTGTTTTTGGCATCAAGACGACTTCCTTGCACTGACCATTATCTGACCTGTGTCAGCTCAAACACCAAAGATTAAAAGAAGTCAAGGACGCCCTAACGATATATTTCCATCGGAGCCAAATGTTAACCAGAAAAACTAAAAACCCCATGAGTTGAGTCAACTGCTGGAAACACGACCCTTAACTCACCAATGTGCAATGCAAATTCGCAAACGTTAGGCAGGTCTTCCACAACCTAGGGATTTGCGAAGCTTTGAATATAATTCAAATGAACTTTTTAATATCAGAGGAAAACATCGAGAGCGGTTTTACACTATAAATTCATAAAACACCGAGCGCTATATTAAGGGATACAATGTAAACAAAAAGGAACAATTTTATCCATTAATATGCGAACGTTTCGCATTTCATGACATTAGAGACAGTTCGCACCTGGCTTTGTTGACATTTGTAAATGAAAGGAGAAACATCAAAGCATTAATCTAGTTAACATACAGTAACGAAAGCAGAATATATTAGAGTAGTTAGATTTAGCTACCGATAGGGCCTCTCTCGTATAGATACACTTAAAGAACTTTGAACAGTGTGACACCAAATTGTGTGTCTCTGGATCATAGCACAATTGTTTCCCAACATACCATAAAAAAAAAAACTCAGCTCCCCTCTTACAATCGCAAAAGGAACGACCTTGAATGGAACTGTCAATGGTATCAGCTTTGCTAATTAGAAGCTTGCCTTGCCTAAATTATTCTGTTATACTTGTCATTCATTGGCGTCTGAGGAGTGGGTATATTACAAAATCAATTTTGAGATGGAGATGACAGGACTCGCACTGTCTAAACATGTTTAGCAAAATGAAAACAAATGTCTCTTTTCTTAAGTTGGCTGCTGTTTTCTACATTTTTTGTATTTAATCTCCCAATACGGAAGTCACAGTTGGCGAAACAACAACAGCATAAAACGTAAAACACATTCAAAAGAAACCGAATACACAGCAATTACCGGATCAAATTCTCATACTGAATGTTGAGCGCGACTTTCTTTTTCTAAACTTCCAAAATAATTAGTACGACAATGCATTGTTCTAAGCCAAAAAATAACTCATAATCAAATGGTCGATCTCTCGATGATAGAAAATACCGGCGACCCGACGACTTTTGGTACAGATGCAAGAAAAATATAGCCCACTGCGCATGCCCAAACAGCAAATTTTTCACCTCCTAGGTTGCGCAACAGAGTGAACGTGAAGGTCTGGCTACGCTCTGCTTAGTCTGTCGTATCTAATACTGATCATAAATTATAACATTTGCCGCGGCTGCCACCCAAGCATATTTCCCACTTAAACCTCAGGAGTTCGCGCCTTCTAAATCGCTGGGCTACGTACAGTGCTGTCAAGCAGCCTGAAAACATCTTGTCACAATTTCTCGAGCCTATACATTCATTAAGAAATGACATTTTGATAGTTTTGAAGTCTCATGCTTTTTTGTACGTAGTTGCTATTCATATATTGTTTCACAATTTATTGCTTGTTAAAGTTATTTTTTGTGACTTCTATTTACATATCAACAAAAACTGAACTTTCAATTCTGCCCTTTCTGTAAATTTTAACGCAGTTAAGTCTTAGGTGACTACAAGATTTGAGATAAACTATACTTAAAAGAATACTCAAAAAATGTGAAGACAGAGTGCGAGGAAGCTATGAACTAAGAAACAGTGATAGTCAATCAATTAAACAAAAATTAAAGGATAAACCCTTGCTAAGCCAGTAAGTCATTTACGGGAACAAGAAATGAATTTCTAAAATCTGAATCTTACAGCGAGAGGTGAAATCCTACAGAGTGGAACACATGAAAACGCTATTTTCACCGGAAACAATTTTTTTTTCAAGCATTAAACGGAAGGATATCTCCTTTTTTTACCTTTCTGGGAGTTAATGGTTTACAATCTTAAATATTCTCTTAGCATGTGTATTTGCAAGTGCACGGTTAAAAAGCGCCACTAATTCAATTTGTCTTAGTACTGAAGATCTTCCCTGTCCCTGTATTTATCGGGAAGCCAAACTTTAGGAGAACAAATTATATCATTTACTGTACAACGCGTAATCGTGTTGACAAAACACAAACGATAAAAAACACATTTGAGGTACTTTCATGGGAACAGTATACTTCCCTTTTCCTGTGTGTAATTTTGACAGTAACGATTAATTAAAACAAACTATATCTCAGTGTGTGATGTGGGAGATACCTTTGACGAGTTCAGAAAATTTCCGTTCAAGCATCTAACTACTGCCCCAAATAAAAAAAGATGTAAATGTTATTTGTTTAACCACATCTGACAATCACGAGACAATAGTTCAGTTTCCCACCTCTTCTCGAGGGCTGTGCAGGAGTGAAAATTACGAAGAGACAAGTGTGCTGGAGATATTACAACTACGCACAACGTAAACATAAGAAGTTATTCAAAAAGATGAAGTCAGCGAAGACTTAATAATTACATTAAGATATCAAGTTATTCATTCGCGAGAGCTTGTTTGAAAAGTTTAAGTGTTCCATATCGAATTGGAATTTGGAAAGATGAGTCAGTTCGATGGTACAATACTGTTATCATAGCATCCTGTTTATGGTGAAAATAATCACTCGGAAAACCATCAGTTCATCAGCAAGTCGCGAGGAACACATACTACAAAAAATACTACTACAACAACGACAACGACGACACGAGTATACTACCACGAATTTGTAGCTGTAGCACCGAGTTTACCGCCAGCCGTTTTTAGGTCAGTCAAAAGCATTGTAAAGGCCGAGAGTTCCAGCTAAAGTGAACATCGATTTATGGCCATCAACATTGTGATAAAAAAGTTCGTAGCATCACGTTCACTCATAACAATATCTCTCCAAGGCTAGACGCAGTGTTAAACATGAATTTCCACGCCACGAGGTATAAAACACGAACCTCTAAAAATTCACGTAACGGGGACAACAAGTTATCCACTCGCAAACAAAGTTACGATAAAACTAGCTAGTAACGCTTTGCCTTACCTCAACTGTCGAAGGCTGGAGGCAGCAATCCTTCCGTACCCTCCATAGTCCAAATACTTTACTTCAACCTCGTCAGGATTAGCAGTGGGGCCCAAAACTTGTGCCCTGTACCAGCCATTGTAGGTGTAAGCCGGGGCGGCACAACACGAACCCACAACAATGGGATGCGGCAGCGGTAGCAGAAGAGGCGCAGTGCCTTGTCCGTAACACTGCATCATTGTCTGATGCAAGTCCTGAAGCTGGCGTTGCATGAATTCGTTGTGCAACTGCACAAAAAAATGGCCCGCATCCGCGACACTTGTCACTACAACATCGAAGTTTGCAACACTGGGAAGCATGGCTTGCACAAATGGCATCGCTTGAGGCGCTGGAGGCACGCTAGTGGCAACCAGCGGTTGCATACTCACTACATTTGTTTGCAGTCCGTTCAAAGCTGTTGAGTTCAGCCGTGTAAGGGGAACACAAGGGAATTTTTCATGAATAGAATCTAGAGCTGTCTGAATCTGTAGAGAACTCCCCGAAATAGAGATGATTCGGTGCGTCGAAACCTCTCCCGGTGACTGAGGGATCAATCGAATTTTCGCCCCGGACGTTTCGGAAATTACGCGAACATTCTTGCCTTTCCGTCCAATGAGCCTTCCACATAAGATTTGAGGAAACTCAATCTCCCAAACGTCTTTTTCATCGTTCTGTACCCCTTTTCGTGACTTATTTCCGTTACTCTCGTCGCCGGGAGGCGGGGGAGTATCGTTGCTGAATCCTTCTGTATATAGGGTACTGCTATCCACACTTCCCTCGCTCAACGATTCCTCGCCTCCGGACGATTCTTTCCGTTCTGAATTAACCGAAGGTTTTGTATCCCCACCCGAATCTTGCTGTGTGCTCTCTGTAGTGCTCGATTGTTTTTGCAACGAGAATCGTTGAACACCGTAAGGCTCTGCATCCACAGTGTCTTCGCTGGCTTGACAGATTTCGCTCTCTGTAGCCGTCAACTCATCGACGTTGTTTTCTTTCTCTTCTTCGTCTTTTACCTCATCTCGTTCTGTGTTTCCATGTTCCTGGAGTTCTTCTGCTTCTTGGCTTTTCTTTTTCAACCACAAAAAACTTACGAGGATGGTAATGGCAGCTGGCAGTACCAATGACACAAACAGTTTTGTTGAAAATTGCATCTCGGCCAACCTAAAGATGATAAATAAGCAAATACGCCACCGATTAAGAAGGGAAGTGATTCACCGTCATACTTAGATCACATGAACGAAATAAAGTAAGAGTCAGTTTTAAGAGGAGTTACTTAGTGAATATGATTTCAAGTAGCTTTAAAACCGAAACAGCAAGAGCTCATTATGGGTGGGACAAACCTAAACGAAGACAAAACGTTCGTATCTTCAGGAAGTTAAGAAAGGACTTCAACTAGGAACAGATAACACATTTTAACCGCTTGCTTGGATTATTTTAACTCTTATTTAAGTTATCAGTGCCTTGTAACGAAATTATTATTATTTGAACAAACCTATGGCCTTAACCACTGTGTATTAACTATACAAAGATGGTCGGTCTAGCGCTACAGTGTAGATAACCTAAAAATGATTCCCTACGATGCAGACGTCCTACGGTATGGCTCCTTGAGCATTTTAACTTTAATTTAACCACCAAACATACATTTCATGTCGTTTGCTTCAGTTAAACAAAAAAGAACGCCTCAAAATCTCTCTTAAAGCGCTCAGTACCCCTTTAAGCTAATAACGCCGTTGTCCATGCAGACCAACACTTTTCTGACCTATTTACAAAATAATGCGCTTCGAGGGGAACGCGCTTCAAATTGTGCGTAAGGCAGTTACCTTGCAACGATTGACTACTCGAACTGAATTCGTCTAATTAAACGGGAAGACACTTAAAGCACAGTAGACCAACCATTCACCGAAAAAAAAAGCAAATTGCAATCTCCTGTCGAGTCATCGACGCAGTTATAAGCGGCACGAAAAGGATCTTGGTCTTGATTAAGACAGAAAAGATCCTTTGACATGCGCAGCTCAGCTCGAAACCTAGCCATTTATAAGTGCGCAAACGGCAAGCTGTCCATTATATCAACTTGTTGGTATATTGAATTACACCTCACAAGCTTGGCTTCGTTAATGCTTGGGTTAACAAGTGAATAAACCATAGAGACGGAGGACATCAACTTAAACTAAAGACATTGGGTAGGTCATTTAGCCGAAGTCTAATTTAGGCTGCGGTTTAAGAAATCTAAATTTCTTTCTTAGATGTTTAATTTAAGAAAATAAATGCTATTACCGTCTACGCAATATCAGCTTTATTGAACTTTAATATCATTGTTCACGACGATAAATAATGTTTCGATAAAAGCGTTGGGCAAACTGAAAATGGCTTAGAACGCGGTTTTGTTAAACACGGGGGCTAGTAAACTCCGTTTAAATAACTGGCCCATCAAGTCTAACGCCCCAGTTTAAGAAATCATAGCCGGAATCTCCAGATCCTTTGCTAAGAGGTTTATTTCAAGAAAATAAAAACTTTTCCGACTACGCTATGTGCTTTCATGAAGAAAGATTCAAGATAAACCGGGTTTAAGTATGGCTTATATAGAACATGATTTTGTTAAACACTGGCTAAACTCCGTTGAATAACCAGCTCTACGTTGCCATATGTGTATTCAAGACTAACTTGTCACTTTTATTTTGGACAATGAATTGGGAGTGTCCATAGAATTTTTTGTTGTAAAAAAGAAAGAAAACACGGCAGGAAGACGACGAGACATTCTGAGAGATATGGGACGAAAATGTCGAAGTTTGGTCGTTGATCTCAACTTTTAAGAGTTTTTTTTTTTTTCGGTATCCTATAATATCTATATAAATGAAAGCTTAACGGGTAATTTGATATCATATCATATTGCAGTTTTTATGTACAGAGTCAACAATTCCTTATTACCTTCTGCTTTTGATGCACTTTACTATAAAGTACGTGAGATCCATCATTACAATACACGATCTGCAGCTAAACAGTCATATTACCTTCCCAAAGCTAGAACTAATTATGGAAAATTTAATATTAGATTTCAAGGACCAACGATCAGGAACTCAATTGATGATAACATTAAAGCTGTTTCTCTTTCTCACTTTAAATCAAAGTTAAAACAACATTATCTTTCGCTGTACTAATATTGGCAATTATCTTGTATTTCGTAACCTCCATCCTACTTTTTTCGCTCTTCTTACTGTAGTACGTGCTAGTGTATATGTGTATATCTGTGTGTTTATGTGTATACAGTCTGATGTGCTGCCATATTGTACCCCGCACAATAAACTTGTTTAAATTATCTTACTGAATCTGGCTTCTTGGCATTTTTAACTCTTTAGTTTAGTTTTTTCAGGAAGTCAGTACCACTTTTAGTTAATTGATTAATTTAACAACTTGTAAATAACTATAATATTCTGCTTTGGGTACAATAAATTTTTGTTGTTGTTGTTTTGTCGGTTTGTTTGTTGTTGTTGAGCATCCTACAAAATTGCGTGGTTAGATGGTTGTCAAGAGTTAGGCGGGAGATTGAAGGCATTCAGAAACGGATAAATATTTTGAATGAAAAATGATACAGTCGAACCCTCTCATGAGCGAATACCCAAAATCCGAAGATTTAGTGGTCGCGGCTCACAGCTGGTGGTGGTGATTACGAGTAGAAATCCCAACACATCTACCTTCTGGAAGAAAACTGGACTTAGGGCAAAATGACGGCTTAGGGGAGGGGTAGGTGGGCAGTTTCCCAGAAACCCAAACTGACCCAGAAAACTTATCGCATGCATTTCGTAAGTTACACAGTGCTTAGTTCCAGGTTGATAATACAGTGGAAACCCACCTTACGGCAACGTCTATAATTCTGACACCTCTTGATTTCGGCCACTTTTTTTTCGGCCCGGCAAAACGGCCATACATTTTCATATGAAAAACCATCGTTAATGCAGTCACCCGTTAATGCGGCCAACGCCCACATTTTAAAATGCCAAACAGTAGAATCTTTCGAATTTAAGTTAGCTGGGCCTGATATTTCCATGATCTTGTATTGCTTTTAGACTACAGTTCACCTAAAATCCATTTGTGGCGGTTTAATAGCCGATATTTAAAAGTGTTTTTTTTTTTGGTACTAAAGGAAAGTTTCAAGTGGTTTTTACAATTACTGCTACGCGATACTAATTTCCTGTTGTTTCTGGGGACGAGGTTGGTTATTACAGCTCTTAAGTCATGAAATTTATCCCTGCCCTGATAATACGGCCAAATTTTTATGACCCGTTGGTGATCGTATTAACGGAGTTCCACTGTAAAAGTTCTGCTCATATTCTGAGTGGTGTAGTACTTACAGCGAACATTGAGATCTAACCATGCGTCGCCAAAAAAACGTCACCCCGAAAAGTAGTCCCAGTCGCTCACTAGAGGTGGTCGTTTACAAGAGGTTCCAGCTATAGAGCTTTGACTGGAAAAAAAGAAACATGGATATTCGACTGTAGCTGTTAACAGGCTTTAAAAGCGTTTCAACGTTGTGTCGAAACTGATTTGTTTTAAAGATTACCAATTATTCATCGAATGTTTCCCTGCAGTTTGAGGCAACGGAGGAAGCATCTGCTGCAGATGCTTTGCCTTACGGCACAAACACAAAAATTTCCTTTTATCTCACGAGTTGATTTTAAAACAATTTTAAAACAATTGGCTTATACGTCAGTGAATGTGTTCGAGATGTAAAGCAAGCGGAAGTTTGCAGAACAGGAAAGCCAGCAACCTGAAGAAACTCCACGCAGGGGCTGAACGAATTGAATATGGGTTGCCATGAGACACCGCGAACTGGATGGGACGGTTTGGAAACAATGTACAAAATGCGATTAACGGAGTTTGTCTTCGAATGTATAAAAAGTTACACCGTCACGGATTTAAAGATTTGTTTTTACAGAGGAATTCAGGCCGCAGAAGAAATGAGAACATCATTCTTCCAAGACCAGAAACAAGTTTTATCAGAAACTCCAAACGCTATAGAGGAGAAACCGCATGGAACAGTTTAACGAACAAGGAAACAAGGGCCAAAACCTTGAAAGAATTTAAACACTGTCTTGCAAAATTTGATACTGATAATATGAATTTCGAACCTATTTTAGCTACAACTAAAAACAGAGATTTCGGTAACAAATATTTTTAACAGTTTTGATTTTTAATTGTACATTTGTACAACCTATTTTAACTACAACGAAAAACAGAGATGTCGGTAACAAATATTTTTAACAGTTTTTAATTTTTTTTGGTTCTTTGCTTTCAATACTTCTTACTTTTCTTGTAATTGTTGTACGCACGACCCCACCAGCAACGCTGATCTTCTTATCGTGCTAAAATAAAGTTCTTATCTATCTATTAGTCAAGACAAAACAAGGTAACATTGTACTGTAGTCAGAATAACATTTTGTCTGAGGCAATACAGTAAGAGACAAATCAGGTAGCCAAAAACTATATCATGAACTGTGCAGAAAGTATTCGTGGTACAGAATCACTTAGCCATGTAGCACCCCGTTCAATCGACCATTTTTACAAGGTCTCGCTTATTTTCTTAAACTTTATTAAAGAGCATTTAGATTCTCCTTAAATTTAGGTTTGTGGCGTTTTTGAGAATTAATCTCTTTCAACCGAGACAGCTTATAGCTTATATAAGAGTTATGGATGCACTTGGGAGGTTTGCTAAGCACTCAAGAAGCTAGAGTTGCACTCGCTTCTTACGCTTCTTTCGTGCTTACCAACCTCCCGCGAGTATCCATAACTCGATGGTTGCACGCTGCACGTTTACCATTTCTTAATTGTGAAAAGTATCGGTTAAAGAAAACAAACTACACTCGGGTCCAGAAAACTCGAACCATCTAGGGGAAATCGAACAAAAATCGAGTTATCGAGAGCTCGGAACAAAAAAACTGGAAATAAGGAAAAAAGCAAATGGATGGGAAAGGAATGAAAGTATCATGCACACTTCGTTCAAGGGCAGCAAGAGGTATATTGATAGCGGAGCTTCCGCGCGCGAAGCGCGCGCAGCGGAGCACCATGGGTAATAAAATTTGGTAAACTATCTATCCGAGAAAATTTGGTTATAACGTCACCGTACGTCCATCCGTACATACGACCGTACGGACTTTCCGGGTAGGGGTAAGTAGAAACGAATTCTCCCCTTGAGAGTTTTGTCTCCTAGTGTTTCAAAAGCCTTTGGAAATGATTGACAAATCAGAATATGTCAACTGACCAAATGTTTGGTGGATTTTAGGGGCCGACATTTGACTTTTGAGGGGGTTATGGATAATTTCAGAAAAAAAATGTCCTGCAGGCTGATTTCGGGAGGAAAAAAGCATGCAAATAAATTCCTGGGAAAAAACATCCTGCACTGAAAAAAATATCGCTCATGACGTATAATACTGAAAAAAAATCTTACACCGTTATATCTCGGGGGAAAAATTTCTAACTCCAGAGAGGTTTGGGAAAAAATTCTCAAACTAAATCAGTAAAATCACCGATACCCCACTTCCCTACAAACGTCCAATGGTCATGTCAACCATTTAGGGGGTGAGGGAAGAAACGGATTTGACACTTAAGTGAATGTCATCCATCAACAAAATAGCTGGCGCGCGTTCATCATGTGGTGGTTTTCAAAGCTAAAGTTTTGCATTTCAAGATTGAAAATACGCCGATAAAAGACACAAATGGAAAAAAAAGCTTCAAAAGAATGCTCAGTTTTCTTTTTTGTGGACAAACGAAAGCTTTTCGCTATGACATTGCCTTTCGAGGAATTCAACCTTGTTTTTTTACGGATCGGAGCGCTTGGCTTGTTTTGAACCAACAAGGGAGCGAGGTTTCTGAAGACACTTGAGGTACATTCCGTACTCTATGATCAAAGAAAAGTACGTTTTTAAAAGGGAATTTTTCTATTTTAAGGGTTTCATGGACGGTTTTCTACAGTTTTGACATGGGCGTGAAAGAAAAACCACAAAATGTGCGTTTGAAATTTATTTTTTGCCATGTGCTCTACCGATTTAACTTGCAACGCAACGATTTAACTTGCTTTACGCGAATTGCTTTTTAGATTAACTTACGGGGTTTTGAATAAAAATTTTCAAGAAATTAAGTTATTTATCTGTCATTGTTCATTCATAACATTATCTCAAAAAACGACCATGAGACTACAGATCGTGAGATTTTTAGAAACATTCATACGGGCCCTTTCTTGAATTAAAACTGAAGTGTTGTTTTTTACATGTTCCGCATTGAATTGCTATTCATTTTCTCATTCATTACTTGCCATTCAAGAATTTTGCAGTGTGTAGAATTCAAGAATTTCTGCCGTTTTGCAGTGTGCAGCGTGCTGCTCTTTTTCCTTAACTTGTGCCCTGATTACAGCCGCTTGCATTAAGTTTACTGCGTTTGTTTTCAGTTGTTTGCAATTGTTTACGGCTTTATATTCTCACTGAAAATGTGAGCTTATGTAAAAAATGAAAGAGGTCTCCTCTATTCTAAAACGGACAGACTCTTCGGCTCTTCGAGCTCGAGTTTGTCTTTTTTTTTCTTAATGAAAAAAGTTGTAAGTTGCTGTATTAAGTTTACATTTGTAGTGAAAGATTGGATTATAGTTATTAGTAGCGAAAAAGATTATAGTTTGCTTTCTATGTCTGTCCTCAGAGAAAATATTATACACCTTACGGTAAAATTTTCTTTCAGATATTGTGAGGTATAAATGTAAAGGCTACACATAACTGTTCGTCCGGGCCCGTTTAATAAAAAAAAGAAAAGAAAAGAAAATGTAATGGGCTTACGGGAAGACAAAAGTCCTTTAAGTCGGCCTGATTTTCCTTTTAGGTCTTCCCTTAAACACAGACACACCGACCCTAGAAATCGTAACCTGTAAATTGCTGCTACTAAGAGACCTACAATTTAACAATTTTTTCAATTCAGGTTTGTTTACGGGATATTTTTTCCTAATCATTTAGTCCCTTCCTCTAAAGGTGTCTGATGCCGAAGGCTCTTCGGGATATAAAGATTTCTTTTTTTTGGCTTAGAGTTCATGTTATTACTTTAATGTGATTGCTTTTATCATAAGTATAGAAACTGAGGCTTCGGTTTTAGCCCTGGCTAAACCTATATATTATTTTCAAAAAGGACTGAAAAAAGCAACAAAGCCGTGATTTATATACAGGGCTGGGCTAACAAAAACGTAAAGACAAAGAACACACGCTTCGTCTGAAACAAATTCAATGTTTTGGCCTGCAGATCACTTGTTGTTTATTTTCAACTGATTGTCAAGCGCTTAAAACATGGTTCGAGTTGTCGAGGGTAATAATTATAAACTGAGAAACGATCTGAAAGGAAACAAAAATTTACTTCGAGTTAGCGGGAGGTTCTATTTCGCGGAAAGTTCGAGTCAAGCCGGGGATAAAATTACAGTAAACGTATAATGAAGGAAATCCACGGGAAATTAACCTGAAAGTACAGGTTTCTCTCTCGCATGGCTTTTAGCGTTAACAAAATCGTTCGCGTGCCTTGTCAGTCGCGTAGTTGGTTTATTTTGTATGTCCCAGGAGGTCAGGGTAAGGGGAAATCGATTTGGCTCGAGTTAGCGCGACGGTTTGAGTAATCGTACGTCGACCGTATCCTGCTTTCATCAGGGGCACCCAACGAGAATATAGTTCAAAACCACTTAAACTGAGTATTGTTAAACGTATTTTAGTATTTAAACGGTAGGTGGAGGCATATTTTTATCCCCTAAAATTTTTCACCTACTCGGATTTCCTAGCTGAAAGTCTAGTGATCCGAAAATTATAGGGATCGAAACTTACCTTTTCGAAAATTTCAGCCAAAAAAAAGGCTCCCGAAAATTCTAGGTGACCCTTTTAAGGTAAAAATTCGTCAAAAATGGGCAATTATACCATTTTTTCTAAGTTCGAAAATCCTAGGAGAGGCAGGCAAGCAAGAAATTTTACAACAAATGTTCCGAAATTTCTAGATCTCAAATCGTCTTCCAAGGAGATATTTTCCGAAAATTGACGTTGGGTGCCCCTGTTTCATGAAGTGGAGAACCTTCAAATTCAAGGGATAAACTTGGCCTCTTTGAAAGTTCTTCTCTCTAAACAGGTGTAGTTATTCAGCTGTTTCCTCGGGAGCCCTTACCACATGAAATTAAAGGGACATTTTATTGTACATTATTACCAAAAAAATTAGAACAATGTGGCCCATGGTGGTTTGCTATAAAACCGCCATTTATACGTAAATCCTCCATTGTTTCCCTCAAGGGGTTTTTTTAAAAGCAAGTTTGGGAAGGAGGGTGCTTTAACACAGACAGAGGAAGAACAGACTGGCGTTTTGTTCCTTCATTTTGAGACTGAGAAACTGATTTCATTTATTGCTGTCTAGCAAGGAGATTTAAGTGATATTCATTCAAAACAATTCGCCGCTTCTCTGATTGGGTCCAATTCCCAGGCTAATTCTTCAAAACCAATGGGCGCTTACCATATTTGGAAGATGTGAGCAATATACAATCGATTCGATGGTATATTTTATTGGAAACGAGGCTGATCGATGATATATTTGATTGGAAACGAGGCTGCTTGGGCAAAAGTGAACTAAAAAATGGCGTCCACGGCTATTCGAAGACGAAAAAGCTGAACTTCTGACTTAAACGGAATGTAAGAAATGCAAGAATACGTAAACCATTTTGCTCGATGGATCTTACACTCTTTGACGAGTATCTGCAAGATGAAACATCTGTTTATATCCTGAAAGCGTGCCGAGAAATAAGCCAAAGTTTTGAAGAAAGTTTACGAGAAGGTAAGCATGTTAAGAACTAAGAAATACCTTCAATGAATAATAAAACAATTATTGAATTCGGCTGTCGTACGATGTGAAGAATTAGGCAGATCTCGGTGGATAACATCCTCCTCGATCTGCATAATTCTTCACCTCCTACTCAGCCTCATTCAATAATTGTTAAATAGACAGAGGAGGAAAGTGTTCGAGATACTCTGTGATGAATAATTTGCTTAGAGGGGCTCTGTCACGACATTCATCAAATTTCAAACAGTAGGAGCAGCCACCAAATTGAGTGATTACATAATAATAACAGCTAAAAACATTAGCAGCAAATGCAAAAGGACTGGGAAGCCCGGATGGACAAACTTGAAGAAGATAAAAACGGATTGAAAATTGTGATTATCTTAAAAACTTGTTAGCCTAACAGGTTTTGAAAGTTCATTTTTGCTGTCTACAACGTTTGATTTACAGCTTGGGAGACAATTTGGTGTGATATGAAGCTGTGCCGGATTTTTCAATTTGCCGGTAATTCGTCGCTAACGTTAAGTTGCATTCCTAAGGACGTGTGATTGGCAATATAAGCAAATTGAACTAGACAACCGTACCACAGTCCCTTTAAAGCGGCTGTGTCGAGGCTGTTCTTATATGGAACTTAACGCTAGCAAAGAAGCTACTCGTAAATGACAAAATTACAGCTTCTTGACCAATAAATATGTCTTCTAAGTGTTAAGTCAAATAAAAATCTCGTCCCCGTCCTCGAATCCAAAGATCACTAGTATCTTGTACATTTATGTGACGTATACATGAAATAATTCATTTTTGAAGTGATTTTTTTTTCAGGCTTCTTCTTTCCAATTGCTTAAATTGGAAAATTTACTGCGATGATCATTTTTCACTTTCATCTTGTACATTAACACAATACGATGACCCCGGCAGGTCTCGAAGCCCGACCAATCGATCCGGAGTCCAAGTGAAATAACCAGACAAGAGTGAGGCCGGCATCCGGGATGCCGGTCATCCGGGCTTTGGAGCAAATGTAGTTTTACTTTACATTGTGGTAACGAGATCACAACAAATGCCGAAGAGGTCTAAGAAGGAATTGGGATAACGATGCAGTCTTGCAAGACCGAATAAAGACCGAATTAACTTCCACTTTGTGAAAATTACTAGCCACTGCTACATACATTCAAGCTTTTCAATCTCGGCTTAATTATCCCTGTAAAAAAGGGTGGTTACCTTAATTTGTAAATGGAGTTAGGTTGATTGTACCTCTTTTAGCGACCATCAAATTTGGAGGGCAGTTCAATAAATCTTACGCGGCGGTTTAAAAAGTTTTGCTATACTCTCGAGAAGAAAACAAAAGCCTTTTTTTACCTTCCGGATCAGGAATAACTGAAACTCAGGGGTCCGTAGCCCTTGTGGAGAGCCACTGTTATCGTATACTTCACGAACCGGGAAAAAATATTTCGTATTAGAAGGCAAGGGGCGCTTAATGAAGCAGACAATATATTACAAAGAAACAAACAAACTGAGTAAACACTAACTTTTTTGCTTATAATTCTCCTTAATATATTTAATTTCTATGATTTCTGAAACAGTACTGCATTATTGACCTTTCTTCAATACTTATTCTTTTGTTTTATCACGAGTTTCTGCCGTGAGTTGTTTATCAGGAGAGCATGCGGCACACACAACGTAACAATTTGCCGCGATTTTAGACCTAAGACATTTGATGCGCCCACATGCAACCCAACTAGTTTTATATGGATGTTAAATAAAAGCCACCTCTGAATGTTTGATTAGATGTGTTGGAAGCCTGTAGTCCGCCACGACTCTAAATTGTAAATCAGAGAATTTTGACAAGGTGTGTGAGGTTTCGCGCCAAAATAACTTATCCCCATTTGAAAGCAACTTAACAATTTTGCAGCGCTCTGTGTAGCGCTGCATAAGCGACGAACAGGGGATGTGAGCAAGTATGAGTTTGGCATCTATTTCCGAGGCACCTTAAGTCGTGCAGATAAGGCAAGGATAACACAATTAAACGCACTTACCATTGGAAAACTCTGCGTGTAGTTGTCGGAATTTAATTATATTGCTAAGGCCTACTGAAGATGTAATTAGGAATCAAACTAAGAAAGCAGGAACAGAAAGGAACCAACTCGAAAGGGAAGTCTGGCCATGAAGGCAGGTGTTTAATATAAAATGGGGTAAGTTACCTCAAACTCCGGTAGAAAAATCCATTCATCTTAAGCAAGTAAAAAATGAAGGTATATCAAATAACTGTGCGACGTATCTTAAACAATGTTATATATTATCTTGATTTTTTGAGTAAAAAAAAATTGTATAAAAAGCTTGCCTCGTAACTTCCTTGTTTTCGGGTAACCAAACACCTACACAGTGTTAAAAGAAATTCCCACCGAGGGAAAAATGTGATTAAAAGAAGCAACTTCCTTTCCTGTCTACAACACAATCCGTCTAGAATTCGCTTTGAAGTTTGAAAAAGGCCCTAAGGCATTTTGCGAATATAAAAACCGGACGGGATAGTTGCTTTCGAGACTGCCGGCGCAGCTGAGCTAAGCTGTGATGAGTTTCAATTTAACAAAGCCAGCACGGTCTGTCAAAAAAGCGTCGACGTTGCGTGCCCATCGGTATACCGCAAAAGGTGAAACAGCTGTACAGAGTAGCTGCATTTCCTCGAACAAGACAAGTGATAAGCGTGTTTGTTTCAAATTTCATATTTTTCTTCTTCGCCTTAATAAATCAAGAGGAATTTTGAATTGCAGTTGGTACTAACTTCAGACCCAACCTGGATGGGGTTATTTTCAGTTTTAGATTTTGTTTCGTAACTGTGATTCAATTTTTTTACGACACTAGGGAACGGTTACTCGATTACTTCAATTGAGGTATTTATTGTTATGGCTGGGAATTAACTACGGTTATGACTAATAAACTTAACACCATTTATGAATACCCACGTGGTGCGAGCATGCAATTACTCAGTCAGTCTATCCCACGCTGTGATAGAACAGTGACCAAGATGGCACGTGCCGTAAAAGTAACTTCCTTCGTTCGTCGCTAAGCAACCTTCCAACTAGCGGGGGAGGTGGTTGGGAAGACGACTTTGAAAATATAGGGCGGAATATGATATCATGTGAAAAGAAAACTGTAACAAGCCTCCACAATATTGTTGTAATCTACCTTTGGCGACAAAACTGGAAGAGAATCTATAGCATGTTGTTCAACGCTTTTAAAAAAATGAACGGGTTCACTGAGGCTACAAACAGTGACAATGCGCATTATAAAATGTGTGGTTGCTATCCACTTTGGTTCAGGCATCAGTTTTTTGGGTCAAAAAGGTTATCTTTTCATTATATAAGCCCACCGGCTAAAAGTCTTTATTTGATCCCCTTAGTCTAAATTTGGATTCTGCGGGTGAAGACAGTGAAAATTTACATTTGCCACACTGTGGTACTATTGTTAATATTGAACAGGCAGATGGTTGACATTCAAATAAATCAGAGGATATAAAAGTATATGTAACAATCTTGTGCGATTATGCTGAAAATGACAAAAGTTCTTGCGTGGAATCTGAACGCTTAGCTTTAATATTTATATAAAAGCCAGTAAGCAACAATCTTCAATTCACTTCTATCTAGCCTTCTCTTAGTTTTATATACCCCCCACAAAACAACCTGTTAACAGGCTGTTGAATCTACCGAGTTCATCTATGTCTTCCAATGAGTTCACTGCACTTTTTCTTTGACTCAAACAACTCAAGCCAAAACTCAGTCAAACTGTTTGAGCGCATCCAGCAATTTGAAGGGGCTATTTCACAGTGTGTTCCACGTTTTTGGGAGGAAAAGCTGAAATAAAAACCAAGTATTCTCGAGTCATCTTTTGACATACTTGGCTGGAACTCTTAATGAAAGATATATCGAATGGTTCTATAAAAAAGGAAAACATTGATCGCTTTATGGGCATTTTTCGACTCCACAGAAGTTTAACTTGAAAAAGCAAAGTTGACCCAGTTTTTTCCAGCTGCGATCCGTTTTCATCCTGGCCAGCGAAAACCAGCCAATGAGATGCACTGAATTACAGTTGAAGCATAGTAGAAGAGTAATAGACCTTGTCACGGTTTTCGACGCCATCTTGACGAGTAGGCCAACGCGTAAGAAATTAGAGTGTTTGCATGAGAATCAAATTTTGAATAATTTCCGTAGAACGGCTGTTCTGAAAAAATATGATTTGTAGACTGAAGCTTCACTCCAAAGGATTCTACTGAAAACATCTGAGGGCGTTACATGTACTAGAAGACCGAGAACCACTTTTTAAATTTCCTATACATTTGTCTGTAAGAAAGTCCTAGGAAAATTACAGACAAATATATGGAAAATCTAAAACAAGCCTCTGGAGAAATTTAAGCACATGTACGCCCCCAAAATGTTTTAGGACAATCCTTTGCTTTGTAGCTTTAGTTTACGATTGATATTTTTTTCAGAACAGCCATTTTACGGAAATTATTCGACATTAGATTCTCATACAAACACTGTAATTTCTCACCGTTTGCCTACTCGTCAAGATGGCGTCGAAAAACGTGACAAGGTCTATTTTAAACTGACTGAAATAGATTTAGTATTATTTGATTCCAATGAGGTTTTGTTATTTTAAAGACATGGCTCCTGTAACCTCAATCTTTTGTAACTTCCGCTGCGATCCGCTGCTAGTCGGCGAATCGGTTCGTTGAAAACAGGCCACCTCCCAGCAGCTTCGTGAAACATCCAGTGACTTCGTAAGATTTTTTCTTTGCATAAGATCCCAACGCCGAGATCCGATCGGTTTTGAACGAACTGATTCGAAGACTTGCAGCGGAAGTTACTTGCAAAAATTGAGCTTAAATTGATTGTTTACGCCAAAAAAAATTCACTTAGTCTTGGCTTGAGTTGTACGAGTAAAAAAAATACTTAATTTGGAAGCGAAGCAGGACATCTACCGCAGAACAGGAAACAAAGAAGCGCAGCGATATAATCAACAAGAGAAGCGGACCGTTGTATGTGTAAGGAAACAATTACTTCCGCTGTTAGCTGTTGCATTGTTTCTTCGCAAAGTGAAATTAAATTGTGGCTTAACAGCCTTGATTAACCTTACCTCCACAAAGTCTGTTAAGTCAAGTCCTCCCGTTCTGTCGTTTTCGTTTCAATACTACTTAATGCCCTTTATTCTTAAAAAATTGAGTTATAACTGAGGTCATCTAGGCCTCCCACATACACGTGTTTCATGCCTGTGACAGAAGACGGCGGACGCTAAAAGCGTCGATGAGTCGAAACAAGGAAGCGACTAAGAGAATATATTTACTTTACTTTTAAGTTCCTTGTAGCTCAGCGGTGATTTCCATGCAAGTGTAAGTAGGTTCATGTGTGCTGCTATAATTGTAAACACACATGAACCTATATAGATAACAATCTGATTGTTTTGGTCAGTGACTTCTCAGTTTCTCACTTAAGATAAACACTCAGCATTATTTTAAAAAGAGGAAAGGAAATTTTTCACGACAAAAAAGACGAGAAAGAACATCATTACCGGAACATACTAATTCTCGAAACACTTCCTCGATCAAAACTTATCAACCAAACTGTTTCAGGATTTTCAGATTATGACACAAAATTTGATCCAAGGGAAATATCGCTGGCAAGATGAACTGACGTAATTGCTCTTAAACTCCAGGGATGGACCGATCGGTTCAAGATCACCATTATTATAAAAAAATAACAGTACGTCATTTAATTTCTTTTAAGCCCCGCAAAAACTTTTTTGTTCGTGGCTTGAGTTCTTGTAATGATCTCAAAATAAGCGAAAAGTAACTGTTAACACAGAAATACAGGCGATTTCTCAAAGCCGATAAAGATGTTAGTTCCGATTTAAGTATTCAATCAAAATTTCCCACAATTTAAGCTAAGTACTAGCCCTTGCAACAAAAATAATACAAGGGTTTTGAGAAAACAACATTAAAAGAATTCCGAAAAAAAATTATTAGAATGCCATTAAAAGGATCAACATCGCTGGTGTTCTCGAAGGAAATTACGGCGGAAAAAAAAACAGATGGACAATAATCTGTAAGCAGTTGTAGAGAACAATCTTCCTTGTCATCCGTGGACAAACGCACTATTTTTCTTCTTAACTAACTCTAGAAGAGAAATTGCAGAGCTGTATCATGATGTTTGGCTTTATCATCAAAGTAAAAATCGTAAGCGCCCTTTGGACTTCTGACACTCCAAGAATTATTTATTGAGCCATATTTACTTTTCCTAAATTTTGAGTCCAATAATGTGAACCACTTTGGCAGTGCTTTCAGCTAGTGCCATTGCTTTTTCACTATGGTCCAAAACGAAAGTTTGGATTGTAGTCTTCAATTATGAATAGTTTTGATCGAACTAGAAGAACAAAGGGTCAAAGCACTTCTAAAAATAGGCGGCATACTCTTTAAGCGCCGTTTTAGGTTTAAGCGCGGATGTTGTAGAAACAAAAATGTAGTAAATAAAACGCCAACCCCTTTCCATCTTAACGAAACAGTCGGAAATAATGCAAGGAGAACTGGAAGGGTAAAGAATTCCAATCTGGGACTATTCTAAGCCGCCAAGTTGAGAAGTCACACAATTAATCTTACGAAGTCTAAACGTGCGAAGAGTTTTTGAAACAAAGTAAACCAAAACTGACAGAAATAGTCGTTTCCAAACGGTTTAAAATTATAATAGAAGAGTAAATTATAAACTTTTTTTAAAAATAATCCATTTGAACAATTATTCTTTTAGCCTCGATTCCTGAATGTTGATTCGATTAAAAAAACTCTACACAAAATTTAACGTAAGTTTTGTTCTTTTCTTTAAGAAATGTGTATGTGCTGTGATTGGTGGATTTCGATCCCCGGCCTTTGTCAGTTTCTTTGTGTTTGCGGTCTGTCTCTTCTAAAAATTTTAAACCCGATTGAACTCAACAGACAAGAATAATTTTTTTGTTAAAAACCAAATCAATATTTAATTATTGAATCGAGGTCAATTTGATTGCTGTCCGATAATGAATCAACAAACGGGGTTTGCTATGGAACGCCCTGGGGACAAAAAAAAATTTCCTCATCTTTACCTGGTCAAACTCTACACAAAATTTAACGTAAGTTGTTCTTTTTCTTTAAGAAATGTGCAAAAAATTTTACCCATTAATTTTAAACGGCAAGTGCTGTCCGATAATGCAGGGGTTATGGAGCCCGGGGGACACCCCTATAACGGGCTATATGGAGAAGGCTCCACTAGAAAGGGGTACCTTTTTGGTCCGTAAAATGACCTAAAAGGGCTACATAAGTATTTTACGGGTGTAAAAAGTCAGACAAGAAACTTTTCTGGTTTTGTGATTTATTCATATTTAAAAGACAGTGAATTAAAAGCAGTTAAAGGGGATGTAAAGTTTTAAACTAGGTATGTGTAAGGGGTACCATTTGGCAATGGAAGGTAAACTATAGAGGTTTCAGTCTTTTCTGTCAAAATGCTATATAAGAGGGTGAGGGGTTGGACCACGGGGCCGAGACTCCCCGTATAAAACCTTATTAAATACCCCTCCCCCGGGACTTGGGGCAACCCGTCGGACTAGCATGTTTAATTATGAAATGGTATTTGCCGAGATAATGTTAATGTTAGGGAAAAGGGGGGTTGGTAGGCATGTAAGAGTGTCCGAGCAAGTAAATTTCAGCGAGAGCTTGCCGTCAATGGGCCAGGCAAGCGATTTTTAAATTTTCTATTCACCTTGATTGCGGAAAAAGCTCGGTAGAAGGGAGGAAGATTTGTACGACTTCTAGTGCATTGCTTCACTCTCTGAAAACAATGTAACTAAAACTTGGGCTGAGTTATGCGGGCAACTACTAGCTCTACATAAGCTTCCTTAATTACTTCAATAATTTCGTTTAGACGCACTCAACATGTACTATTGAACTAGTCCTTCAGATGTAAAGTTTTATCGTGGCTTTACTTTCAAGGAATAAATATGAAATCATTTTCAGAACACTCACCTGATAACTTTCTCCAGCAGGCGTAGTGCAATCGAGCTTTCACATGTAGAAACGAACCATGCTTCGGGTCTGAAAAATAAAAACATAGAGACCTTCAGTCAAGATATTTTAATTCTCTTAATGTTAAGAAAATGGAAATCAAAGAATAAATACCATCAACCAGTGAAGAATTTCAATGAGGCGTTTCAAAATCGAGTAAGGGCAAAAATGGCTTCGACTGTCTGGAGACCGATAAGAGGTGCAACGGCAAGCTTGGGTAATAAGGGCAGTCCTCATCGATATGGCGCCTTTTAAGGGTTATTCGCCCTGGTTATTCGGTGCACGGAAAATTAGCAAAACGCTTGCCCTTAAAAATAACTTGTTTGGGATATTTACGGATTTCCTGTCATTTGTACTTAATTCTTCAAGTGCTTGGACATAGTTCTGTAACAAGTCGTTCCGTAATAAATGTTTGTCCCAATTAAGCCAACCTTACGAAGTAAACTTATGTATTAAAATTTTCTTGTTCTGAAGATCACTTTTCACACTGAAAGTCACTGCGAACGAAAAAAAAAATTGAATCCATATGCAGACAGGTTGTTTGAAGCAAAAACACTTTGATTTCCAGGCTAAAATCCTACAATTCATTGCATTTGAATGAAGATATCTCGGTCGACGACTATACCCAAATTTTTCGCATAGAAACCATTGTTTGAAAGCTGACTTAGATGAACATTTCTTCAGCGTATCAAAGTATCCTCTATGAGCCAAAATTTGGTTTATAGAGACAACATATCTCGTACTTCGTGACTCGTGACTCATCTATGCGCCTATTTTGTAGGCTAAACTTCCCATTCGAAGAATACCACTTTTGGTAAACCAACATGACAACTAGGGTAAACACCCTGGGCGTGATAGAGTTTCACAAACCTTTCTAAATTTCTATGCCACAAAAACGATTTTCCAGCCAGTAGGTTGGCTACTAGCCACTCTTACCGATGTGATAAAAATTGAGATCAAGATGGAATCGAGTCAGCACAGCTTCGAACGTGACCCGGAAATGAAAAAGGTATCTTGTTTTCGGAAGAGATGTTGAAGTGTTTCAAAAGGCTCACAGAAGGGGGAAATTAGGGGCAGATATAGTGTGAACTATAGTAATACTAGTTTTAATATAAACCGAAAGGACAAATATTACAATGGGCACAATTAAAATAAGAGGAAGAAGGAGAAAAACGGCCACGTACGTCGTTCTTTTCAGTTATAAATAAAAACCATCTGATAGAAAGTGGTTTACTTAAGTGAAAAATTAAACATGCCACATTAAGATGGAATCCACTGGGAAATTGAGTAATTTTAATTTTCAGTGGACAAAAACCTTGTATACCAGAATTATTTAAAGAATATATGTTACATTCTTTTTCACATTTTTTTAAGGACTAAAGATGTAGTTAGTCGTCTGTAATAACACCAAAGACAATTTCCCATGGAAGTCCAAGAAAATGAATGTCAAATTTCACAAGAATTGTGAAAACACAGGCAAAATTCTGAAAATTTCATGTGTAAGGTGTAATTTTGTGAAATTTGACATTCATTTTCTCGGGCTCCCACAAGAAATTTTGTTTGGTGTTACTACAGATGACTAATTACATCTTTAGCCCTTGGAAAATGTAAAAAAGAATGCAATATGCTTTAAATTATTCTGGTACAAGGTTTTTGTCCACTGAAAATTAAAATTACTCAATTTCCTAATGGATTCCGTCTTCGGGAGTTGAAGATCACAACAGAACCTTGAATTATAAAGCAAGCGGTCAGATTTTGGGGAAGAATTTGAAATCTCTGCTTCTGATTGGCCAGAACTTGTGTTCTAGCCAATCAGATGCAGGGATTTCTGATCTCACTCGGTGCGAGTGATTGGCCGTTTTTATACTAATATAAGGACGTATCAACCGTCTGGACGAACTTAGGCAAACATTTTGAAGTTCGTCTGGTTATGCGTCTCTAGTATAAAGATGGGTACAAGACGCATTATGCGTCCAAACGAACTACCTTTCGTAGTGCGTCGTTCAAGACGTATTTCGAAGGAGAGTTCGTCCAGACGCATAATACGTATGCCCATCTTTATACTTGAGACGCAAAACCATACGAACATCAAATGTTTGCCCAAGTTTGTCCAGACGGATAATGCGTCCTTAGCATAAAAAACGGCCATTCTTGAACTGCACTTTTACCGCCAGAGTGATGATCATGTCAAATGAAACCTCCTTGACTGCAGATGTCATTTTGTGAAGTTTGACATTTATTTTCTCGGGCTCCCATAAGAAATTTTTTTTGGTGTTTATATTACAGAAAACTAATTACATCTTTAGCCCTTAAAAAATGTAAAAAAGAATGCAATATTCGTCAAATTATTCTGGTAAAAGGTTTTCGTCCACTTAAAATTAAAACTACTCAATTTCCTGTTGGATTCCGTCTTAAAATTTCTCTTCCGAAAACAAGACACCTTTTTGATTTTCCGGGTCACGTTGGAAGTTGCGCTGACTCGAATCAATCTTGATCTACGATGCTTTTATCTCACCGGTAAGAGTGGCTAGATCTTAAACTAGCTGTAGCCAACATGCTGGCTGGAAATTCGTTTTTGTGGCATGGAAAGGTTTGTGAAACTCTATCACACCCAGGGTGTTTACTAAGTTGTCATGTCAACATCCATGCTGTATTTAACGAAAAGTGACATTTTTCGAATGGCAGTTTAGCCTACAAAATAGCCGCATAGTTGAGTCGCGAGTCGAGAGATGTTGTCTCTATAAACCAAATTTTGGCCCATAGAGAATACTTTGACACACTGAAGAAATGTTCATCAAAGACAGCTTTCAAACAATGGTTTTTGTACGAAAAATTTGGACGTAGACGTCGGTCGGGATTTCTTCATTGAAATGCAATGAATTGTAGGATTTTAGCCTAGACTTTGGTCTATCAAAATCAAAGTGGCAGTGCTTTTGCTTCAAACAACCTGTCTGCATATGGAAAACAGCCGCGTATCTTGTCCTTCCAGTTAAAGAAAATTACGCCACAAATAAAATATTTAAGGCTTTCCCTCATAGACGTCGGTTTTATTTTCCACGCCGGCGCTTAAAAAGTAAAAATAGCACGTCCATACGATGTTCTGCCAAGCCGACCCCGTGTAAGATGAAAGCGGAAAATTTTAAGAATGGAAAATGTTCCAATAGAGGTAAAGAGGGTTTAACTTCGCTAAGTTCAGATTATGACAGAAGAATTGTCTGATAGGGAAAACCGCCAACTTGAACCTAATCTTTCAAACTTGAGACAGGAGAAAATTTTGAGTTTTTGGACTGAAACTGAAAAGCGTTTCATGTTTTTCATCGTTTAGGTTAAGAGGCTAGTTTCTAAAAAACTGTGATCCTGTGCAAGTTGGGAAGTTTAACCGAATTGACCCGGCACCAAAACAGGAATTGGAAGCAGTTGTTCGGAGTGCTAGCCCAAACGATGGCTTCGATTTTAGTGCATCAGGATATTCTAAACCGGGAATGAGCTATGAAAATTACAATACGCATCAACAAACTACGATAGGTTCCATTTTAGAGCAAGAGTCTATGAGCAACTTCCTCAAAACCAGGAATAGGCTTAATATAACAAAAAAAGAAACTATGAAAACAAGACCTCCTGGCTGAAATTTTACCAAATAAGGACGGTAACTGATACGTAGACCCTCTGAGTTATTACATAATGCGAGTAATCTTACTGTACATCCGCAGCGTACTTTGTGGTTTAATTTTATTCTTGGTTTAAATTTTATCTCCGATATTCTCATACATTATCAAACCCAAAGACAAAGGAAAAAAGAATTAAAACCAAGCGATGAATTTGATCCATTACAAATTCAACCATTTTTTATCCTGAGCTTAAACAACGGGTATTGGCCACGCAATGAATTATAATAAAGCATTAAATTTGCAATGAGAAAATACTTTTGTTGACCACTAATTTCCTGCATGAATTTATTTAAATGTGCTTTTCTTGCTGATTGCTGCGAACAGGTTACTTTGTCATTAAATCTTGTATATTAACATTGAAATGCTAGTACAGTGGACTGGAAGCTCTCCTTTGGGACATTTCTATTCAAGGGACACCTCCATCCAGGAGACACAAAATTTGCACCTGGAAAAATGTTCACATAATCTTTGTATTTGTTACCTCTCTTGAAGGGACACTTCTATTCTGGGAAAACTCAAAAGGGACACTTTTTCTGGGTCCCACAACCCAAATTCAACATCCATTCAGGGGACATTGTGGCACTCAAAAGGTGACTGACCACAAAAATTGTTGATAAGTTTAAGTGTTCAAAAGTCACAATGGCCACAGCTTTCAAAACATGAACTATCTCACTTAAAATCAATGTACTGCACTTGTTGGAATTCAACAAACAACATTGCAGAGATAAGTTAATCATGATTTTTTAGACATTATTTAACTGACTAAAATAATGACCGCATCAGATTTCGAAGTAAAATAAAAGAAAAGCACAGCCGGATCTCCACTAGTGGCCACCTCTCTAAAATGGCCACTCTTTTGACGAGCAGTCCATACATTGACCCTTGTTTAAACCTATCTACAATGCCACTTCTCTTCAACTGACACTTTCTTCTGTCCCTAAGGTGGCAATTGTAGAAAAGTTCAACTGTATTAATTATTTGTTGGTTAATAATTTTTATTAACAAATCCCAGCCCAATTTCCATTCGGGGGACACCCCTATTCTGGGAACACTTGCCTCGGTCCCGTGGGTGTCCCCTGAATAGAGGTTCCACTGTACCTATTTAAAGGAGCTTACAATATATGTTAGGCTATTTGCTATCTTTTCAAAAGCTGAAACAATTGTCTTTGCATCACTAGAATTCCAAAATAATGGCCCAGTGTTTTGATATTGCTATTTAAGACTATATCAAGGCATTGAAACCATTTCCAGTTGTCTTTTGCTAGGGCTTGAAAGGACAGACATGGATTGAAACATGAAAAAATTTGGCAAACTTTCTTAACTTTTAATGCTATACCTGCAAAAACCACCAAAACATTTTATGGTTAAGTGCGTTATGATGATATTTGTTTGATATCCTCTTCATAACTCTACAGGGGCATTTTTTGTATGGGTAAAGGCTTGAAGTAATGACTTCAACACAGAATTGACCTAACACAGCAATATCCTGTTGACGGCCCCTAAAGCCATTGCAATGTAAGTAGCACAGAGAAACAAAAAAAATTTGAAATCCCAAACCACTAAGCAAAACCTTTGAATCATTAGGTGGCACTATCCTTAATAAAAGACAACAGATTTTCAAGCAGAACAATCACAAATTGTGTGAGCTCTTCATATGTCGGTCCAACATTACTGAACACAGGATGCTCAGAAGTGCAATATTGACCAATATTGCTGGGCCAATAAAATTTTAACAGCCAACAATACTGAAACATTCACAGGTTGCCTGGCCATAACAACAAGGTCAGATACCTTGTACTTTCTCCCCAGTGTAGATTACCTTTGTGCTCTAGTTCCAAGAATGCAGATATGAAGAGTAGATTGGAGACTTTAATCTGTTTAATCTGAAAAACAACAAGCAAATTTCACAAGTCAATATTGATCAATTGTCACGCTTCCTAAGTTAGCTTTGTTATGCAAAACTTTATAAGTTGATATTAATAAATGTGAGGTAATCTCTTCTTGGTAGGCGGCAGGACTAGCTCAGCTGGTTGACTGCAGAACAGGAAGTCATGGGTTTGACAACGGGGCCAGACAAACAGTCAGGGTTTTAAAATAACTGGAGGATTGAAATAAAGGTACCGTATTTGCTCTGCAAACAGCTAAACCTTTGCATTGTGAAGATGATCAAGTAAAATGGAGGTCCCGTCTCCAGTAAGAGATGTAAAAATAGTATCCCCAATCAGCACTTTCGTGCAAAATAAATTGACACTCGAACAAAGTGCATCATCGTCATTATTATTATTTATTATTATTATTATTATTATTATTATTATTATCCACATTTGCTGAATTACAACAACTCTTGTATCTCATTAAGTGAGAAAAGGTTAATTGAGAAAGGTTCACAGGGAATGATCAAACCAGGCTTTGCTGAGGGCACTTTTTAGCTACCAAAGAACTGTTTTCATAAATCCAACTTAGCCAGTCTGAGATCCCAAAGTAGTCTGATGACACCTCAGAATCTTTCCACCAATATTGAATTTTAGCAAGTTTGTCACCCAAAAGTCACACAGAAGTTAGTAGCAGCATTTAGTACAGGGTGTTTTACCAGGTTTTCTTTTTCCCCTCTCTTTCTGTAGCTTTTAGCTCTTTTAAGCTCAAACTACATAGGAAAAGGAAATGCTTTCTAGTCCAAGATGGAAACAGCACTCAATAGAAATATACAGGAAAATAACTGGATACCTTTGAAATCATCATGCCAGCTTAGTATATTAATTATTTGAACTCCACTTTGTAATAAGCAGCATGCAAAGAAAGCTGTGTCCAGTAGCAAGGGGATAGTGGATTTTGCAATCGGGCTACTGAATCCTGTTCTTAACTTGCCCAAAGGCCAAGTGAAGTTTTTGGGGAAATTCAAATTACAGAAGAACTGTAATCAATGCTGCACATCAAAATTTTTTGGGGGCTACTTAAAAGACTCTTGGGCTTAGTAGTACATACTAGCAACAAGTTGCCTAAATGGCAAGCAGTAAAACCGACTTTCTTTGCACCCTGAACGAGGCCGTTACCCACCAACAAATGAATACTAGCTATATCATCTTTGGATGAGTAACATTGTTTTGTTTATGTAAAGGTTTTTGTTGGGCCATTGCAAAGCCAGACATATCAAATCTGATCAAGCTAGGCTAAACTAAGCTCTATAAAGTACTTCAAAATCTCTTGCCGCTGAGTTATTAGGGAAATGCCATTTTATACTTAATATCTAATCACATTCAGTGTGGCAAAATTGTTGCAAAGGCATATACAGTAAAACTTGTTAAAACCATGCAAGCATCATTTTGTTAAATCACTGTGTTGGCATGGCTCATGGTAGTTAACACTATATACATGTATCCAAGATCAATAGATCAATTCTGCACAATAATTTATATAATTGGGCCTCCTGAATGAATGGCCTCCTGAATCACCTTTTGTTACCTATTATCAGTTCAATAATTATTAAAATAAAAAGATGCAGTTATGAAACATTTCTACCTTGACAGTATTCTTTCCAGTCAATCAGTAACTGTCTTTCTCTGAAACTGTAAAAAGACAAATTTTAAATCTGGGTTAAAAAATCAAAATACTTACTGAATACAGTAACCTTGCTTGGCCACAGCCAACCCTGAATATGACACAGCATGCAACAGCTACTCTATAATTTGAGATGGGGTAAAAATGCACTTCAGACCAATGGGGTTTATCTTGATTATTTTGCTACGAAGCATCTTTTTTGTTAGTCAGATTATTATCTGTAAACATGCAGCTTGGGTTCGCGCTTTTAAAATTGAATTTTCGTGAGATCTGTGTAAAGATTTTCCTATTATCATGCAATCATGTCAGATGGCTGCTTACTAGAAAAACAAAGCAAAACAGAATGTCAATTTTCTGGCCAATGGCCATAGTCACCAAAGAAATTTGAGTTATGGTTGCTTACAAGAGAGTTTTTGAAAAAGTGGTGGTGGTGGCTGCTTACACATGTACAAGAAGTAGTTGCTAAAAGAGAGTTGAACATATTGACTTAAGGGGTATTTGGAGCAATTCACTATTTTATCAGTTCTTATAAAAAAGCTATAAAATAGTCTTTAATAGAACAGTGAAAGCTACATTTGGTCAGTCATGACCTTAATTCAGACTCTTGCTGGTGTTGACCTTTTTTTTTGGACAAAACAAAAAAGAGAGAACAAAAAGCTACATCAGTAAACAACAATATACACTTAAACACAAAAAACCTATTAAAAATAGCTATTATTCACTAAATTTATAACACTTCTTGGAGAAAGCACTGTATTTGTTATGCATCAAGGCTATACATTTTTTGGTTTCTGTTTTCACCTGTAAAAGGGTTAGGAAGTCTGAAAACTGGATTTCAAGTTATATGCTAATTAGATTTTTATTGTTGAGGGTTAAGCAAGAAGAACAGTTGTTTTAATGTCCCTTTTTTGCAAAGAGTTAGAGTTACCTTGGAAAATGACTGATTCCATTAAGTGTACTCAGATCAGAAGGAAACTGTGTGTCTAGTGTCTGCTTAAATGCAGGTTCCTTATACAGCAAATGTGGGAAGAAAAGTCTGGGACTTACTGATGCTTTATACCTCCAAAACATTCAAGTCAAATGCGTGAGATTTTCATCTTGTCATGACCCGAGTTTCCGAAAACATCCCAGAATTTTCTGTATATTTTTGATTTTCTGAAGACTTCTGAAAGCTTCTGAAAATGTCTGAAGTTGTTCTTACAACCTTTGAGCACTTCCGAAGCTTTTTCAAAGGAAGCTGACTAACGGACCAGGAACACATTAGGGATACAATACAGGAAGTTTTAGAGAACCGTCAAATTGCAGATACGTGTTTACAATAATTGTAAACACATGTGAAAAGAAAAAGCATAATTTATGAATTTATCTATATTTAAGTTAAATTTCAGTATCATAACACCTTTAAATTAAGCATTAAAACAAAACTTTTCTGTGGGTGGAAATCAATTTACAGTTAGAAGAAGATGGCAAGTGCCTCTGCATGAAATTATCAATTTATCTGAATTCAAACAAGAGTGAGAAAAAGAGCACATTCATTAAGAGTGGGTGGATTTTTTAAATACTTTATCTGAAAAGAAATAATAGTGAATTATTTTTCATCAAACATACCAGCCAAATGGAAGAAAAGAAATTTGAAGTTCAAAATGTATATAAAATGAATGAGGACTAACTTAATTTACAGCTGATGCTAAAGTAAATTAATATTTTAGGTTTAAATTATGGCCTTTTTTACATAAAAGTTATAATACATTTGAACCTTTCCAAAACAGCCACCTTGGGGAGAGAAGACTGTGTCCATTGTAAGGAGGTTTAAACAAGAGTCAATGTACTGAGTTTGATTGTCTCTGTGAAGGTAGTCCTGAATAGGACTGTTGTTGTTGACAGTGAATGACATTTCAACAACCTGTGTGGTAGTCACCTTCAGAGTCAAAAAGATGACTACTGCACAGGTTGTCGAAATGTCAGTCACTGTCAACAACAACAGTCCTATTCAGGACTACGTTCACCTGGACGATCAAACTCAACCTACTTTTGAAATAACTCCTGCTTTCACAAGAGTCAATGTACTGTCCCTCAGGTGGCTGTGTGGAGAGGTGGCCATTAGTGCAAATTCAACTGTAGCAATATAGCTAATAACACTTAATGATAATATGCCTCATTAAATTAAGTTATTTTCGGTCAAAACGTCCATAACAGCTTAAAGCTATTCAGTGACATTACCATGATAAAACATATGCTGACATTACAATGACCGACAGGAAAAAAGATTCAACCAGTACTAGCCTTGAAAATCTTTTTGGAGAGAAGAGCATTTACAAAGTGACTAAAACTGGAGTAAGCTTAAGGCAACTGGGAACCTTATAGCTTTTGCTACCATCAAAATTGCTTTACCGACAGAAACAACCAGAACTGGGGTCAGATATGCCCCAACATACCTAAATCAGTATGTGTCAGCAGTGGCAGAGCAGAGAAAAAGTTCCATTTGCCTGTGAGGACTAGATTCTTTCTAATGGGCAATTAGCATGCTTGTTTGCCAATGGACAAAGGCTGAGGAAGCTTTTTGCCTGACCACCTGAGTGGGGAGAGGGTACTTCCTGGTTATAGGCTAGTGGGGATGGGGTTGTATTTCATGACTGGATTGACCAAGGCTGTGCTCTAGCAGAGCCCGGTGGCCCGTGGCACCTAACCTTTTGTTCTCGGGTGACTAGAAAATCTTTGCTTTTTCATAGAAATCTTATGCTGGGCACACTGGTCACTGGATTTCCCAAGTTCAGAGCACTTGGCTCCCTTCAATTTTTCTTAGAGCACAGCCTTGTTGACCATTGGATTGGAATGACTGGATTGATTGGATTGGCTTGACTGGATGGACCATAATGAGGTTGCACATTTTTCAGTATTTTAAAGTTTGAAATATTCAGGTAGCTAGGGATTTAAAAATGGGAAGATTCTTACTTCATTAGGTTTGACAAATGTGTTAATTCATTCCAGGATGACCTAGTTAAAAGCCTTTATAAGGTAGTTGCGTAAACAGAAAGTGGCTGTTAAAGTTACGATAGTGTCAGAAAATTACATTTTCCCAAAAGTGGCTAAGAAGGGGACTTAATAATTGGCCACAGAATAATGGAGGAGGGGTTCTGATTGGCCAGCAGCCGCCAGCAGCACATATCCAACACAAATTAACCCAAGTAATCCCCAGGCTATGATCTCACTTGGCAAGGCGCCCAAAAACTTTACTCACTACTCACCGATGTGAGCACACCCTGTTTTCAAGTATAGATCCCTGGATTCAAGCACACGGTCGCCAGAATTTAGGGACCAAGTCTCAAACTTGTACTTGGACACTGAAGTTGACACCCGGATCTCTGTGTGCACACAATGATTTCTTCACAGTAACACTTGCAAGATAAAAAATCTAGAAGAGGGTGTTAAAATTTGGCCTTTTTCGGAGAGGGCATAGAAAGCAAATGATTTGCATTTTTGTTACTAAAATTAAATTAAATATGAAATAAAAATAATGAATATTTATCAATACATAATATGTATTAAAGTACTATGTGGTTAAAATTTCAAAATTACTAAGCCAACCAGGAAGTCCTAAGCAATTGTCAAAATGAAATAATGTCACCAAACGTTTTAAAAATATACAACCAATTTTTTTCGGATTTCCGCTGATCAAGTTTCATTCGGTACTCTACTTTCGTGTCCCGAATCTATCTGTCAGTTTGTGCCCCGAGACGATCAAATTTTTTTAGCTTTTTCAAGTTATTTCCGCATAGGTCAATGGTATGCCGTTTAATTGTAAATGTACTTAAATCTTCTGGCTGGCTTCGTTCGCTGCTCGAATCTCGACAAAAGTTTTGGCGCATTCGAATTCCTTTAGTAGTAACGCACGAGTAATGTTAAAGGTGAAGAAGTGCTTACATGGAATGATTCGCTTTCTCGATGCAAAAATTTCCACGTTGCCCCGTCAGTGATCGTCCTTCGAAAACCACAACAATCCGTTCTTGATTATTTTACTGACCTGTGTTTATGATATCGCCCGTACACTACATCTCATTCAAATTTGCCGGTCCTAAAGATTACAACCAGTCGAATTTCACCAAAGTGAGACGTCGCGTGATTTTTCCCATGAGAATGAAAAACGGCAGAATTCTACTCTAAAGACATCGACAGTGCTGTAGAAAACACCCTCGTAAGCCTACAAGGCTTGTCTTTCAGTAAAATTCTATCATTGATTCTCATTCATGTGAACGACGAATATTTCGCGCCCACGCGGACTGCCGTACTCCTACGCGCATATTATATCCCGGCATACATTACGGCCGATATCCTACGCAACACTACACAGCGCTTATCGATGGATCTCTCAAATGAAGATATTTTCTGTCAGGGACCGAAATGTACTTTATTTTGTTCTTATTGGATTTTTTCAGAGTTAAAAAAAGTAGTCAATTTTTTTAGTTGATTTGTTCCAAATTGATATAAGAAGTTTCGCTCCGCATATGCAAACAAGTAAAGTAACTAAATTTTCCCGCCAACACCGATTTTCTTCTTCCTGCCAAGAGATATAAGAGTCGATATAAGATCAGATTGCTTTAATACTCGAACAATCAAATTGGCTTTTCCATCCTTTTATAAATTGCCGTTAGCAAATATGAAAAATCGGCCTTATCTGGTTGTTCTTTCTACCACTCACATCATCTATAGCCCTCGATATCTTTCAAATATGAAACATATTCTCAGTGGCATACATATCCCACTCCAGTTGCTAACAAATGTCGAGGGATATTGTTTTTACTCGTTTCTCTTTTATTCTACTCAATGTTCTTCTTTCATTTTTATATTTATTCATTACTTAAATTATTCTTTTACTATTCTGATATTTTTTCTTTAACTTTGCATGTATTTCATATACAGGTAATGGTAAGCTTATACGGAACTTACCGTGAAACTTTGCTAAAATTTTTTCAACCTTTACAGGAACTCAGCCCTCGGCAAGTCAGTAAGGAGAAAAATCTTCATCAGTCTTTCAAGTTTGGTTACCCTCTTAACCTGAGCAACTATGATGCTGGCATATTTATATGAAATCCATTTTGCCTACTTATACAAAATTGAAATTTCTGCTAAGGCGTCGTTGTTAGCTGTCCCACGCGTAGTTCAACTGAATAGCTTGATGCACCAAATCGATCGGCCCACCAATCCAGCTGTCCACATGAATCCCACATGGAGCCAGCCCTTTGCGCAGGCCAAGCACCTTAATTGAGAAAAGTTAGATGGATTTTCACTTTTTGCCCCTCGATCGATGTTTTAACTCGAAGTTTGTACTCAACGAAAGTCCAAATGGTATAATTAATTTCATGTGGCCATTATTAACGAAATTGTGCACCGTCGAAACACCACTTTTCTCTTGTGGAGTTCGGCGGAACCCACAACATGTTGCTAGCCATTCAGCTTCAATCAGAACAGTCAGAACTGCTCAAGGCACTTTTAACATATATTTTATGTGGGATTTTCAGAAACCCAGCCGATATAAGATTGATTAGTCGACAAAGAATTCCACCACGGAACGCAATATATTTCTTTAGATCCGTAGAACATTTGTTTGAATGGTACTGATAATGACAACGATTCTCCGGTCCACCTGTAAGGCTCAATAGCTGACCCGCCACTGACAGTCAGGCTTTAATTTTCTCTTTAATGAGACTTAAAACGGACTTAAACGTCTTTACTTTGCTTCTTTAGAAAAAGTTGTTGTAATGAGTTATTTTGATAGCCTGAGCCATAACAGCAGATTCTTCGCACAACATCATTGATTTCCGCGGATCCGTTGAACGGTACTGTCGCGGCGATGATCACTAAAACACGGCTTCCCATTTAGCCATTCATTTTCAGAATTCAGTCTCAATACAGGCCGACAGCCATGTGGTTTCTATATATATCAGTTATTTTTCCGGAAGGCCTTAAATACATTAACAGTACCAATTCCAGTGAAAAACTTAACTATAAGACATGGATCACTTACATTTTCTTGTCCTATTTAGACTGTGGTCCTCGAGCCAGTTTCGTTTTTTTTCTGTTGTTGTTGTTGTTTTTAGTATATGATTAAGAAATGAAATCTTTCACACTGACGAGGATCGTGATGCCATCACCCATGAAATTTCAGAGCCTTTTTTCCAGTTTTTCATTATAGTGGAAATTCGGTGCCCTAAGGCGTTTCAAACGGCACGCGAGTCACATCTGCTATGAGATCAGGCGGGTACACTGAGTAAATGCATGCACGCTGATATGTCATCGTTAAATCAAAAGACTGCAGGGTATCTCTAGTAAATACAAAGAATAATAAAGCTAAGGGAGTTTTCTTTTCATTGTTGGAAAAAGGAAGAGGGTGAAAACGTAAACACATTCAAACATATTAGCGGCAATCACAAGGAAATTTTGCTGCATGTAGTTGCGGCGAACTTAATGGTCGTTGTCTCACTTCAATTTTTAAAAGTCACTTTCTCAACTGTCACCATCTCCCTCCAACCACTTCCAAATTTAATTTTTTCCAGTTGTGCCCGGTGATCATAACACCAAAATAGATATGATGACTAATTTCTTTAAGTGAAGTCATAAAGGAGCTTCGTTACGCACATGCGAACGTGTTCTGTCTATCCGGTGGTGAAACACAAATACCTGTGATATTGACTTAGACTGTAATTATATTTATTAAGGTAGCAGTTTTCCAACTTATTTTTAAATCAGCTAAATCATCTTTTTTTGGAGGGAGTGGGATGGAGAGTAATTTTTCTAGTTGTTAATTACAATTCATAGAACATAACACTTTAGGGTTGTGCTAAGTCAGGCTAAGTAAGACCTGAGCCTATGTAAGGCGAAATCTCTTCATTTTGTTAGCTTTTTCAAGACATTCAAGAGAAGACGATATGAATAAGTGATCATGCAGATGTGATCTTTTTAAAAATAACTAAATAATGCATCCGGCATTAAGGAAATCCCAGGAAGAAATTTCGACCGTACACACTGAATTCCATGATGATGATTAACCCTAGCCTGCGCGCAGACGAAATTAAACTCTGGTTAACTCCTACTAATCAGAGTTTA